CCAATCCCAATCCCAATCGTATTTTGTCATAATTATCCCTAGGGATGGCAATCAAACCCATGGCAGCGGGTACCCGACCGCCCCCGACCCAGTCAACGCGGGGAATCCCCGCTTTGACCGGGTATGGGTAAAACCCGCAAAAAGTTTGATGGGTATGGGGCGGGTATGGTTTTAGCCTCCCCCGCCCCATACCCATACCCGCCCCACCAAGAGAATTTCTTCACATATAAAAAATATGTGGATTAAATTGTAATCTATCAATGATGATGATGATAATTCGAGAAAATAAATAGTAGAAATGCAATTGAGTAACCACCTTAATCAAAACCTAATTCATTTTCTTCAATTCTCCTTCCACTCTTTCACTTTCCCCCTTGTCAACAAGATTATGTTAGTTAATTATTACTTAGTAAATGTATCAAGAGTTAGAGCATAATAATTTAAAAAAAATTATAGTCTATATTATGTATTAATGGATGTTTTAGGATCATATTCTTTGAATCGTATTTAGAAAATGACCGTGTTTTGTTGACTTCATGTATAATAGGTTTATTTATGGTTATAATTAAAACTTTTCTTGTAAGTTTTAGGTATAATAATGTTGGATGTACGGGGATGGGTATTACCCATGGGTACCCGAAACCCACGGGTATGGGGATGAGTTTGCAAAACATTCCCCCGCATGGGTATGGGGCGGGTATGGGTTTGGGTATTTGAAGATGAGGATGAGGATGATTTAGGCAAACCCGTCCCATTGCCATCCCTAATTATCCCTGAAGGGAAGCAAAATAGTTATGACAAATATACAACTTTCAACTCCAATAAGATTGCTATTAAGGGGTCGTTTGGAGAACGGGATTTAGAGTATGGATTCATTGAATCTGTAGATTTTGGAGAAAGTTATGTTTTTTTTGTTGCTTTTTGTGTTATGGATTTTAGCTTTAGAGATTTCAAATCTCTAAAATCTATGGATATCAAATCTCTCATAATCAGAGAGATTTTATATCTTGATTTATGAGATTTTTTTTCTCCTACCTTTTCTCTTTCTTTTATTTATTTATCATATTAAATATATTTACTAACAAAGTTTTTAATATTTCTCGAACTACTCTAATTTATTATTAAGGATAAACATGTTATTTAATATAAAAAATGTATTTTTATTTTCATTGAACGTTAACAATCACAGTTACCAAACAATAAACATTTTAAAATCTATTTTGAACAATCCGAAGAGTTAGAATCTTTAGATTGTTGACAATCCATAGATTTAAACTCATATTCTCCAAACGACCCCTAAGTGGGAGGGCAAGAGTATATGATATTTTTGCGATCATGTAATGACCTCATGGTACTCACGATTAGGCCCAACTCCCTTGTTTGAATGGGCCAACGATCCATTGAAGTTGAGAATTGGAAGACAGTCGTTAATGATGATTACTCAAATTTGCCTTTTATTAATTAGAGTTTACGTACTTTTAATGTCCATGGGACCTATTGGTTACGGGTCTATTTCTATGGCTAAATTGATTAGTTTGGTAGTACGTACCATGGACTTATGGGTTTGGTTATAGCAATAGCATAGAGGCGCTTACCCACCAAAACGTGTTTCCACGGGAACTCTTTCTCTTTGGGTCAAAATTGAAGATTTCAACACCGAAATTAAATGAAATGAAATAGTCATGTGATGTGGTGCCAAATTCTAAAATATATGATGTGATATATGACCAAATATAATTCGGCCGACAATCGACGACCCTTCCAAAACCAGAATGTGTCCTTTTGACTTCTATATTTTGCCCCCTTCATTTCCCTTCCTTGAATTCCTCTTTTTTTTTTTTTTTCCTTCGTACAAAAACAAAAACAAAAAAAAGTTCTTTCTTGCTATGGTTGTGGAAGCATGCAAACAAAAATTACGAGACCGAGTAGGGTAATTAGTAATTACGATGTGGTCTTAGTGGAATCCACATTTGACAATCATATTTTAAAAGATAAATGCTACTGTTGCAAAAAATTGCATATTTACTTCGCATATAACACGTGAAAAACGATACAAATAAATTGCTTGAACATTGTCATATCATATTATCGTTATTGTAACGATATCGCTGAACCAAAAATTTGTCGATCCAATCTTCATTCATAGTGGGTTATAAGTTTGACTCTTTTGGCTTCAAAACCTTCCCCATTGATTCATGGCTTACCTAAGCAACTTGCAATTTATTCCACATGAACAGTTTTCGGCTTCTTTATCAAGTGGGATCATCGAAGGAGTAGTGGTCCGATTTGGATCCCACAAAAAGGGATTTCTTTTCACCGACTCCATTTTCTTCTTACTACACTTTTGGAGAGTGCAAATCCGTCGCTTAACACAAAGGAAATGTTCTTTTCTTCTAGCTTAAAGATAAATGTGTACAAAGTTCTGTTGAAAAGTGACTAGCCATTACAATTATGATAAACTAATCAAATCCAAATTAATGATGGGAAAATGGATAATGAGGGTTGAAGAGGGTTATTTAAGGGTCCTTTGTGTGCATATAAGGATTGAGGTTTTAACCTCGGGAAGTTCTAACTCTTAACACCTTTTAACCTCTACTAGACTATTAATACTGAGTCTCAACAACGAGCGTCGGTATATAATTCTAAATTACTTGTTTAATGAATTATAGTACGAATCCCAGGAGCAGACGTAAGTTAACTATAAATTACTTTACTGCTTGTCATTCGATAACGGACATCTCTTATACTTCGTGTTTGTTATTGCTTCATATTAAACATCAACCACTCCCCCACATCGTCAAACTTTCGTTAGCGTTGCACTATGTCGTTCTCTCTCTCTGCAATGTACACCGTCATTTCACCAAAAAAAAACTACGTCCACCCCACTACATAAAATTGAAAATTACTCCATTCGAAAAAGATATAAGAATCATCATTCAAATTACTCCAAGCATCATTCCCGAACATGAAAATGGAAGATAGACTCCCAAGAAACCAATCCACTAGGGTACATTTTCCCACCATTCCATTTGTTTTTAGCAAATAGTCGAGAAGTGGAAAACTCTTTTTTTGGAGTAGAAACCGGAAATTTTGGTCACATGGTTTTTGATTTTCCAGGATCGTGGTAACAATACAATGTATACTTTGACGTCTTCTTTTCTTTGTGGGGTTTATTCTTCTATATTCTCCATCTCTATCTTCCAATTCTCTATCCATCCATCTTCATCTTCATCTTCATCATCGGTTTGTTTATTTCTTGGACTGTAGCCATTTGCCTTCACTTTTGTCCTTTGCTCCCGAGCCACACAGCGCCCGCCGTCGGCCCCATATGTTACGTTCCTCGCACCTTCATTAATCTAAAGCTGTATTTCTATGGCCTCCTTCAGTTCTAGTCTTGTCGTGAATCTCGTTCTTCATTACATTCTTAGTCTAGTGTGAAATTAATTAAGGCCCGACTATGTTTCGATTATGATTCTCGATCATATTAATGATGTCCCAAAAAGAGAACTCGTGGTTATTAATTATTAGTTAGATTTGGAGACGCGGGCTTGATGGTTATATTTATATATATATATATATATATATATATATATATATATATATATATATATATATATATATATATACGACTTGGACTATTTTCGTATGGTTTGTTCTTCTTGAGTTCTCATTTGTTTGTTGAAGTAGTGAACTAGTAAGGTGCAAGGATGCGTGCACCTTAATTACTTGTTTGACTTATTACTGCTTCAGCGAGTCGTACAATACTTGTTTTACGAGAATCGAATCGGACTTAATTTATTTTTATTCGCATTGTAAACCTCATTTTCTTTTATTTTCAATCAAATGAAAATCTAACTCGTGTTCCGTTCAATTTTAAATCCGAGACCCTTAAAATCAACTCATGATTAGTGGCAATGGGGTTTGGAAAATGTTTGGGGAAGTGCTTGATGGGTTCTATACAACTTGCCCATTTTTTTCTTAGGTCTTTTGTTCATCTTTGGGGACAATGAAGAATGATTTTGTTTGTTGTGATAATTTTGAGGAGTAAATGAGAGCCCTCTTCTCTTCTCTTCTCTTCCACATCTTTTATTGCTTAGTGTGAGCATGTTTTTTTACAAATACAATCCATACTTTTCTACTTCACATGGTGGACAAAAGAAAATGCATGCCCATCATGTTTTTTTCTTGTTTGTTTCCAATGCTTTATTTTTTAATTATCTAATTTTTACCAAATGAAAAGTACTATATTTTTAATTTAGCGGCGACCTTTTGTAATCTGTATATATCTCTTTTGTTTTTGCAGTTGATGTAAAATGTGAATAATTGCATACCAACCCGTTTTCCTTGTGAAGTGGGAATGGCGTTATCATTTGTAAAAAAAAAAAAAAAATATGTATCCAATTTTCATATGTCTATTTCTAATTTGGATAAAAATGATGACATGGGCAGGAACTAATTACATCAAAATCATGTTTTCTTGCTTCAAAGACATACATCATAAAAATTAGTAGTCAAGCAATCATTATATTTGCCTCTTTACTATTTAAATTATTTTCATAGATTTAATGTTATTTACGTATCTATTTTGTATTCTAAAGCACACATGAATACTAGTTAGTTTCATTCAATAAGCTGAACTTTAGCTTTCAAACTAAAATTAGTGATGATCACAATCTTATCAATCCCTGTTAGAGTATGAACAAAATTCACCTAAGTGTATGAAGAAGAAACCAACTTTTTTTCCTGAGATATTAAACTTCGAACGTTTGTGAATCTCTCTTGTTGTTAGTAAGACCGTTACAATAGCATTTCTACGCAAATTATATGTTGGTTACTGACATTCCTAAAAAGATTGACTACTAATTAAGTTTAGTTAGTTAATTAACACCACTCATTGACCCATTTCACTAATCCCTCGACCAAACAATATTGCTCCTTTCTAATACTACCAACCAACCATTAAGCACATGTCAATCTACCATCCATTGAGCCACTTGAAAGAGTGGAAAGTAATGAGGATTAGATAGTGGCACCATGAACAATAGCACATCATTCATACCTCAAAGTCAATCAATCCTTATCAAAGATTTCCCCATCATTTTTATTATTAGTTACCACTTACCAGTCTATCAAATGGGAACCAACTCTACTCTAATAATGAGATACAGATGCATCTCAAACAATTGCCAATTGCTGGTAGAAACTATCAACAGCAAGCAATTCCCCACATTGAATTTGGTGGTCAATAAGAGACATGAATCAAGAGGGCTCTTCCCTTTGTTCCAACTTCAAATACATCATCTACACTTGTTCTCCCAATGGTTTCTGTCAGTTTTTCTGTGAGCTATGAAAGACTGGGTTAAACAACAAAAGCAAAGAGCCTCCAAAAGAAAAAGTGAAAAAGGATTGTTTCTCTCTGTTACTTTTGTCATTGTTGACTGAAGGTTTGTGAGTGCAGGCAGGCAGGCAGCTCCTCTCCAGAATCTGGATAACATACACAGGACTGTTTCAAGATGACTGAAAAACCCATGCTGCTCGCGAGCTCCATTTTGTTTGGAAACCAACAACCTCAAGAATGTACTCTTATTTGCCGAAGCACGACTCGAGTTATTGGTGTTCATCTTCTTCTTCTTCACTCCAAGTTTTCCGGGTTCGGAAGGAAGTTAGAAGGGAATGTAGTATACATCACATAGTGTGATTTGAGCTAAAACTCAACGTCGTCCATTAGCCCACTGCCGGTTGCCATTCCCACCATGTCTCATGTTTGGGTTTCGATTGGCCGCCACACCCCCTTGCTTCGGGAGATCGTGTAACTCCATCACCTGTATCGTCCGCTGTCTCTTGGCTGTTTGACAATGAGGAAACAGAGTTCAGGCTTGAGAATGAAAACTTTAATAGGTATAGAGAGACTGGTTTTTGGAAACTGACCATTCTCGACTTGTTGGTAACTCTCCTGGAGTCTCCTCTTTGTGGCTTCCAGTTTCATCTGGACTGAAACTTCATCCGAGCACTTCAATCTCTAAATGAAGAAACACACAGTATATGTCTCGTATCAGATCAATATTGTTCGTCGCAGTTTCCCCCCCCCCCCCCCCCCCCCTAAAAACTGTTGTGCAAGTTAACAAGCATCTTACGGTTTGTTGCTGTTGTTGGCCACTCAAGGGCTTCCTCTGACTAGCAACAATCTTCTCAGTTTTCCTCTGCAATGTCGACGGATTATTAGCATTCAACTTTGGCTCAAGGTTCTGCCTTGGAGGTCTTCCTGGGCCGGAATTGTTGCTGGAGGGCTTGTTCTGCTTCAGTGTGGCTGCTGCTTCTTGGCTCTTCATACCATTACTCGTTGGCCTCGGCTTTGGCATGCTCCTGGGATCATGTGATGGTGGTCTTCTTCCATTCCCCCTGTTCTTGTTCATTTCCCGAGGATCTGAAATACATTTTTAATCAAAACCACTGAGAATTCGAGTGTACATAATCCCATTAGAAGAAGCTAAAGGCAAAGAGAGCTCAATCAACTCACTTCCATCATCATCCATTCCGTCGAAAAACTGCACAAACGAACAACAGCAAGTAGCACAAGAAAGTAAAGATATAGTCAGTCGGTCTGCTTTAGGATAAAAAAGAAACTTTTCCATTTCATGGAAGGGAATGTTAATTACTTGTGCAAGCTCCATCCCAGTAGCTTGAGTTGCGAAGAAGATCCCATCATCCATAGGAGGAGAAGGCAGTCCTTCTTCTTCATCAACAACTGACGGATTCATCGAGTCAGGAGTGCCACCTTCATTCCTAATAGTAGTAGTTCCAGTAGTCTTTGAAGCACTATACCACTCATCCACCAAGTCTTTCCACAAACTGCAAACCCAGAAGAAAGAATTTGTCCCCACAGATAAGAGCCATGAACTTAGGTCCCCAGAACCAAACTAAGATCATAATCAAAACCACCCAACCACAAGGGAGAAGAAGAAGGGAAAGGAAGCAAAATCATTACTCGATAAGAGTTCGCGCCAGCTGACGAATGTCCTTCGATCCGTGCTTCCTCAGAGAATTCACAGCCTTCCCAATCTCAGTTGCCTAAGAGACACACCATTAAAGGTCAAGACTTTCCAAAAACCTCACAAACAAGACTAATAAATAACCCAGAATTCCAAATATTGATTACCTTAAGAGTATCTACAGACAAAGCCATCAATTGAAGCCTCCTCAGTGAATCAAACAACGTTGATTCAGCCTGGTTCGAATAGCCAAACAAAAGGATTGATCGATCAATCACCCAATCAGCCAAGCAAAGAGTTCATTCATCGGAACAAACATATGGCTTTTTTGAGTCAGAATTGGGCAAATTCACCCCAATTGTATAGTAATACCTCGTCTCGGTGATTGAGAAGAACGGCTTTGATCCTTTGAACTTCAGCAAACACCTGAGACTGCTCTTCAATCTCATCCGTTAAAGCTTCAGCTTCGCCGTAGCTGTAATTGCTCACCAGCTGATCTCCATTATCAGCACAACTATTGACTTTACTCTCTTTATTACTCCCACCGCCTTCTTCTTCATCGAAGTCGCCCAATATGTCAATCTCTTCGTCATCATCTTCCTCCTCGCCGCCGTTCCCATCACTGCTGCCGCCACCGTCGTCCCTAATCTTATTGGGGATTGCTTGGTCACCGTCCGGCGGCGGCACCGCCAGCTCCACGCGGTTGCAGCCGGAGCATTGGGCCAATCGGCAGGAGAACAGCCGCTCAGCTATTCGATCCCTCCGCTGCCGGAACTCCTTGGGGCAATCGGTGGCCGCCACCATGATAGCATGATCGATTATTTCGAAGATGTCTGAATTCGCTGCTCGGAAATAGTCCCGCCAGTAATCCACCGTCCCCGGTTTCATCGTCCGACTAGAATCTACCAACCCACCACCGATCAATCTCAACCCCACAAAAAAAAAAATTCCGATCAACCCTTTATTCCTCAACTAGATTTCTCTACTACCCAGAAATCCAATCGTCGAAATTCATTCAGGGTAATCACCAAAAGTAAAAATTTCTCAGCCCTCCCACCCAAAACCTCTCCGAATTGAGGAAGAAAGAAGCCCAGAGCCTTTTTTTTTTTTTGTTCAACAATGGAGGACAGAATCAAATGGGGAGGAGTTCAGCCTGACGAGTAAAAACGTGAGAGGTTTATTTTTGGGGTTCGGTTTCTGCTTGGTTGTCAGGAGCGGAACGAAAAGGAACCTTTTTCCCGGTAGGAAAAGCAAAGCAAAGAAAAAACAGATTGAGAGAGGAAGAGTAAGAAAGAGAGAGAGAGAGAAAGGACAAAGCAAACCAAAAAATTATAATAAAATTTTTCTTTCTCTTTTTGTTGGTGGGTTTTTCGGAGATAAGATATGTGTAAATCTATCTCTCTATCTTGCACAAGATAAAAAAAAGGAGAATATTAATTACAGCCTTCCTCTGCTTCTCTCTCTTCAGGGAAAATCCTGTTTGGTTTCCAGGAAATTCTTCACAAAGGAAACAATTTTATTTTTTTTCATTAAGAGGGAGTCTTAACTCTTAACCTGTACAATTAATCAGCCTATCGAGTTTTAAATTATGCGGCATCTAATTCGGTTAACAAATTTATATATCGTTGAATCAACTAGTATAACGATTTACAGTTATAATATGCAAGCAATACCATAATTATTATTCAACGATAATACATTGCAAAACACCTCATTAACGAGCTACGTGAACATTTCGTAGCTCGATTTAACTACCCAGAATATGCTCTTAATGTGCAAGGAAAAGAATTGGTTTCTTGTTGTTTGTTTTAGAAATACCAGAAAAGCAAAAAACTAAAAAGCCAAAACCACTCCCCCCTTAGCCACCAAATCGAAGCAACAGGACAACCAAAACAAGTTAAACCAAAACTATAAAGATCTTGCTTGGAATTAACAGGAAACTAAAACGAAGGTTTCCCTTTTGTTAATTGTTCCTGAAGTGTAATTAAATGTATTTAGGTGAGGATTAAGAGAATTCTCTATTTGGTTCCCAACAAATTAATTTGAAATTGATATAGCTGGCTATGTTGACTTGACTGGGATTGACTTTTTTGAGGGGGGCTCTCTAGTAGTCTCCATTCTTGAAGCAAAGCCAAGGAGAAGAATTGCTCTAATGAGTTGTGTGCTAAGCAAGTTTTTAGAGGGAGACAAAGAGAGAAAGAAAAATGTGACTTGACCAAACTAGATTTTGTTGGCCTAATTGATCATGGGGTCATAAGTTATAATATAACCAATCGACTGAAATTAATGAGTGGTGAAGATAAACGGTGCAGCAAAATTAAACAAATTATGTATACCTGAAATATATAGAGATTCGGAGGCTCGGACTTAATAGTCGAGTTACATTGTTGCCTCAACATCACTAAATTATAGGTTTTTTCGGCATACATTCATTTTTCGGCTAAATTTGTTCGATAGATAAGGCAATTTGAAACACTAATTGATCAAGGTGCTAATTAAGTAGTTATGTTAGACTTTGACAACAATGACTTCGATATATTGTCATACTCTTATTAAGCGATCGACAAATAAGTATTCATATCGTTCTCGCATATTTTTTTTTATCGAGGTGTAAAAGCAAGCAATGTGTATTAACTATTTACTGAACACAATCTTTTAGAATCACCCAAATATGGGAAATGAAAATCTAGGAACGTCCTTTCGTGGAGAACAAAACAATGGGCTTTACTGTGGGGAGTATTCTTGTTTTTTCAACCTTTAATTCGTTTGTTTCTGTCTGCACATTCTTTGTGCATTATCTTTTATTTATTTATTAATAAAGAAGACAAGAATTTTTTAACTTTTTATTCATAAACAAAGATTTTTACTGTTCTAGGTAATTATATTACGTTGTTGCGTGGAGAATGAATGAACCAATGACGTACGCTGTCGTTTTGTGCCTTCTGTTGGTGACGCTATCTGGCAATGCGGTTTTGAGGCTGTCGTTGGTTCATTGGATAACTGAGTTTTCGCCGACTCAGTGTCGCCGAGTCGCCTCGCCGCGCGATCTGGTCGACGGATTTCTCTGTGGGTGTTTTAACTTTTCCCCCCTTTAATTTCCGTTGCCTATCTTATTTAGTCATTGTAGATAATGCTTTTTCAGTAACTTTTAAAGTGTATCATTGTGCAAACGTTCTGGAATTTGGGGACTTGAAATTGAGTTTGTAGTAAAGAGGTGGGAATTTTAATTTTGGAACTTATTCAGATATTATTCTATAAAGGGTGGGGATATTATTTTAATTATTCAGTGATAATATTCGATTAATTGTCCGGGTTGGTTGAAGGAATTCCCGGATTTGTCAGATCCACCAAAAGGGAATTGTGAGAATTATTGAACTCAATTTAATTTAGGAATTAATTGATAAGATTTGGACAGCTTCATACATTTTTTAGTGGGGGCACTTAGAATTAGACTCATCGATTAGGGGATAATAATAATTGTGATTACTATTAGTAAAGCTATAAGGACTTTTTATATAGGAAAAAGAACATATCACTGTAGAGATGTATTAATCTACCAGATGGTTCCTAAAAAAAAAAATATCAGGTGGACTAAATTAACCATAGATAGTGAAAATCATCATAAACATTTAAACCGCTCGATAGTGAAAAAAAAATTAAATTAATCGAGATATCGTTCATTAATAATTGTTGGTATTCTGTTACGAGGCTTTAGACTCTCCGACGATGATTTACTTCATTAGATATTGTAACATTTTATTGGTTGCAAATAATCCATCATGACTAAGCTATAAGACCTAGAACTGAAGCACAAAAAACACAAAAGATAAAGGATGTGCTTTTAAGTTGATTATGTACAGTCCATTAATTAACATGATGAAACCATAAAGATAGGATCACACATTTTTAAACGGATCCAACCTCACAATTTGTAAAGATTATCATCAACTCATTCTCATCTTCTTATTTGGAAAGCTTGAACCTTGAAGTGATGCGTGGAATGAAGCAAGTTAATGTGATGAAAAGTTGGCACATGCACTTATATATAAGAAACATTATTGAGCTTAGTGGAGAGGAGAGATAGACTTGCAATCCTACCCTTCAAACAAAGTTCCATACTCATGTTTTCTCGTTTGGGGGTTTGATTTTGGCAAGGTTGTGTTTACACCAAAAATTAACCTTGTACCACATCGGTTAAAAACAAGGAATTAAATGGCTTTATAAGGCCAACTTAATCATATTAGTTCAAATCAGTTGAGTGGGCCATGAAGATTGGGTTTTTGGGCCCATTACTCCGTGCTACCACGCGCGCCATGTATCTCCAAATTTGGCTAAGTATGGGAGCCACCCCCATGACACGCAGAGGGGGTGGGAGCTATACCACCACCCCAAGGACGTGGCAAGGGGGTGGGCACCATACCGCCACCCCCATGACCAGGTGAGGGGGGTTATGGCCGAATTTGGCTAAGGCAATAAGAATGATAGCCACCCCCAGGAGGTACCAAGGGGGGTGGCCATCATCATACCACCCCCATGACAGGCAGAGGGGGTGGCCATCATACCACCCCCAGGAGGTACCAAGGGGGGTGGCCATCATCATACCACCCCCAGAACGTGGCAAGGGGGGTGGACATCATACGGCCACCCCCATGACATGGTGAGGGGGGTGATCATATCTCCACCCCCAGGAGGTACCAAGGGGGGGTGGCCACCATCATACCACCACCCCCAGGACGTGGTAAGGGGGGTGGACATCATACCGCCACCCCCAGGACGTGGCAAGAGGGGTGCCATCATCATACCACCCCCAGGACGTGGTAAGGGGGGTGGACATCATACCACCACCCCCAAGACGGTGAAATATGGCTAAGTATGGAGAATGATGATGCCTCCAATGTTATGGGGAGGGAGTCACAACACACGCCCCATGATATGGCAAAGGGGGGCAAGGGGGTCATGTGGGCACATGGTCTCTTTACTCTCCTAACGGTGAAGTATTTTTTTCATGTGATTCAAATATCCACCCATATGTGGCACATGGTATTCTGTCATGCCTTAGCCATTTTTGCTCTATAGATAAGCGAAGCTATGGAGGAGATACCAAGAGCAGAGAGTGAGATCTCAAGAGGAGGGGATCAGGACTGAAGAAGGTGGCACATCCAACGTCACGGTAACCGTCGAAGCAATTGAGAGGGTAACCGCCACTCCACGTCAGCAGAGCAGTTTCTCGAGGCAGTTACTTCTGGTGGCTATAAATAGGAGGTGAAGATGACGGAGAAGGGGTTCGCCAAAATCACACCAGACAACCTATTGTCAAATTTTATCCTTTTATCTTTACCTTTTCCTCTGCAAATGTAGTCATAGCCATAGTTGTAGTTTTGGAGCTCTCACTGAACCTCCATAGGAGTAGGGCTAATTTAATGTAGATTTGCCTCGTAGTTCATCTAAACATTGAACACCCTTGTTTGAACTTTGTTCAAAGAGGTGTGAACTGTGTTGTTTGATCGTTTGTTTGGAAGTCAAAGGTGCAAAATCCAATTCTGTTCATCTAGTTTTTCTCGCCGGGGAAAACAAATTGGCACACCCGGTGGGACCCGTGTGTTCGATTAGATGGCTCCGAGGCGGAGGAATCAAGAAGGTGACGCTCCGGCTGGTTTTGTGGAGGAGCAGGTGGCCAACATTGAACATGGCCAAGTGTCAGAGGCGGTGGCCGGAAATAATGGTGGGGCGGAGATCCTACCAACGGCGACGCCAAGTGGAGATATTGGTGAAGCAGTGGGGGTCCTTCGTCAAATGATGGAGGAGAACCGCAAACTGGTGGCAGAGAACCGTCAAGCCACAGAGGAGAACCGCCAAATGATGGTGGAGAACCGCCGCATGATGGAGGAGGCTAGAGTTGCTTCTCATCAGGTAAATTCTCAAATGGACTGTCTTAATTCTAGAGTGGATAGACGTCTAAGTCAAATATTTGAAGTGGTTAATAAGAACAAAAGTGATTTTGATGAGTTTAGAAGATTTTTAACCACACCAATAATCCAATCTAGAGCTCTGCCATTAGATGGCGGGAATTCAAACCCCAATAGCAATCCTGGAAATTTAAATTCATCTCCCGCCGGCGGCGGAAATGGTCAGCCACGGCAAGATAACCTCTTTCCGCCGATGACAAACCAACCAACTCCTTACCGCATGAATCGCGGCGAGATTCCTGCCACTACTCAAGTGGAAGGGATACCCAATGTGGGAGTTGGAGAAATTCCCCCACGTGGTGAGAATTTGGGAGTTACACATTCTGCTCCAGTGGAACCGCCACCCATACCCATACCAATGGCAAGGCCCTATACGGTGCCTGCTCACATGGGAGGGGGAGTAGGCTTAGGTGGGGGGGATCAAGTTCCTCCGAGAGCATACCCAACACCCATGCCACCCCATTTCAATGGGCATGGCATGGACCCCATGGGTTTCGTACCCCAAGGGGGGCAACCAGGGGGGCATGATCCCAACACTCTAAGGGATCAGGTGGCTCAACTTATTGCCGAGCAATTTGGCATGGGAGTGAGACCCACCATGCCACCTGTTTATCGAAAACCGTACCCTGAGTGGGTGGATAGACTCTACCCATTCCCAAGGGGGTTTAGGGTGCCCGAGTTTGCCACATTCACTGGGACAGGGGACCAGTCTACTGTGGAGCACATTGGACGTGTTACTGTCCAGTGTGGGGATGTGGGAGATTTTATTAAGTTAAGAGTATTTGGAAACTCATTGACAGGACCTGCTTTTGCCTGGTATGTCAATTTGCCATCCAACTCCATCCAAACATGGCAGCAGATGGAGCAAATCTTCCATGCCCAGTTCTATAGATCTGAGCGTGAGGTTTCCATGGCTGATTTGGCACGAATGCGCCAAGAGCCAGGGGAGTCATTAGAGCACTTCTTGACAAACTTTAAGAATGCTCGTAACCGTTGTTTTGTCAACTTGACAGAGAGAGAGTTTGTCAAGTTAGCACAAGGGGGGTTGAGTTTTGAGTTAAGGAAGAAATTCCAAGATAGAGAATTCTCTGACTTGTTCCAACTCATGTCTTGTGCGGTGAGATATGAATCTCTTCTTCAAGAAGAGGAGAATAGGAGGAGTGCCTCAAGGGGGCAATACTTCCCCAACATCGGCTACCCTGTTAACCATATTGGCCAAGAGGCCAATGAGGTGGAGGTAGACCTGGCTGAGTTAACTCCAGGGAAACCATATGTATGTGCTCTTTTGGCTAAGATGGACAATGAACCACAAGGGGGTAGACCAAATTGTGCCCCTATCCAGCCACGGAGGTATTCCTTCGATATCTCCAAAGCTGACTTGATTTTTGACCAACTCTACAAGGATGGTCAAATCAAGTTGACAGGGGGGCATAACATCCCACCACCCGAGAAATTAAAAGGAAAGAAGTATTGTAAGTGGCATAACAGCATGTCACATGCCACTGACTCATGTGTGGTTTTTCACAATATATTGCAGGATGCTATTGAGAAGGGTCGCATCAAGCTCCCCGAGCCAAAGAAAGATGCCATGATGGTGGATACCAACCCGTTTCCCAACGTGCTTGGTGTTAACATGGTTAATCCAGACTTCTCCAAGATTGAGCTTCCTCGTTTCAAACTGGTGTTAGATACAACACCGCAACAAGGGATCCCCAAGGTAGTGGTTGAGCAGGGAAAGTCATCAAAGGGCAAGCAGGTCAACTCGGCCGCGTCTAAGGTGTCTAGTGAGGTGGAGAAGCTATGTTCCCAATGCAAAAGGAATCTTAGACTTGATGAAGTGAAACCGAATCGACCAGTCCAACAAAGAATTGGCCCACCCCATAGGCCGAGATACCCATCCTATCAAAGACAAGTAGAGGGGGTCGTTCAACCGACATGGGGGCAAAGAAGGCAATGGGTGGCACATGTCCCTCTTCCCATGAGAAGGACTTCCAAGATGCCCAATGTGCCACAAGGAGGGGGGCATACTTATGATATGCATAGTCAACCAGCAGCTATTGGGGGGATGACAAGGACTCAAAGGAGGAGATTCCTACGTAAGAATGCTAAAGCACGAAAGGGGCAATACCCAGTAGTACCTGGTGAGATAGTGAGGCCATCACAACAAAATGAGGATGGTCATGCTACTATTGAGGTGGACAACTCTATGGCCACGGGTCCCAAAGTAATAGTGTCTGACAAGGGCACGCATGTCCAAGTCCAAAGTGATGGTAAGGGTCAGAAAGGAAAAAATGGTGAAGGTGGTGATTCAAAGCCAGCTTGTGAAGAATCATCTCCTTTGAACAACCATGGACAAATGGTGTATGGTTGGCTGGTTTGGTTTAATACATGGACTTGGCAATGGGTGTATACCTTTGGCACATTGGTTATTGCCAAGGGGTATGGAGATCAATGATGCTTGTAACTACTTATTATGTACAATAAAAAAAAAGTAAAAAAAATTAATTAATATAGAAAAGCCAATCATGGCTATATATATATATAAAATCCGAAAGTGGCAAGTTTCTGAAGAAGTTAGTAGGTTTTGATGTGAGAATCTTGCCACGACTGGTAAACCTCAATCATTACTCATACTACTAAGACCATTAAGGTGGCCTAATCATGCCAAATCTTATAATTTTTGCTAAGGTGTGAACCACACCCTTCATGACAAGACATGGAGGTGATGGTGAATGGCATGGGGTATGGTTAGTAGTAGTTTGGATTAACTAGGGGGGCATGCTGTTGTTCTAGCCCAATAACTTCAAAAAATACCGCCCGTGTGATTTAAGGTGACCATAAGTGTTGGTGGTCACAGTGGCATGGGGGGGGGGGGGGGGGGCACGGTTGTGTCAAGATGGAAGGACTATGGAATAATTATGTTTGACTCCCTTCCTTCCTCCCACACGGCAGCAAAGGAGAAGAAATTGGGATTGTTTTGGTCATTTAAATTGTAAGGCCAAGTATTTGAGTTTGATAGCCTAGTTGGTGTGAAACTACTTAGTCCATAATTCTTATGCACTAAGTAGTTAGGGGGCAATTGTTTACACCAAAAATTAACCTTGTACCACATCGGTTAAAAACAAGGAATTAAATGGCTTTATAAGGCCAACTTAATCATATTAGTTCAAATCAGTTGAGTGGGCCATGAAGATTGGGTTTTTGGGCCCATTACTCCGTGCTACCACGCGCGCCATGTATCTCCAAATTTGGCTAAGTATGGGAGCCACCCCCATGACACGCAGAGGGGGTGGGAGCTATACCACCACCCCAAGGACGTGGCAAGGGGGTGGGCACCATACCGCCACCCCCATGACCAGGTGAGGGGGGTTATGGCCGAATTTGGCTAAGGCAATAAGAATGATAGTCACCCCCAGGAGGTACCAAGGGGGGTGGCCATCATCATACCACCCCCATGACAGGCAGAGGGGGTGGCCATCATACCACCCCCAGGAGGTACCAAGGGGGGTGGCCATCATCATACCACCCCCAGAACGTGGCAAGAGGGGTGGACATCATACGGCCACCCCCATGACATGGTGAGGGGGGTGATCATATCTCCACCCCCAGGAGGTACCAAGGGGGGGTGGCCACCATCATACCACCACCCCCAGGACGTGGTAAGGGGGGTGGACATCATACCGCCACCCCCAGGACGTGGCAAGAGGGGTGCCATCATCATACCACCCCCAGGACGTGGTAAGGGGGGTGGACATCATACCACCACCCCCAAGACGGTGAAATATGGCTAAGTATGGAGAATGATGATGCCTCCAATGTTATGGGGAGGGAGTCACAACACACGCCCCATGATATGGCAAAGGGGGGCAAGGGGGTCATGTGGGCACATGGTCTCTTTACTCTCCTAACGGTGAAGTATTTTTTGCCATTTTTAACTACTGTTATTCAAATACCCACCCATATGTGGTAAGTGGTATTTCTTTATGCCTTAGCCATTTTTACTCTATGGATAAGCAAAACTACGAAGGAGATGTCAAGAGCATGAAGTGAGGTCTCAAGAGGAGGGGTCAAGGCTGAAGAGAATCTCACATCCAACATCAGGGTAACCGTCATAGCAGTTGAGAGGGTAACCGTCACTCCACGTCAGCAGAGCAGTTTCTTGGGGCAGTTACTTCTGGTGGCTATAAATAGGAGGTGAAGATGACAGAGATGGGGTTCGCCAAAATCACACCAGACAACCTATTGTCAAATTTTATCCTTTTATCTTTACCTTTTCCTCTGCAAATGTAGTCATAGCCATAGTTGTAGTTTTGGAGCTCTCACTGAACCTCCATAGGAGTAGGGCTAATTTAATGTAGATTTGCCTCGTAGTTCATCTAAACATTGAACACCCTTGTTTGAACTTTGTTCAAAGAGGTGTGAACTGTGTTGTTTGATCGTTTGTTTGGAAGTCAAAGGTGCAAAATCCAATTCTGTTCATCTAGTTTTTCTCGCCGGGGAAAACAGGTTGTCAACCACGGGTTGATCCGCGGGTGTACTCACTTTGACCCTGATCCGGTGAGAAAAATGGGTCTTACGCACCCGTCGAGTCGACCGCTACAAGATATCTGGTTGGAGGTAAAATTGTGTCATTTTTTCCTTTGGTTTGCGAAATGCGCTTATTTTACGATTTTTCTTTTTCGCTTAACTCAATCTTTGGAATCCTTAGTTGCACATTTGAATATTGATGTTATATAAGTGTGTGTGAATTTTCACTATATGTTGGATCTAAGTACGACATGTTACTTTGGTGTAATGTTATATGTTATTACTCCTATGTTAAATGAGATTTGATATAATTTATCAGGATAAGTACAATATAATGACTCTTTCCATATTTCTGGGCTAAAACAAGTTAAAACAGACTAAAAGAAGCGACCCATTAACCCTTGACTCACTAGCTCGACCGGGTCAGGATACGGGTTGACAACCTTCGATTTTGGTCAAAATGTGAGTGCGGCTTGAAGAAATGTTGTTATTAGTGGAAGGAAAGCTATGTTTTTTTCTATTGAAGAAGTGTTTGGTGGATAAGCAGCACGTGGCGCGTAAGAGATGATAGTTGGAGAACAGGAAGTTACTTTACTCACTTGTTGCCATTGCCAATTACACGTGTCGTCTTATTGGGTGGTTGTAGACCTCCTCCATCACATCCCATACGCTGGCCCCTTAGTTCCCAACCTACCTTGGGCCAAGATTAATAGCCCGGCACAAGCTATAAACAAAAGCCCCATAGAAAACATGAGGGTGGATCAGGCCCAAAAGAAACTAATGGCCCAACTTCAATCCAAGTAGTCTCCTCCTCTAAAGAACCCAAAAGCTACTTCCTCCTAAACAGAAGGCCAAACATTATAAAAAAAAAAAAAAAGACACTGCACAGAAACCCTGCCACTTCATGAATTGCAGATCTGCTCACTTTTAACTGCAGTTGCCACTCCGCAATCAAATCCTACACAGTTTCGTCGTCGTCATCGTCATCGTCATCATCTCCTGCTGTTTCCTCCTCATCCTCCATGTTTGCCGATCCCCGACATGGATTCTGCCATTTCATGATGCAACAATGTTAGTTAATCAATCATAAGAACTTTGTGAAGCAAGAGAGTCAGGCTAGCAATTCAATTCAATTCCATTCAATTCAATTACCTATCTCGCTCTTGAATGTTGTCCGGATGTCCGTATCATCGAGGAGAATGGTGGGGATGTGACATATTTTGTCCCACACGGCGCGCGACACCATTTTCGGATCCAGGCGGTCGAACCTGTAACCCGCGCCCAGCCCGCCGCTGTAGTTTATCACCAGCCGCTCCAGGGTCGGTTTCCGCAGAATCACATCCGCCAACTTCTCCAGCTCCTCGCAGTCTTCCAGCTCCAGCCGACGCAGTCGGGGCATGACCGCCGCCGCCGCCGTCTTCTCTTCCAATTCCCACACCCTCCAACTAGCCATTCTCGTGAACTCAAGCCGCGTGAGCTTGGGGAACGCGATGATGTCACGTTTCGCACTCGCCGCGGCCTCGAACAAGAACTCGAGGCCGACCTTGTTCACTTTATCCATGTCGCCCAAGTAGAGCTCCTCGAGGGAAGGCAGGGCGCCCAATGGGGGAAGACGCTCCACTCGATCGCACCCATTGAATGTTATGGTTGTTAGGTTGCAGAGTGACATTAACCAGCTAGGGAATAACAAACTTCCCCCCTTGTAATTCGTTACACATAGTCCTTCCAAGTTTGACGATGGTCTTATGGCTTCCATCACTTGTTGTTGTTCTTCTTCTTCTTCAGTACCGCCTCCAAAGTCCAGGCATAAACCAGTTATATATCTTTTTTTCACGAGCTCTGCACGTTTCACCTCCTCGCAATTCGTTACCTTGCCTAACCCTGTTATTGTAAGGAGTCCCCGAATTTTGTTCATGCACTCTAGATCCCCAACATTAGTACCTCCACCTCCACCTCCACCTCCATCCTTGCAAACTACAATGGTGAATTCGGATAATCTCGTTAGGGAATTAGCTAGCCTGACTATGGATCTGGGCAGCACCGCTGGGACATGGTTGTTTTCGAGATGCTTCAACTTCACCAGCTTATTCCCCATTCCACCGGGGAGCATCTCCAAGCTCTTGTTTCCAATGAGGAGCAGAGTCTCCAGATTACACAGCTCGCATATTTCTTCCGGCAACTCCTTCAACTTGTAGTTATGGGACAGATCCAGATGTCTCAGGTGAATTAGTTGGCCGATTGTCGATGAGATTTCTCTCAGGCCACAATCGAAGAGGACTAACGACCTCACGCCTCTCAAATGTGTATACAAATCAGGTTCAATAGCACCTCCATTTCTCGCCATGAAGCTGCGCAGATAGTGATCGTTGCTACGCGTTGTTGATGAAGAGAGACGTGATGAACCGCCGATGGAGGCAATGAGTCCGTTGATTTTCTCACCGCTCAAGCCTTCGACCATTAGATGACGGAGGACCTCGTGGTTGATCGAGGGCAGTGATGAACTATATGTATCTTGATTATTCGGGATGCTGATACACTCGTTCTTGGTTGTGAGCCTGGCAAAATCATGAACCAAATCATGCATCTTGCAGCATGTTTTTTCCCCGCCCCACAGCTTCGTGGTTTTCGAATCTTGAAAGAACGAGCGCATGACGAACGTCTGAAAGTACTCTTCGCCGACTTGCTCCGCGTCTTGGTTCATTGTTGGTTTGAGAAAGCCCTGCGACATCCACAACCTGATCAGCTTGTCCTTTTCCATTTGGTAGTCCTGGGGGAATACACCACAGAACTGAAAGCACTGCCTAAGCGCTGGGGACAGATCATAGTAACTCAAAGCTAGAGGAGCGAGAACTTCTTCTCTGCCTTCCTTCATCTGCCACATTTTACTTTCCAGAATTCGAATCCAATCCCTCCGGGTTCTTTTCGAATGTAGAACCCCTCCCAGAACTTTTGCCGCAAGAGGTGAACCGAAACATTTTCTCACCACTTTTCCACAGAGGTTTTCTACTCGTTCCGTGTCCTCGGCTCTCCATCCATAAAATGCGATTCGCGTGAAAATAGCTCGACATGCATCATCGGATATCTTTTTCATGCGCAGGATATCCTCTTCGATACAACGGAACACCAGGGAAACCTCCTCTTTTCTTGTAGTCACCAGGATTCTGCTTCCAGGTAATCCCCGAGAAACGGAAGTTATTATTTCTTCCCACCTGCTCCGACGGTCTTCCCACACATCATCGAGAACTAGAAGAAACTTCTTATCCCTGGTGTGCAAGTCGATCTGTTCCAACAGGTATGGCAGTGCACTTCCTGAAGTAGATTGGTTGAGAGATTCAAGCATGGCTTTGGCGATTGTCGTTGGATCAAAATTATCAGACACACATATCCATATCCTCTTGTTGAAGTGAGCTCCCACTTCCTCATCATTGTACAGCATTTTGGCTAATGTGGTCTTCCCAAATCCACCGGGACCTTGGATAGACATACTTCTCACACCTGGATGATCACTTTGATCATCACCCAACAACTTGTGCTGCAATTCCTTCAACTCTTCTTCTCTGCCTCTCACCTCGGAGAAATTGATATTGGGACTAGTCTGCAGACTTGAGAATGAAGTCGTCTCTCTGGGAGCAAAATTGTACATGTTTTTCTCCTTATCTATATCCTCTAGACTTTCATTCAAACTTTTTATCTTTGATGCAATATCATAACGAAGACCAATTTCGTCGGTGGAGAAACAACAAGTAGGGAGAAAAGGGCATACTTGTTTCAGAACATCGGAGATCTGAAGCAGCTTCAACTCCAAGCAATTGTATCCGGCCGTAGCACCGTCGTCTTCCTCGAGCCGACGCTTGAGGATCTGGGTTCTCCACTCGTCCAGCACATCGTCGATCTCGTAGGACACGTCCCTGAGCTTCTTCAACCAGTTTTCGATGCTCTCACTCTTCAGCTGCCTCTCCTCTGCATCCAACAGCAGAGCTTCAATGGCGGTGAAAGTAGAAGTGAGCTTCTCCACGTCTTGCTCTGCCCCGACGACCAGCCTCCCACGTTGCTTGAGCTCTTCGGTGACGATGGAGCCAAGCTGGCTCAGGACTTGGGAAACAATGGCAGCCATGATGACAGGAAAAGCTAATGGCGCGGAGTGGCCAACTAGCGATCAATCAAAGGATTTAGGAAATTATCGACGATCTAATTAGGATGGGAAGGGAAGTAAAAGAAGTTAGAGTCAAAATATTATAATCAAGTCAATAATCAATCTTGTTTTAGCGTTAATTGCGCTGAACTTGTCGCTAGGTACTGCAAGTTGATCCCTGCAATTTAAAATAATTAATCTATTTTAGCGTTAAGTGCGAATGTGCGATGAACTTGTACCAACTACTAAACTGCAAGTTGGTCACTGCAATTTTTATATTGCCTGCCTGCAAATAAATTAAATAATACAGTTAATTAACCCATGGATGATGGATCTCACCCCCTCGCCCCTCAGTTATCTTTTGGGCTCTTTTATTGATTAACGCTTATGGGCCAGGAGGGGGTAGTGGTGGATTAGGTTTGGGCTTGGGTAGTTTAGATCATGGGGATTGGGTGGGCCTAGGTTTGTGTAGATTTGAATTCAATCCGCAGATTACATATTGGATTCGATTGGCAAATGGCCATATTCCGAACCGATGTAGCTTTCCATTCGGTTTGATTGGTTTGTGTATTGGTCCGGTTTGAGTTTTTCCAAACCAAATGTCTACCCCAAGGTTGTCAACACGCGGGTTGACCCGCGGGTCGACCCAATTTAACCCTGACCCGGTGAGAAAAACGGGCCGCACGGACCCGCCGGGCCGACCGTTACAAGGTACCGGGTTGGAGGTCAAATTGTGTCATTTTTTTCTTTAGTTTGTGAAATGCGTATATTTTCCAAATTTTCTTTTCGCCTAACTGAATCTTTGGAATCCTAAGTTATACATTTGAATATTTATGTTATATAAGTGTGTGAATTTTCACTATATGTTGGATCTAAGTACGATATGTTATTTTAGTGTAATATTATATGTTATAACTCATATGTTAGATAAGATTTGATATAATTTTATGAGGATAAGTACAATATAATGACTCTTTCCATAATTCCGGGCCAAACCGGGCTAAAACGGTTGACCCATTAACCCTTGACCCACTAGTTCGACCGGGTCCGGGTCAACCCACGGGTTGACAACCTTGGTCTACCCCTAGTCATAACAGACTGCTGAATCTTCGTTTGTGAGAAAAGATCCACCATAATTTGCTCGAATTTTACCGATCTCGTTTGATCAGATTTAACAAATTCAATCAAATAACCATTATAAGATGACTACGCATGGTTCCTATGTCGTCGAAAAAGTGGAAGTGGTATCAGAGTTCCAAACCGTCGCGAGCCTTATTCTTTCGGAAGATTTTTCGAGCCCACACTTGTAGAGCTATCCTCGAGGACTACCATATCAATCATAAAGCCATATTGGATAATGTTTGTTACAACATATACTTCGAGATTTTAATCAAGTGGAAGATGGATTGACGAAATTAGGATGCGATTGTTTAAGACGAGAGCGATTTTCGACTGCCCAACCTTATCTCTGATTAATAGTTACCATGATGGTACTACTATCATGAAATTCATAATTTTGTTGCTTCAATTTCGAATTTTCGATAGTACCAAAACCTTAATTACAAGGATCCAAGAGAAAGGTAAAAGAACGAAAACTTACAACCAACCTAGGGGAAGAAGAAAGAGAGAGCAAAGAGCTTCTTCCCTTTCCTGTCACCACTCAAAACATCTCTCTACGTACTTACATACTCGCTAAGAAAAAACAGAGAGCAAAAGCTTTCAAAAAAAGGTCAGCCGAATTCCCTCCGATCAGCAACAGGGACCGCCGCCGTCGCCGTCCACAACCTGGAACAGAGTATCTCACCAATGTCGGCCGGCGGCTCCGCCCAAAAGTTATCCACCATGGCCAAAACCTCCTCCTTCGACTCCAAATCAAAATCCCCAATCGATTTCACAGCCTCACCTCTCAATTCCACGGCCACGGGCTCCGATTCCTCCTCCTCCGCCTCCGCCTCCGCCTCCATCTCTTCTTCTATAATCGCCTCCCAATCAACCTCCTCCTCCTCCTCCTCATCCTCCTCCTCCGCCGCGGACAAATCAATCAAATTACCACCGGCATTGCCGCTCCCCGGCGCCGGCAGCGTCCTCTTCTGCTTCCACCGCCGGTTCTTGACCCTGCAGATGACGAAATCGTTGTCCTTGGCCCCGGGCAGCGAGAATTCGTGCATCGTCCAGTGCCCGTTGTTGTCGCCGCCGCCCTCCTCCTTGGCGGCGTCCTTCTCCTCGTAGATGAAGAAGCGCTTGAGGCTGGCGCCGTCGCTCGCCGTGTGGGTGCTCTTCATCGTCCAGCTCCCCCTGCCGACGCTGCGGTGGAACCGCGACGGCCCGCGCTGCTTCAGCCTGGCGAAGGCGTAGAACCAGACGTCCACCGCGGCCTTGTCGAACATCTCCCAAGGGTTCAGGTCGCCGTACACGTTGATCTCCGGCAACAGCAGGTGGTTCCCGCCGCCGCCGCAGCGGGCTTTGCGGTGGAGGTGGCGGATCAGGTCCGCCTCCGACGGGTTGAATGCGAGGAGCGCGGCGGTGGCTCGCAGTGGCAGCAGCGGGGCAGGGGCGGCGGCCGTCATGGTGGATTTAGGGATTCGGAAATCGGAAGTAAATATTTTGATGTGGATTTCGACGGCGATTTCTTCTCTGGAAATTGATTCGATTCGGAGGGCGATGCCCTTTTATAGGTTACGGCTCGCGGCGGACGTCGGTCGGTCGATGTTGAGCTTCTCCGATTCTTTCTCGGATTTGGTCTCTTACTTTTCTCTCTCTCTCTGCAATTGCAGCGGTGGATTGCGTTGCAAGTAACAGTGTTTGTGTTGGAGTGGGACTGTGAAGAGAGTCTCATCGTGACCCAAATTGACCAGGCTGGCGTTATTTAGGTAAATTTGATTACACTTTTAAGATTTAGCTCACTTCATTTATATATATAATTTTATTTACGAGTAATATCGATGTTTATTCGTATTGTATGTGTATTTGTAATAAGTGTTATGGACGGGTATTCACGACATGCATTCAAAGTAAGAGTACTTACAATATGTTCATAGTATACAGCATACACAACACATATTTAAGAGTATGTGTTGTGAATATTTCTGCGTTGTTGTGCGGATATCTCAACTTTTTATTATAATAATTTCTTAAAACAAGTCTGTAATATATCAATGTTGGTCTTGTTAGACTAAAAATAATAATTTAAATCTATTTATGAGATCATACTTTTACGAAATTATATATTTTTGTAGCAAGCAAAAGCCATAGCCGATATGCGCCATAGCATAACTAGTGTAACTGTGTAAGAGAATGATGCAACATTTACTTTCTTGATCTCTTATAAAATTTAAGAATATTTTGTTTTGAACAAATTCTTGCTTGGCCATGGCAAGCATGAATTAGAAGGATTCATGTGATGTCAAAATGCGGTGTTTCATTAGCAAGAATTGTGCTTGTAACATCACTCTCTGAGAAGAAGAGGGAGGCTCTCAAGGACAGAACTCCCAAATTCAATCCAAGTAGCCTCACAAAAACAAGCATAAGCTACTTCTTCCTAAACAGAAGGCCAAGCAGAAGAAAGACATCTATGTATATAAAATCCAGCAATCCTGCTTCTGCTACTACTACTAGTCTACCAATTAACCCTGCATTCTGTCTGCACAAGTCACAATAGATCACAACGACATAAGCCGCTGAATATCATCGGTACTAACTTCCTTCTTCGACTTCCCTCTACCAAACGCCTCTTTAGCCACCTTCTGCTTCCTCTCCTGCATCTCCAGCACCCTCTCTTCAATGCTATTCCGAGCAATCAGCCTCATTACCTTAACCTCCTTCCTCTGCCCGATCCGATGAACTCGATCCATCGCCTGTTCCTCCACCGCAGGGTTCCACCACGGCTCCAACAAGTACACCCTCGATGCAGCTGTCAGGTTGATCCCAGCTCCTGACGCCTTGAGACTTGCCAGCAGGACTGTCGTCGTCTTTGTTTCATCACCGCCATCAGTATCTGCAAACTCCTTCATCACCTGAGCCCTCTTCCTGGCCGTCATTGATCCGTCCAGACGCAAGGTCTTGAACCCGGCTTCCTTCAGTGGGGCCTCGAGGAGCAGGAGCATCTTCTGGAACTGCGAGAAGACTACTGACTTTGTCGTCGGATCTTCATTTCTGGAGGCTGTGAGGAGGGCTAGGAGGGTTGAGACCTTGGATGAGGTGGATCGACGAGGTGTTGATGAGGTGGATTCTTCTTGTTCGGTGGTACCGAGCGCTTCAGGAGGGGCGGAGAACAGGTCGGACTGAGAGAGCTCGCGGCGGCAGAGTGGGCACCGGGATTTGCTTGTGCCTGACTTCATGACTTTTGTGATGCAGAGACGGCAGAAGATGTGAGCACAACATGTGATCACCGTATCAGTTGGCGGGGTGATGCATATCGGGCACTCGAAGTCTTCACCGTCTTGCAGCAGCACAGCGATCTTCTTCAGCAACTCTGGGTTGGTGGAGACATCTGTTCAAAAGATTAAATTGCAATAGAAATGATTATCCACCACAGTAACTACGCATTCCTTCTAAGTTCTAACATCAGACGAATATGATGATCACGACCAGCCATGTATAATAAGGAATGCAATCTGTTTGCCTCACGCTAGTGGTGCAAAATGGACAGAAGTAATCAGATTCCTTTCCGCACTACTTACCTTCCATGGTGTAAGAAGGAAGGAGTGACTGGAGATCAGGGGGGCACAAAGCTGAGTCATTGCAGATCTGGCGTAGCCGAAGGATTAAACAAAGCACAGCTGAATAGTTGTGTGTTAAGCTGCCTGCATCAATGAAGCCTTGTACAACAAGTTTAGCCTTTTGTTCCACATCATCATACAGTTCGCGGTCTTCCCCAGAGAGTTCGATATAGCAAGTCTCCACAACTTTAGGGGGCAATCCAACTAAAGTCTTCTCTTTGGTTCTCCGCAATGAAGTAGTTGCCACTAACACCTGAAATTATATGAGAGAATGTAACCATCTATAAGTGAAACCAACATGAGCAATAGAATTCGGTAGATTCAATAACTAGAGCATGAATGGACCCTTTGCTAAAGATCTTTAATTACAATTATGGCTGTCGGGTTGTGGTGAAAGTTCAATTTCTGCTCAAAACCAGCTGATGATCTGACAGTTACTTAAAAATATTGCAGAATGCTTAAGGACAATGGTGATTTTTTTTCTCCATGGCAAGCCAAATAGCCTAATCCATTATGAGAATCAGCTTATCTTTATTATGGCATACACATTTGAGACATGAAAAAGAGCATAAAATGTGATGTTACCTGCAGTCGTGACAGCCCATTCCTATCCCCAGCATCTACAGGACGTTGTATTAGCCTTCTCCAGTAGCTTTTAGTGGAGAACGGATCAAACCGCAGGAAAGCCATCAACGAAAACATATCAGAAGGACCATTCTGGACAGGTGTTCCAGTAACAGCCCATCTATGCAAAGCCATCAAATTAAACACGGCTTTGCTTTGCTGAGCTTTGTCATTCTTAATCACATGTGCTTCGTCCAAGATAACTCTCCACCACTCAATCTTCTTCACAGGGGAATCTCTCTGAGATTCCTCACTAGCTAATGTACTGTAGGTAGTCAAGACAATGTCGTGCTTCTTCAGTTCTTCAGCGTCTTTTGTTCTTTCTCCATGATAAATGTATACCTCGAATGATCCCTGCTGAGTGTGATCCTCGAGTTGTGTCACCCAATTCGAAAGCACGGCAAGAGGACAAACGATCAAAGTCGTCTTTGTAACACCAGAAGAAGACTTATTATCAACACCCCTTGTAGTACTAATCTTCTTAGGCGGCCTACCCCTCTTTCTCTTAGCACCACTTGAGACGGATGATACATCAGTAGATGCACTAGAAGCAGATTTATCCAAAGCCACCAGAGACAGCAGAGTCAGAGTCTTCCCCAATCCCATGTCATCCGCAAAAATCCCTCCACGTAGAGGCTCCGGTCTCGTTTTCGTATGAAAATTGGTCAAAGTATTCATAAATTCCCCACCTTTCTCTTCCTCCCAAAATGGAGGGAGTTCATCAGATTTCTCCCTACTGACCAACCACCAAAGCCCTTCCTTCTGATGATCCAAAAGCTCCGACTTTATCACCTCTTTCGGGGGCTCAAGAACGCCCATCTTCTTCTCTTTCTCACCCACATTCTCATCCACCAGCTTGAATATCTCGTCCAGCTCCCTAACCCTAGATTTCTCATCCTTCACAATCACCGCCCCAGAGCTACGACTATCATACGCATCACCCAACAAACTCAACCCACCACTGTCAATCGAAGCCCTAACCAACCCGATATTCTCAAAACTAGCGAAAACGTGAATTTGACAGGGAATCTTGAACTTGTTGAACTTACTCTGCTGACTGGCGACGATACCTTCGACAACAATGGTACCGGCATCAATCAAGGGCGCGAGAACTGCTGCCACCGTCTTCTCGATGTGACCCACCTGAATTGACCTGATGTTCAGGACTCTGATGGCGTTCTGGTCGTAAGGGTTCGTCGGTTCCCGGACCAATCCCACCAATTCCCGGCCGGTGATTCTGCCGTCGTAGTAACGGAGACCCACTATGTTGGCGATGACGTAACCGACCAAGAAGGATTCGTTGGAAGGCTGGGAGTCGGCAAACTGCGAAGAACCGTCGTCCATGGTGGTGATGGGGTGGAGCGGAAAGAGGGAAAGTGGGAGATAACGCGATTTTTGAGTTTCTGCGGCTTGGCGGTTAGATGGATTTATTTCGATTTGTTTTTGCAGGAGTGATAGTTCTCCTTCTTTTTTCTCCAATTACGACGTCGTTTTCCCCTCTTCTGACTCTGTCGCATAATAATTGTGGTTTTGATCATCAGAGTTTGACTAACTGCCAATTTTGCCTCCATTTGTTTTTAAATTGTGTAAGCTTGATAGCCCTAATAAGAATAATACCATTACCACCCTAATACGAAACTTAATAGGATTGTATGACACATGATTTTTGTAGGTTCTGCATGTTTGGGTCTTACACCAAATCATTTTTCGAGGTGTCAACCTTATCGCTTTGGTGCTAGGTTGATTGAATCCACTCAATGATGAGATTTTATCTAAAAACGTGAATATAAAGATCATGCATATAAGTATAAGGTTAAGGATTCGATTGATGGAATCCACTCAGCGTGATGAATTTTTATCCAGATAACGTAAAAGTGTAACGAAACATGCATGCAACTCTAATGGTACAAGTGTGAAGTCAACATCATGTAACAACCAAGATTTTTCGCAGTCACCAAATCGATCTCGAGGTTCCTTCCTTCAATTGCTTGCGAAAGAAAGAAGAACCGAGTCTGGAGGGGACAACTACTCGTGATAACAATGAATAATAAGAATTTTGAATTAACAATCACGAATCTATCAACTGTTGTAAGTTTTAGAGTTGAGCGCCATTTACTAGTATTTCCATCACTCGAACAAAGCATTGGATTCTACGTTCTTAGTTCAAGACCATTTGACCTTATCAATTTGTAAATAATACACCAATCGCTAGCACATGAAATACTCTAAATAAAGAATGATGAGAATAAGAGCTTCTAATACATTCCATGTGATGTACTTATATTCCGATTTGTGGCTTCAAATGGATCAACATCAATGTTTTAATTAGTTTATTAATTAATTAACAAGTGAACTAAACAAGTGGCAATACGTGGGGATTTTGGAAAGGGAAATTATATAAAAATGGGAAATGGGGTATCAAAGAAGAATTGTAGTTAATTTTGGAGGGCTCCTCCCATCTCGGGTACACATGTGCTGCCCCTCGTGTTGCTTCTCATTCACTGCTCCCCAATTAACAAACCACAAATTAATTATAATTATAATTATAATTGTAATTAGTTAATGATGGTTTGAAAAGTTGGAAGAACAAATCATGAAATTTCGTCTCATCTCCAAGTTCCAAGGCCGCGTTTGTTTAGGAGAAAAAAAGGAAACCATAGGTGCTCTTTGATTGGGAATGATTTACATGTTAGAGTAAGTTGATTGACTTAGGGAAGACAACCTCATTCATGTGTGACATGAATTTTGTTGTCATGATACAAATAATTGTTTTACGTCGATGTGATGCATGTTAGAAAGAAAGTTTCAATGATGCGTGTTGAAATGCAGACCAAACAATCGAGATAAATTGAAAATATGTGTAAATGATTATGAAATGTTTGAGATGAATAGATGACAGTTTGGATTCGACTTCCTCTATTGTCTAAACTCATTTTAGGAGTAACGTCGAGGATGACTCTTACATAATCCCAAATGTATTACCATGTCTTTTTACCTTTTCAAATATTGACTATCTTTTGTTGTTATTGGTATCTCTCATAGATTGATTCCACTACAAAACAAATCTAGATACTAAGTGCCATCACCTCTATCTTAAACAATTGTGGTTTATTAGCCATATTATCCCAACCCCATTTAGTATAGTGGCTTTTCAGCTGTTATATATTTCCATACAAGAATTGAATTGTTGCATGTGTTTTGTTCAAATGAATTATCGAAAATCCTAAATTTACCAACTGATTTCAGCCTGTTACATGGCATCACTTGCTCTTAGTGATATGCAAGTATGAGTACTAAGATAGTTAATCCGTCTTGTTTAACTGTGATTCTTAGGATGATTACAAACTTTGAATGTGTTTTTTTAATCTTAGTAGACAACAACTACATTATTCCTATGTTACATAAGAGGGAGAAATAACATTTTAGTCCACTAGATATGAATCAACAAACTTCAAAGATTGAAACTTGTGATTTTGTAGATAGTATCATTAGGTAAAGTACTCCGTTATCAGTTATCACATTACATAGTTTTTTTGAAAATACAACATTAGTCTACCAAATTTAATTCATATACAACGATCACAACATTAATAATTTTGTTATCATTTTATTTTATAAATTTAAACGAGAAAAATATGCAAAATGATTTCTGTTTCTCATTTCTCTCTTTATTTTTTTGTCCCATGGAAATAAAAACAGAACAATAATTTCTTCTCTCTTTCTTATTCTTTCTCACTTCCTGTGATTCTCTCTCTATCGCTCTGTCCCTTTCCCTCGTCGCAAAGAGAGGGACTTGGCCCCCGACCTCCCACCGTCCTCCATTGAAAGAAAGCTTAAAGCTTCCCCCACAAACTTTCTTTCCCAACCATAACAAAACCCTAAAAAAATCATTTAACTTACCCACTTCCCCTTCCTCCTCCAAACCAACGGAGGACCGAGTTCCCATGTCCATCCATTTTCCCGTTCCAGCTTCTTCTTCGTCACTTCTTTCTCCTAGGGTTTCCTATCCAATCGCTGCTACTCGCGAATCTTAGCTCCGAATCTGGGCTTATTTATTCCTTTTATCCGCGTGCATCTCCTTGGTGAAGTTCGGTTCCAGGGCTTCTTCTCTGTGTTCGGTTTATGCTTTGGGTTTCCGTATAGATGGAGCGATCTGCGTCGGGTAAAGATGTTGCATCGAGGGACTTTACTGAGTCTTCTTCCTCCGGTGTGTCTCGCTTTCGTTGCTGATTCTCGTTGTTTCTTTCGTTCTGTTGGATTGGTGTTCGAATTATTGGTGGCTGTTCTTTTTTTTGTGTGTGGTAAATGCTGGGGGGTAATCAGTGAGTGAGGGGAGTTTGATGTAAGTGGGGAAGAAATGAAAATTTCGACTTTCAGATGGTTCATCGAGCTGGTTATGCTAGAAAAGATTACTGATTTATGAGTGGCATTAGACCTAGGGCTGTTAGGTTGTTTAGCATATTAGCTTGTAGATTGGCTAGATCATACGTGTGCCCAGCTTGTTTGTTGTTTCTAGTAGTTATGGTGGTCTTCGCATTCTTCTCCTGATTGGATGTTTGTTATCTTCCTGAATTTTATTGCATGGATCTTCAACCAGTTTTGACAGTTATGTAGTGGGCAAATGATCTGGATTTGATTCTTTGAACTCTTGATGGGCATATAATCTTCTTTTTGGTGGTGCACATTGAACGTTGAACTGCTCAGAAGTTCCATCTGTATTTCCTTTGAATAAAGCCGAAGCCCCCCCAGTTCATTTTACTTTCACGGGCATCTTGCATTGAAGTTCAAATGTATGACTATCTAGGTTTGATTAAATCTGCATTTGGACTGTCTTTCAGGTGGGATGTTTGATGCATCACAGTACGAGTTTTTTGGTCAACATGCTGGGAATGGAGTGGAGTTGGGTGGTCTGGAAGAAGATGAAAATCCTGTCTTTGGATCTGTCGGTGATGAATACCGCTTGTTTGATAGAGATGAAGTAAGATGTTATTTGTTGACTGTTGATGACCTATGCCGATGTTCTTCATGTATATGTGAAAGACCTTCAAGTGATACCTTGCTGTAATAATGTGCATATCCTTTGTCTTGTCGAATTTGTTTTCTAGAGCTGAGGGTGCTGAGTATGCGATTAATAGGCTGTTAATCCAAAATCTTACCTTTTCCGAGTTATTTGACCTGTGTTCACTGGTATTTCCCTTGGTAACCTTTGAAGCAGCTAAGTTTTGTATTTTATTTTCTTTCGACACTTTTTCTACCTTTTTGGTTGGCTCTATTCGTGGGGATAACTTTTTGAGTGTTGGTTTGTTTCCCGAAACTTGTTTACAGTAGCTACCAGTTCTGGTCTAGATTTGCTAGGACCATAAGCTGGCACATTGAACTTCATCAAGCCTAAGCATGAATTCCTAATCCAAACAATGGAAATGCTGTCAGTAATAAACATTCTTAGCAGTTCTTAGGAGGAGGATGTCTAGAGGTAGTAGCTTTGTCTGTTAAACCAGAAGAGCTGCTTTATCAAATTCTCTGGTTCTGTAAGCAGATGGATTTTTTTTATAGATAATGGCATATGCAGATGGAAACATGTAATGCTGGAATCTTTTGATTGTTTATTTAGCCTTAACAAGTCACCATCTAATCAGCATCCTCTGATTTCCTTTTGCAAGAGCATCTCTGATAAATATTTTGAATGTTCTTATCTTTCTCCAGGGGGCAAGCTTAGGATCTCTATCTGATATGGATGATTTGGCAAGTACTTTTGCAAAGGTAAATTCTTGAACTCACTTTTGATTTGTTATTTTGCAGAGGGCTTGTGCTTGTTTATTGCTCTTATGTTATATTGTTAAGTCTTGTGAAATGATGCAGTTTTTCGTTGTGGCTGTATATCACATTTAGTTACATCGAGCACATAGTACCTGTTCTTTTACATAATTGTCTCTTAGTTAGTGTTGGTTCTTAAGAAAGGATTTGTTTTCTGTAAAAATGCATCAGTTGCCATTACTGTGGTCGAAGTAGTTATATTATATGCTGTTGTTGATGGATCTCTTTGTGTTAGTGTCTAAAAAATGTGATTGAGGTGTTTGGATGATCTGTTTTAGGTAGTTACATCATGCTTGCTTGTTGGGACTTATTACAAAACCATAGGAGAAAGTTATACAATCTACAAACAGTATTAGGTGTGCTTGGTATGGCCGTATCAGCTGATTGTTGTTTGAACAATTTTTTATTATTATTAATGATTATGTAATGCTGTTGACCTTTACAGTCGTTGATCTTGCTCCTTCTCGTCTGTTTACCTAACCTGAATTGTGTTTCTTTTGCACAGTTGAACCGAGTAGTTACTGGTCCAAGGAACCCAGGAGTGATTGGTGACCGGGGATCAGGATCATTCTCCAGGGAAAGTGAGTTAATCTTATTTTGATCTTATGTTGTTACCTTTTGATTCATCTTCAATTAGCAGCTCGATAGTTTGAATGGATATAGTGCACTAGATGGTGGCGTAATGATGGGATTAGGTGGTTGTTATCTCTAGCTGCTATTTACTCTAATTCCAGGACCCCCCCCCCCCCCCCCCCCCCCCCCCCACCCCAATGGACATTGTACACACTTACTAGAACATAGCTATTGTCAATCTATGAATCTCATTAAACAACTCTGGCTCACAGTTTTCAGAAACTTGCAACTTTTCTTACATGGTAGCTTTCAGTTCCTAGTGTGTACTATGAGTCCTGAATTTCTTCCCTGCTGTATGTGTTCATTTGTTTATAAATATTTAGGGGTCGTTTGTTTTTTGTGAGAGTTTGGTTGAGATAGTTACATTGAATGCATTGTCTAAAATGTATGTTTTTTTTTTTGAATTTTCTGCACAAACAATTACTCAAAATTAGTGATAGTTAAATCTAAAGTTTGCGTTGAGATTGTTGGGTTTTATTTTTCTTTCAACCTTTTTTATGAGTGTTGCTTTTTCATATTATAAACAAAGGGTAAAAGTGATATAACTTTTTTAAATACTATAGCAACTATCACAGAAACCAATTGATGTAAACTACAATACACCAAATTTCTTATATACATGTATATTGTTATGCATGTATTGATGACAATGTATCAATTTGACTATCACCAAAACCAAACAACCCCTTAATGTGTTTTTCTGATGGTCCAAATTGGCCTATTGACATTGAGTATCTATCATTGTCAAATTATTCAGGTTCATCGATTGCTGAATGGGCACAAGACAGTGAATCTTCTTCCTGGTTTGATCAGCATGGGTGTGATTCAGAAGGTTTTCATGACAGCAGGATGTCTTCTTTATCTCTCACCCAACCTTCATCTGCAAGGTTCTCAGAATCAAAACCTTTGTACAGAACTTCCTCTTATCCCCTGCAGCAACATGGAGAATTCAGCAGCAACTGGCTAGATCAGCAGATATATGATACAGAAACCGTCCAGGAAAACAAGAGATGGTCATCACAGCCATCTATTAATTTCCCAGAATCAAAACCTTTACACAGAACTTCTTCCTATCCTCTACAGCAACACCAGCAGCATTTATCAAGTGAACCGGCTCCTTTTCCAAAATCAAATTTCACTTCTTTTCCGCCGCCCGGTGGCAGAATCGATCAGCCTCTACAACACTACCATAGTGTTCCTTCTCCTTCAGGCGGGTTGCAGTTGCCATATTCTGCTCCAAACATGTCTCCTCTATCGAACCCCAACTTTCATTTGGCTGGTTTACACCCTGGGGCTCACTTTGCTGGAAACATGTCGCAGCAGATCACATCTCCTGGCCTTTCTTTTAGTAACAGGCCTCAGAAGCAGTGGCTCAACCATGGTGGCTTGCTAAATCATGTCGACCATTCTACACTTTTGCAGAGCGTCTTGCAACAACAGTTGTCTCATCATCAGAATGGGCTCATGTCTACACAGTTGTTGTCGCCCCAAAACCGGTTGCACTCTTCGATTCAACCATCCATGGCTCATTTTGCTGCACTTCAGTCTCAAATCTATGCTTCACATCCATCAGCTCATAAATTAATGCTCGGTTTGGGTGATGGTAGGGAGCAGAAGCCTAAATCGCATAGAGGGCGGCATAATTCTCGATCTTCAAATCATGGTTCTGATGCTGGTGGTAGTCAGAGAAGTGACAGTGGTCCATCGATTCAGTTCAGATCAAAATACATGACATCTGAAGAGATCGAGAGCATTCTGAAAATGCAGCATGCCGCTACTCATGGCAACGATGCTTATGTAGACGATTACTACCATCAAGCTCGTCTCTCCAAGAAATCTACTTCAGGAGGGTCAAAGTCAAAGCATCACTTCTGCCCATCCCACCTGAAAGAGGTTCCTTCTCGCTCACGCAACAACAGCAGCTCTGAACAGCAGCTTTCCTATCATGTGGATGCAATGGGGAAGATTCCCATACCAACTGTACGTAGGCCCCGCCCTCTCCTCGAAGCGGGCCCTGTTTCCACCGATTGCATTGAACAGATCTCCGACAGGCCTCTTGAGAAGGAACCCATGCTTGCAGCTAGAGTCACAATCGAAGATGGGTTGGCCTTGCTTATCGATGTTGATGATATTGATCGGTACCTTCTGTTTAATCAGCCGGCGGATGGTGGCGCTCAGGTGAGGCGCCGGCGGCAGATTCTCCTTGAGGGTTTGGCGACTGCGCTGCAACTGGTAGATCCTCTCGGTCAGAGTCCTGGGAATAATACTTCAGCAGGCTCTGCATCAAAGGATGATCTCGTGTTCTTGCGTCTGGTAGCTTTGCCCAAGGGTAGGAAACTCATAACAAAGTTCCTTCAGCTTCTAATCCCCGGCAGCAACCTTGTACGTATTGTGTGCATGGCGGTGTTCCGGCACCTCAGATTTTTGTTTGGTTCTGTGCCCTCCGACCCAGCAGCAGCCAAGACGAGCGTGAACCTGACAAAGACTGTGTGTGTTTGCATCAGTGGCATGGATCTTCATGCACTCAGTGCATGCCTTGTTGCAGTTGTTTGCTCATCAGAACAGCCGCCATTTCGCCCTCTTAGCAGTCCAGCTGGTGATGGAGCCTCAGTTGTTTTGAAGTCTATTCTAGAGAGGGCAACTAAACTGTTAACTGATCCTCCGGCTGCACGGCCGGTGGTACCCAACTTTGCTCTCTGGCAGGCGTCCTTTGATGAGTTCTTTGATCTGCTGACTAAGTATTGTTTGGCGAAGTATGAGACTATCCTGCAGTCAGTCTATGCGAAAACGCCAACTGGTACAGAGGATATTGATGAAGATGTACGTGGAGCGACTAAGAGGGAAATGCCAGTTGAGCTTCTGCGTGCTTGCCTCCCTCATACTAATGAACGCCAGATGGAGCTATTGAGACATTTTGGACAGCAGCGGAATTCCATGACTGGACTGAGTACACACTCGGGTTCTAGCAGCATCATAAGTTCTGAATCAGTCAGAAGTTAAATCCAGATCAGTTCCTTGCGAGAATGTTCCTGTGGGTTATTATGTCCTGACAGGAGAAGTGGGGTGTAGCTGCAGCTGCTACTGGGGTTCTGGTCTTGATTAACGGTCTTAATGTTTGACGTTGTGGAAACTGTGTTCTGACATCGGCTGACCTATATTATGATTAATCGTTCAATGTGTATATGGTGGTGATCAGTGGGGAAATGGCGATTATCAGGGATATGGGATCGAGGATACCACAAGGGGTGAAACTGTACAGTAGTGGTGGAACTGGAAATAGATCAGTAGAAAGTTTCTGTCTTCATATTGGAATCATGGCTCTTCGTTGGACAGGGAGTTTCCGGGCTCCCGAAGGAAGTTTCTTCTCTTTTTAGGACTTTTGGATGCTCTCCTTCTCATGGATAGCTGAAATATGCTTAGCTGGGGTGGCTAAGACTGTATTTCTGAGTCCGTCTTTGTAATAATTGAAACGAGAGGCTATAGAAGTGGTCATGGAAGATGGAAATTTTTAGAACAGATTTAGTAACCATAGCTTTTAGTTTTACTACTCTAGTCATTTCCTCTCCTTTCTTTCATGTTTCGTCTCTGTGGTTCCTTTTGTTCTTTCTTTCCTCTTTCCTTGGTTCATATTATTAGCAGGATCAAGAAATCTGAGTGTATGAAGAATATGGCTACACTTGTGGTGGTGGGTGCGCTTTCCTCCTTGTCCACTTATGTATTCAAGGAGAAGGCGGCAAGAAAGATGCTTTAGTTCTTTTTCTCCTTTCCTTTTATCATCTGTTAGTGGGAGTTCAAATAGTAATGAAAAGAGCCTCAGAAGGCGATGTGAATCAAATGCTCTCAATGATTGAGGGTCAGTGGAAGTATGAGTGCATGGATTCTGTTTTTGTCGAATCCTTTGCAGGTCAGGAGTATGTGGCTTTGCTGAGGTTGGTGTCGTCCTGTATTTTGTGGAAAACAGCCAGCCAAACCGCTCAATGATGGATCTCTAGGGCTTGTAGGTGTGGCAAGAAGAAACGATTGTATTTCTTGTTTTTCTGTGGATACTACATAAAGTAAGCTTTGTGAATTGTTTGAGCAAGATAATGTGGCTGTTCGATCTGCAGCTAATTGTTTTCTTCTGGGTTTGTACTGGTTAACGTTGGTCATTGGTGATTCTTGAATGGTTTTTTCTTTTCGCAAGCAATGACTGTTAATATGATTTTTCTGGTTCTTACAAGCCTTGGATTGAAAGGAGTAAACTGGCTTCTCCCTGAATAGTCTTGCACAATTCTTTTTTTTTTACACAATTCATTTTCCTCAACAACTATGCGTAAGTTTCCAGATGTTGTCAATTCATGTACTGGTATGAGAAACTGCCCCCCGCAGGAATCTTCATCGAAAGGAGCAAACTGGCTTCACCTAGAATAGTCTTTCTTACATAATGCATTGCTCTCAAGGTCTCAACAACCGTCTCAAAGTTCTTTTTCTCTCTGCACCTTCTAGCATTACACAGCAACAAATGTACAATACCTGGAGCCTAGCTCATGCTACAACACAATCGGCCGTCAATTCTCCAAAATCACGCGGTGCGCTTTGAACGAGAGTATCACATTCCAAGCCAGAGCAATCACGTTTGCAGCAAGAACCTGATGAAAGTAAAAAAGCAAGAGAGTATTACATACCTGAGAAGTATGCATAATCGAGAAGGAGCAAGCATGAAAACAATACACTGCGGTTTGAATTTCAGAGCACACTGTAAGGGAATGCTGCACTACTATTTAGAAAGCTGCTACTGATTATACCTGAAACTGCTGCGGCACGAATCTGAAGTTGAGAAACTGAAAGGGGATCCACAGTTGCCAATTTGCTATGATAGAAGAGAACCATTCCTAAAAGAGAAAAAAGGTGGAAGCAGAGTTTCAATGGATAACATATTCTGCATGCTGCTCTAAGTAATAGACATGAAATCAAACAATGCAGGGAGCTGATAATATAACTGCGAACCTGTTGCAGTCTTGGCATAACTTGAGCAGGTTTTCCTTCAAGCACAGTCAATGCTGCTAAGAAGACACCGATGAACACCGGAGAGAAAAGGAACTGTGAAAACAAGTGAAGGAAAGGATGGTGAGATACAATGTGGTTTCAAGCGCGGGTTGGTAACCAAAGCTCGGGGGAGAAGAAAAGGAACATTGAAATGGTAACCTGGTCGAGTATGAGACGTGTGAATGCACCTCCTGCTCCTGGAATAGTTACCAACTTACTCAGATACAAATACCTACCAAGGGGGGAGATCAGATTAGACTGAGAGTTCTGTCAGAAACATTTAAAGCATAATCTGACTGAATAACCATCGTTAACAATTTGAACTTTCAGCTTATCCTAAATTCGGCAAAGCATCTAATATCATCTACTTTGTTCTTTAAGGGACAAAGAAAATAAGAGAAGCAATCCAGAAGTTACCAGAAATGCAAAGTGGGACCAACTAGTACCAGCCCCAGAAAGGCAAATAGGAAAGTCCTCTTGAAGTCTGGAGATGGAACTTTATCAATCACAAGCTGAAAGAAAGTAACATATATAGCAACTCAATCAACTTCGCTTTGGATTATCAGCTCATAACAAGTTAAACAAGCAAAACCGGATATGATAAGAGACCCAGAAGACGGGATGAGGAAAGCAATATAACACACAAAGACAATATCGTGATACACAATCTGGACATTATGCTGACAACAGCAACAGATTAGCCAAGTTAGTCTAATTGACATTTTATACAGTGTTCTTCAGCACTGCAAAACTTGGTATTTTCTTTTGAGAAAGCAGATTATCGACATTGACTTATCCATACATAAACAACCCAACTAATGTTTGTTATTGTGCATACCAACGACTCAATTTTCAGTCAGATCTTCAAGCAGATTCTACATAACAAGATGATCATCTACACTATACACGGAGGAGGTGGCCAGCGAAAGAAACAGAACAAAAAGATGAGAAAATGCGAAAGAACTATCACATCGCCATTGCCAACCTTAAAAGCAATGGATAATTGGTCAATTGGATATATACCTGACAGATTAAATCTCCAAGAAAATTTAGAATTCCGGATGTAACAGCTTTGGTAAGAACAGGATACTTGGCCAGAAGACTCAAATACCTGCAAAATTTCCCCTTTTCAGGCCAGCAATTAAACAAAACCATAACGCGAAGCTTGGAACTGCATAAATATGCAAGCTTTTGGTTACCATGAAAGCAAAGACCAGTTATTTCCACCAGGAGAAGAGCCGCCATCATTGGCGCCTTCACCACCGCCGCCGCCAGAGTTTCCATCGCCATATCCTCCTCCTCCACTCCCGCCACCAGAAACCGCCAAAACTCGAAATCGAGAAGAGCCCAGCTGGCTAATTCCAGCTCCAGAAGACCCCAAAACCTTAAACAGGGGCGAGCGAGAAGAGTTCAAGGAAGCGGAAGAAGCACATGCCGCGAGCCCAGATAGCCGAACTTGGTTAGCGCAAGCTCGAGGGAGCTTAGGAACTGAAAGGCGAGGAAGAGGAATTCCACCCAAACGAAACAAGAGCGGGGTTTTGCGGGCGAGAGAAACAGGGTTCTGTAGTGGCATCATCGTCGTCGAACAAAGCCCCCCAATTAAGATGGTTTAACGTCTCCAGAGAAGAAAACAGGAAATGGTGTAGAATTCTTCTGTAAACGATGATTATGCACAGAGGGAGTGAGCTCGAGCTGAACTGAGAGGAGAGAAATGGCTTAGAAGGCTAAAACCCTGCCGCCTTTTCTCTTCTCAGATGGCATTGCTAATGACGGAAGAGGATGAGGGTAAAACCCTTGCTTTTTCTCTCTCATCAAGCGTCATCATCATCATGGCAGTGGCACACAGCAAAAGTTCGAACGAGTAAAAGTTCTGTTTCAGTCACTGACTGTATAAATTTTGTTGATAAATTATTAATTAGTCCACGAAATGATATGGATCCAGAGTTTGTGTACTGAGACTACAAAGGAAAAATGTTTATGGGGTAATCTGAGCTTTTTGCACGAGTTCTGGGTTTGGGGGGAAATTAAATTAGATTTTAGGCGCCGGGGTTTAACAGTCGGTCACATTTCTCAGTGAACACAGAAACGCCCGCCAACGGCAGCCATAGTTGCCGATTTTCGCTCCCGCGTTGAGCTACGTCGCCACACTCGCAGTTCTCCGTTCTCAGGTTCCGATGACGATGCCGTCCTTTCCACAGCCCGGCTCCGTGACGATTTGCGAGATCAATCGGCAACTGAGTAAGTATATCATCTCTTTCCGATTCTCCGTCTTTAGGGTTTTAGGAGGATAGCCGGAGCTCGTTGCTCACTGTGTTATGGTTACATTTGTGGTGCGCAGTTGCGGCTGAGAGTTTATCGGATGATCGAGCCAGAGAGACGTACGGGAAGCTACTGGTATTGCTTTCCATCTCCGTAGTCTCTCCTCTCCTTTCGCGCGGTTCCTCTTTCTTTTTTTTTTTTTTTAGCTTGGATTTGTGTTGTTCTAGGGTGCAGTGTTCAGTCCGGTTCCTTTCCAAGCGGATCAGTTGGCCGCGTCCCCCAACGTGGAGCAGGAAGCTGAGCAAGATGGGAGAGGTAATGGAGAGAGCGTTGGACGGAAGATTTTAGGCAAGGCGTTTCAGGGCTTCGTTGATATGTTTCAGCCGAATTATGTAAGCAACCTGCAATCGTGCTAGCTTCTTAATCTGTTCCCTGTGAAGTCATGATACACATTTATGTCTGAAGTTGATCGAGTTTATCATAGGCTCATAGCTGTTTTCACACAGTGTGGCTGGTCGTGAATCTTGATGAGTTTCAAGGTTGTAAGGGGCGTGCTTGGTCGTGAAGCTAACAGTTAGAACTGGTTCTGATTGATCCGTGAGGTAGTATATGTTGGTCAAGGCAAATTCATCGTGTAAAATAGTCTGGAATACACCATCAGAAAGCTTCGATATTTGGTAGCCGATACATAGGGTTGGTTGTTTGGGTGAAGTACCTGAATAGATTCATGTGATGACTAAATGGTGCCTTCTATATCTTGACGTTAAAGTAAAGAAGGGCTATCCTAGGGTGGCACTTAGGTTGCTTTGTCTATTAATAATAGTCTCTTGAATATGAGAGAGAATGTTTGAGAACTTTGTTTTTCAAATTAAAATTTCTTAGGTAAACTTGTTACCAGAGGTTGGTCTCCATGGCGTGTCCTGGCATCAGCATAAGCACATAATTGCATTTGTTTCTGGCCAAAACCAAGTCACAATTTGTGATTATGAAGATTCAGGTAAGTTTCTTCATTATTTCTTCCACGTTTTCTCCATACAAAAGGGAATATATGTGTTTTCCCTTGAGGTTACTTTTCACACTTAAATGTGTAATGTCTCCACAGAAGGGAAGGATTGCATCTTGATTTCCGAGTCCCAGAGAGATGTTAAGGTCTTGGAGTGGAGACCGAATTGTGGAAAGTCACTTGCCATCGCTTGCAAGTAAGTATCTAAATTTCCTTCCCGTGTTTAGACTTTACATTGTTAATAAGTCATGTTTTTGGGTGGATCACAATAGCTTATGGAGCTTCTCAATTATTGGACTGAATTTAGGGGTGGAATCTGTATATGGTCTGCATCATATCCAGGCAATGCTGCAGTTGGCAGATCTGGCGTTACATCATATCTGGCAACTGTTTCTGGAGGATCTGGATATCAGTGGGCTCTCGTTGATTTTCTTCGAAGTTGCAATGATGAGAAAATTACTGCACTCTCTTGGAGCCCCGATGGACGATATCCTTTAGATGTAAAACCTAGCTTTATTGATTCACATCTTTCACTTTGTTAAGTTGCTGTTTCGGGGCGTGAATCGGAGCCGTCATATTTCTTTCTAGCTTCTTTGTCCTTTTAACTTGCAGCCTTATTTTTCCTATTTATAATTATATGGATGGTTCCTTTATCAGTTTGTCAGATAACGGGGCAACTTGATTGGTCTAATTATTCTACTGTTGCTATGCATGACTTTCATATGTATATGTTTCTCAGTTGGCTTTTCTTTAAAAGAAGTATCCTTAACTATGCTTCACATACTTGGCATCTGCTTCTTATGAGACCTCCGCATTCACCATCTGGGATGTTGCACAAGGTAATGCTCTAGGGCTAGAGTCTTACTCTTCTTGGATACTGTGATGACAGTAGCTGTTTATGTATGAAATAGCAGAATTCATGCATGGATATCTGTTGTTTTCAGAACCATTTATCTTAAACCCTTGCTAGCATGTTCAACACTTGGACCTAAACTATTTTGTCTCGTTTAGTTAGGGGTAATCTATTAGTTTTATCTACTATTGCTATGTCAGCTGGAAAATCATTTGTTCATTCTAATGATTTCTGGCACATTCAATCAGGTGCATTCAGTTACTGAATCTATTGATCTAATTTTCCATATTTTACAAGCTTTCGCGGAAAAGAAGGCTCGGGATTGTTTCTTTTTGTAGATGCATTTCCATTTAATCTTCTCTTTGGTCACATCTGTCAGTGTCTTTTATGCACTGGCATTACTTGCTGGATCTGGGACGCCTATTCGGCGGGGATTAGGTGGTATATCAATGCTCAAATGGTCGCCTTCTGGAGATAGCTTTTTCTCCGCCAAATTGTATGTTGTAACTCCCTGCTGTTCACTGCTTCAATATGAATTATGAAGCTTTGATATACTATATCTATGCTACTGCACAAGACATGTTCTAATCATCATCCTTTTTTTAGTGATGGAACATTTTATCTGTGGGAGACAAACACTTGGACATCTGAACAGTGGTCTTCTTCTAGTGGGTTTGTCACAGTAAGTGCCTTATCAAAGTCTAAATCTAGTTTACAACAAGCAATTGAATCATCAACGTTTTGCTACTTATGTGTGTACTTATGAATATTGTGCCAGGAAGTGGTTACCTAACATTTTCTTTTTGGTCTCAAAACCTACTTGTGTGTGTCTGTCATATGCGACCACAGATATGTGCAAGGATTCTGTGTCAACTGGTTTATATCTGCCTTCTATAACTTGTCTTTTTCTCCTTGCCTCTCTTCTTTCTCTCATTTTTGGATGCTCTGTTTTGTTTCAGACTTGTCATTATTATAGTAAGATAAATGTTCATGGCACTAGATCCTTTGACATGCTGCTAAAAGTATCTAATATGAAGTCTTATATTGGTTCATATTCTTATCTAGAGTGTATAGTTTTTTACTTCTCGTCCTACACATGTGTTACATCATCTGAAACCCTTTACATTTGACTCCTTTTACCTTTTTCTGGATTCGCGTGGTGTTTCACATCAATATGCTTCGTCCTTGTGCCATCCTATTTTTAGAGGTTCTCGTCTGATTGTGCTCAAATCTGATCAGCACTGGGTTTGGATTGTTCATGGTTGAAATGCACTAAGCCTTGAGATTTCGATTCTTGTAATCACAGGGAGCGCAATGGGATCGTGATGGCCGTATTGTACTGCTTGCTTTCTCTGGATCTTTAACATTGGGCTCTGTACACTTTGCATCAAAGCCTCCCTCTTTGGGTATGAAGCTTGACCATTTAAATTCATCCTGAGTTGGCTTGTCCGAAAAAGGTCACCCATAACTTTTCCCTTTTTATAAAACTGATTAAGTTAGAAACTGAATTACTTGAATTTTCAAGTTCCGGTTTTTTTTTTCCTTACCCAAAACGTTTTTGTTATCAAACTGGGCTCTGCAGCTCCATATTAGAATCTTGATTTTCTTTTTAATTGTTCCTTGTAGATGCACATCTGTTACCTGTTGAGTTGCCAGAGATAATGTCATTGACGGGCAGGTATGGTAGACAAGGATTGATGTCTCTGCTGTAGTAAAGCTAGGAACATTAGACTTGTGCTATACTCCAGTGTCTTCTTCTAACTGCACATTGCACAACGAATGCTTGCATTTTCCCAATTGATTGTTTGTTCTAGGTTCTCAGATGTTTAAGGATAAAGGCTGCTTACATGTTACCTTAGATTTCAAAAATTTATCATCACAACTTCTGCGTGTTGTCGTATGTTTGCAGTCGTGGGATTGATAAGGTAGCCTGGGATGCTTCCTGTGAACGATTAGCCGTGTCTTATAAAGGAGGGGATGAAGCCTACAATGGCCTGATTGCCATATTCGACACAAGGAGGACTCCTCTTATTTCTGCATCTCTAATGTATGTTCTGTTTTTCTTATATATTGTTTCTCATGAATCTGATTATGAGAATACGAGTGCTTGACAAGATCTTGTTATGATCTTGATCCAGTGGCTTCATTAGGGGACCTGGAGAAAGCCCGAGGCCACTCACGTTTGCATTCCACAACAAGTTTAAACAGGGACCATTGCTTTCTGTGGTACGTGCCTCCAAACATCATTTTAAACATGTTATCTTTGTCTAATTATTCTCTCATCCGGTCATTTCTTTCTGCAAAATATCTATCTGTTTTGCAGTGTTGGAGCAGCGGGTTCTGCTGTACATACCCTCTGATCTTCCATTCTTAAAGCTAAGCTTTGGCCATCGTTGCCCAAGGTAACACATCTTGCTATTAAGAATTTTAAACACTTGCATGAGTTTTCGAAAGACTATCACGGAGCTCTCCCACACCGTTTTTCTCGTTAGTCTCTGAGAATCGTTCGACAACTCCTCTTATCTTTAGGCAATTGTTTTCTTTTCGGTAGGTTCATGACTTGGGGTTCAACTCTAGTTGCCATTTGGAAACACCTCTATGTAAAGGATCAAATGTTGTTAAGGGTAATGTCTGCAAATTCTTGGAAGGTTCGACAATCCAATCCTGGTGGCGGTGATTAGGTGCGAACCATCGAGTTCTGTTTCCCTCTACATTCGGAGTTTGCAAACAGAGAGCGATTATCTGGAGGGAGATTTTTGGAGCCTATTGATAAGGCTATGGTTTGCTCCAAAATCCAGCCTCGGATTGTGACAGATGATGCTTTTGGTTAGGACAGTCCAAACTAAAAACTAGTCAAGTCTATGGTCGTGTCTACCTTGTCCTATATTCTCTTCTCCGTCGAAAGGTTGAAAGACCAAATGATACCTATTAAGATCCTTTGACAGATTTAATTGTTAATCTTTTTCATAGAATCTTTGCATAAGCATATATTGGTTTCCAGAAATGGACGGTTAGAACTGAAACAAATAGAGGCGGCAAATGGAATCAATCAATCATGGTGGGGCCTTCGTTTCGACATTTGGAGCCCAATTTCTCCACCCAGCAAAGATTCCAGCCCGGCAATGGTGAAGAACAAATCCGGCTTGGTCATCAGAAATTTATGCAGAACCGGTTTTGGTTCGCCCGGTCAGTTCACCAACAGTTTACGTGAGCACCCAAGCGGAGCTTGCGGTTGAGCTAGGTGATGGACGAAACTATCGTGTCCGATACTTCGACCAAACCTTCGATCGAACCTTCGACCAAACCTTCGATCGAACGTCATTACGTGACAAATAACGATATTGAGATACGTCCCGAGTCCCGACTACTTGCTGCCTAACTCAATTGCATTTCATCTAATCTGAATATGATACTTCTAACAACAAACAATAGTCATAGGCATAGCCGCGTGAGTGTAACTGAAAAGGTCATAAAGAGGTGGCCTTCACGTTTGCCCATCTTACACAATTCGTTCTTCTTCGTTGGTAGCACTATTGATGTTTTGGGTTGGTCTCTTAATTCATCCAAAAAAAGGGAATCATTAGTAGAAGAATCAAAAAAATACGTGTTGATTTGAATGTATTTATTATAAGGAAATGAAAATTATCAGTAAATACGACGGGGAAGAATCAAGTGCCGAATTACCAGAACCTTTCTTGTAGCGTCTATACGCATTAGAAATTGGGGAGGAATAAAATCAATAGTTAATAATAACCCATATATGAGAAAATGAAAAGAAAGGAATATATGGGGAAAAAAATAGGAATAAATATTTTTACCATTTTCCAGTTAGGATGCAAACATACAAAATATACCCATCAACGAAATGAAGACAAACATTATTGTCTTTTCTTTTTGGTAGGAGACGATATTGTTTAGGTTCATTAGGATAACTACTTAATTATGCTTACTTATACCAATCCTTGTTGTGTGTTACCCATCATGAATTCAAGATAAGTACGATTAAGCATATTGAATTATGCTTACGGTATTACCAATAAGATTATTTCGCCAAAATTACACATTTTAATGATATCATGGTGTTAACAAAAACGGGTTATTATTTATTGTGTAGATGGGGCATATTTACTTAGGCAAACATATTCTTCTGATGACTAATTTTTTTTTTGCATTGAGAGGAGGCCGCAGCCGAGCAAGAGAAAGAGTTACAGAGGCAGATTAGGGGGTGGAGGAAGGAGGAGTTACAATGCGACGTTGAACAGTAGCTCCTAACATATCATCTCTGAGCACTTGCTTTAGCCCGTTAGGTGGTTCCGCAAGCTCATACACACCGTAGGGATAGACGAGACTGTGCTTCGAGAGCCAGTCCGCGGCTCTATTTCCTTCCCTGTATGTATGAACAATGCGAACCAACCATTCGCGACTAATTCTGATGACTAATTAAAAATGTCGTTGAAACTATGAAAAAATGTTCATTTTAATATTTTATATTTAAATCTGAGAAAAGCCAGGAAACCGCCGGATGGAGAGTTGGGTTCATTTTCTGGAAGATCCGCCCGTTCCCCGGCTCCCGCCCGAAGTCATCGTTTACCAACAAGCCAGCCAGCTCAACAATGGCGAACCCACTCTCTTTCTATCTCTTCCTTCTCTCACTACATCATCGCCCGCCCGCCCGCCCCTTCAATTTCATAGGGCAATACGCCTCTTGGCACTATCAGAGGCAGAGAGACAAAATTGTGAGAAGAAAAAGGAAAGACATTTACAGAGAGGAAAAATAAAGGCAACAAACAACGTAGAGGAGAGTAGAAGGGGAGGGAAGACGATCTCTTCTTCTTCCTCTTCTCCCACTCACCTTCGTCAAACCCTCCCTCTCTCTCTCTCTCTTCACTCGAACGGATTGTGTTGGGGTTTTTCATCCGTCGACATTCTCGATTTTGATTTTTTTCGTAGCTAGGGATCACAGAGAGAAAGAGAGAGTGAGAGAGGGGTTAGAGTGTTAAGAGAGATTTTTCGGACGGCTAGCGATGGCCGCTGATAAACCCAAGAAGCTTTATCGAGTTTGGAAAGGAAACAATGTTAGTCCTCTTCTTCTTCTTCCTCTTTCTACTTTCATTGCTGTTGATGGGTTCACTCAATTATGGTTTGAATTGGATTGGGTAGGGTTTCATTTCTTCATTTCCCCCTTTTTTGGTATGATCATGCAACGGAGTTGATCGTCTATTGGGTATCAACTTGCTTAGTGTTTTGGAACTGTTTCATTCCCAGAAATTCAAATTCTTTTACTGTTTGAGTAAGTTAGATAGGTACCACTAGTAGTTTAGTAATAGCTTTGCTGCAAAGTGATCGTTTTAGTGTCTGATGATAGTTCAGTATTCTCTGCCTTCTGGTTGCTTACTTGCTTTGATGATTTAGCTGATGATCATCAGGTTGATGTAAAGTACTTGCAAATATTTGGCTTTGTTGCCTAATAAGTTGATCCCTCTTTGTATTCTCCAGAGGTTTCTCTGTGGTGGAAGACTGATCTTTGGTCCTGATGTGGCATCAATGTTCTTGTCCATGTTCCTCATTGCTGGACCTTCGATTGCTTTCTGTGGAAAGTTATATTACACAATTGTGAATGAAGATGTCAAGAATCCAGCCCATTGGTATGCTATATTGATTGGAGGCTGCGCTCTCACCGTGTTCGTAAGTATCATTCTGGCTTTTAGCAGCAAGCAATCTCTTGTAGGAAGTAACTAGTAAGTAGTAATCGATGAGTGGATTCAATAAAGAGTTCCTTTGTGACTTGGGAGTGGTATAAAATGGATGAACAGTTCTGCCTTTTCTCTTAGGATGTAGCTGATCGCTCTTGTGAAAAGTAGATTACTGATTCGAAAGTCAAAACTTGTTGCAGGATCTGCTGTTTCTCCTATTAACATCTAGTAGAGATCCCGGAATACTGTGTAGAAATTCAAAGCCTCCAGAGTGCGATGAAATTTCAGACATAAATACCCCATCCATGGAGTGGGTGAATGGCAGAACCCCTCATTTGAAACTACCGCGCACAAAGGATGTGATGGTAAACGGGCATGCTGTGAAGGTTAAGTACTGTGATACGTGTTTACTGTATCGTCCTCCCCGTGCTTCTCATTGTTCAATCTGCAACAACTGTGTCCAGAGATTCGATCATCATTGCCCTTGGGTAGGGCAGTGCATTGGCATAGTAAGTTTGTTTTATTTTCTATGACGTTGAAGCTTAGGATGCTTCTGCTTTTGATAATAACTGTAGGGCTGAGAATGATGTCGACAGTCGAACTTTTTATGTTCTGTACTTACTTATTAGCTTGGTTGCAGTCTTGCTGAATCCCATCACAATGACCTGTTCTTTTTGCAGCGAAACTACCGGTTCTTCTTCATGTTTATAGCAACAGCAACCATCTTGTGTATATATGTCTTTGTGTTCTCTTGGGTCAATCTCCTTCACAAAGACATGAGTGTCTGGAAAGCTATGTCTAAAGATGTGCTCTCCGATTTCCTTATCGTCTACTGTTTTGTTGCTGTCTGGTTCGTTGGAGGCCTAACAATCTTCCATTTCTATCTAATCTGCACAAATCAGGTAATCCGTGGCAGTGCTATTTCGTCTCAACTATGTTCAAGTTCTTCATTCTCTTAAATTTCTATTTGACATATTCTGATCCTTGTGTTGTGCAGACTACCTATGAGAATTTCAGGTACAGATATGATAAAAAGGAGAACCCATACAACAAGGGAGTGGCAAGGAACCTCTTGGAAACTTTCTTCACAAAGATCCCCCCTTCACTAAATAAATTCCGTTCACTTGTAAAGGAAGATCCTCCTTCTGTGATGCAACCCGTGACAGATAATCATGGTGAAGGGTTTAAGGACACAAGTGATCTGGAAAGGAGAGCCAAGTATTCAGAAGAGCGTAGTAGTTATTCTCTTCCTGAGATTCTTAGGAATTTGGACTACGACGACGACGATGATGATTCAGAGAACTCAAAGAACTCCAGAGATGGAATGCCTACTTATGACAACAGCATCCCTGGCGATGACAATGTAAAAGAATCTATAGAGATCCCTATACCCGATGAGGTTCTTGATACAGAAGATGATGGCCGCATTGAAGAAATTCTAAGAAGCTTGAGAGACTCTTCGCAAGAATCGCATGTCAAAGATGGAGAGATAGAAATTGTTCAAAGCAGCTCCAGTTCTGTTGAAAATGGAAATGGAGAGTCTATGCAACATATGACTGCTGGAGATAAGACTAAAGATCATTGTGTTAAGATTCCTGATCAAACCCTGCAAATGGGTAGTCCTCGATGACTTAAAGGTAAAAACTTTGGAGAAATCTCTTCCATTTATCTTCTCCAACAAGAAAGGCATTGAACCAATGAGCCAAGTAACGAATGCAACTATACCAGGTTTTCATACTAAGCTCTCGGTGTTTGGTACATAACCGCTCGCCGGTTCTTTTTACAGATCGAGACCTCTTCTCTGGCTAGAACACTAAGGAGGAATGGAAGCTAGGATGCAAGTTCCTGGCCGCCGTGGCCACTAAGCTAACAAAGGTGTAGATACATTCATACATACAAACAAGATTCTTAAAAAGCTAGCTAGCTAGCTGCATTTGCTGTAAGCTGTAAATCGTTTCTCTCTCCATCATGGGTTTTCCTTTGCTGTTTTGTTTTCCTTTTTGGGGGTTCTCTTCCTTTCTAATAATGCAGAAAACCTGGAAGGGAAAGTATCCAACTTGTAAGGTGGATTGGTGTTTCTGAGGAATTTTTGGTAGGATTATTCTTTCTCCTTGAGAAATATTTTCTTTTTGGGGTTCACTATTCATTGAAGAAGAAACCTCTTGATAGTTCATTGTTTAGTTTCAGGTTGGATAGTACTTCTTGAGCTTAATTTAGTTCCTGAGGAATTCTTTCTATTACACTGGAGTACAGTTTCTTTTTTAGTACTTGTTCTATGTGGTGACCTTGTGTGAAAGTTAGGGCACTTTCTGACTGCTACCAAGTTAGGACACTTTACAATTTACATGTTTGAACCTCGGGATCACTATCATAAACATAAAAGATTTAGAGCATTGGATGCAGTTTTGATGAAACCATGATCGAGATAATAACAGGACACAATCTCAAAATAGAATAAACAATTTGATCTTTAGAAATGTTACCACATAGAGCCCTTATAGTCATCACCATCGACATCAGTCTTTGAAATTTGATTTTACCTAATCGGAGCAACCATCATGGTCGCTAGTTGCTACTCGCTAGAGCTATCTTCGACATCATCGAAGAAGTGGACTCTTCAGCACTGCAATCTGAGCTCTAACCCTAAGTTGTACCAAAATTGAGTACTAACTAAACTACAAACTCTTACTAATTTGTGCGACAAATAGGGATGACAATTTCGACCTTACCCGTTTTACCCGACTTGTTTAACCTGTTTTGGCGCGGGTCCGACCCGCCCCGTAGGCGGGACGGGGCGGGCATGGGTAGTCTCATCGACCCGACCTGCCCTGACCCGCCCCATTCTCGACCCGTTCTTGTTTAAATTACATGTAATCTTAGTCAAATTACTTAGAATTTTCCTTTTATTAGATCATATTTTAGCTAGCATAAAGTTGTAAATTAGTAAAAACTTCAATTTCTCCAATAATTTAACTACAATTGTCATAATATTGTTTGTTTTCTTAGTCTTATAATTAAAATAACAAATATTTCTAATGTTTTTCATATAAATTGCATACCCATTGGGTCGACCTGCCCCGACCCGCGACCCGTGATCAATTACCCGACCTGGACCCGATCTGCCACGGGGCGGGTCTGGGTACCAAGAAACCCGCCCCGGACCTGCCCATTGCCATTCCTGCCGACAAAACACGTATCGACGATCAATGGAATTAGTACTCCTTTTCTTTTGCTCTATGCAATGACTAATGATCCCTAAACACAATATATATGCCAATATGAACCAAGTTTTTGGAGTGAAGGAAAGGGCCATTTCACCAAAACAAGCAATTTCCCAATCCCAGTTGGGATTCCAAGTTTTTGGAGTGATGCTTGAAAAACAACACTATTCCAACAAGCAAACACCATTAATTCTTTGCCTGTGGAAATGTAACCACAACAAATTTTTTTTTAAACCTTTCTAGGAAGCAATTACCTAAATAAGTCATTGTTGAGCAATTCCTTTGTTTTCTTTCTCTGCTGTGACCTTCCAATATTGTTAGGATAATAAAGAACATTCGTTGTGTTTCTCTCATTTGATAAGGAACTAAACAAACCGACTGCACACGAAAGATTGTGCTATGGGAATTCTGTTAGTGGGTTAGAGTAAGTAATCCACATTATCCATATTGTATTGCATGTGAAGAGCTCTACTTTTGTACTAGTTTTGTTTCTCTTAAGCAAATTGGGGAAGGCAAATTATTTCAGTGGATTGGGAGATTTAATTTGTAGGGTTGCTCGTAAATATCTACATATATCATGAAATTAGAGTAAGAATTACGGTGAACTTTGAGAGATCTTAAGAGATTGTGATGTATACATATAATTTGCAGTTAGTGTCATTAAGGCGATACATCCTGCATTCCAAGAAAAACATTGATGAGTTGATCACCTTATATACTAACGAGTTAATTGTGTTACTACATACACAAAGTTGTCGAGTAGATTAAAATGAAAATTAATCGATTTATGAAGTAAACTCAAAATCATTTAAAATCAACTCTAAATATGAAATCAAAACACAGAGAAAAACCACAAAACCAAACCAAAAACACGATTGATTTGGCTCGGTCTAATTCTTCAATGTCATTTCTATCCATCCTTTTCTTTGTTTTTAGTCATCCATCCAACAAATACAAAACACAGTCTTGTTTTATATGTAAAGAATTAAAACCGCATTAAGCCATACATTTCGTTTGTCACTCAATTTCCTCCTTTTTTTTTGTCCTTTATAATCTTCCCTTTTCTCTCCACCGGCCGTTTTAAATTTTTCCTTTGTAGTTTCCCCTTTGTCCTTGCTACTCTGCCGCCATGAAACCAAAGCTCTGCCTCTATTTCGCGACGGCGACACTAGCCGTCGCAATCTCCTCCTTGATATTACTCCTCCCACCGAATCTCAACAACTACGGCCGCCATCTAATTAACTATTATTATAATAAGCCCGCCGGCGATCGTGATAATACAGCCGGCCGCCGGCGGATCGAGTTCGTGCCGCTCGACGACGGGTCAGTGGGGCCGGAGAGTTTCGCGTTCGGCGGCGGAGGCGTAGGCCCGTTCACCGGCGTGTCGGGCGGCCGGGTGGTGGAGTGGGTGGAAGAAGAACGGCGGTGGAGCGAGTTCGCCGTCACTTCTCCTGAGAGGTAATACAACTCTGATTGACACGTGTAAACAACCCACGACTCCTCATTTGTTTTTGTGCGGCGTAAGAAATTCATTCGATTTAATTGAATTAATTTTTTGTGTGTGGTTTTCATTTGGTCTCTCTTTGCTTGGAGCGTTGCATTTCATTGGTTTAGCTAAAAAAACGATAATTTTAGTGATAAATATTTAAAAAATGGTGATTATAGGGAAAGAAAATGAAAATATGCATAGAAAGGGGATATTAGTTAGGCCATTGTTATCGTCGAAATTACGGGAAATGAGTTTTGAACATCTCCATTTCCTATGGAAAATCGTTGGGGAGGCTTGATTATTTATTGAATATTCGAATTCTAATTTCTTGCGGTTATATGTTAGACTTTTATTCAATTTACTCATTAGATAAGGAAATTACAATAATTGCTACGAGAATAAGATATTCATAAAAGAGTTGTTGTCACTCGAATCGAACCATCAATCATAGAATTTTATACGATCAAGACTCAAGATACAACTATCCTCCACCGATTTATAATTTTATTCATTAGGTATTAAGAGTTCATATTTTTTAAATTTATGAGGAAAATAAAACCCAATAAATTGCAAATCAAAATGTTCAATAACTATCTAATCCACCAATCATTTGATTATCATATGTACCTAAGGATTCCTTGGCTTTAATTGCAATGCTCATATGTCCATTTCTTGTAACCGCATGTAGAAAACCAAATGAAAAATGGGAAACCTAGTTCTGTTTAGAAGGCTTTCCACCCTAAGTATTTGATTTCGACGTCAAATAATCATATTACACACCAACGTTTGTTTGTGTGGGATATAGAGAGGGATGCGACGGGCTAGATCCACCGCAGCAGGAAGAGATGGAGCACATTTGCGGCCGACCGCTAGGATTGAGTTTCCGCGAATCCAACGGCGATCTCTACGTCGCTGACGCGTACATGGGATTGCTTCGTGTGGGGCCGCAGGGCGGGTTGGCCGATCGGATGGTGACACGTGTCGACGGTGCCCCTCTCGTCTTCACCAACGGCTTGGATGTTGACCAGTCATCCGACGTCGTTTACTTCACAGACAGCAGCTCCCGATTCCAGAGAAGGTAAAAACACATTCATCACGTACACTACTACGAGCTCGAATTCGGCCCTACGATCGGGTATATCTAAAAGATTTAACATTCTTTTGCTTGTGCCCTACAGGATGCACTTATTGATTGTCATTACGGGGGACAATACAGGGAGATTTATGAAGTACGACCCCAAAACTCAACAGAAGACAGTTCTGGCAAGCAACCTGATGTTCCCAAACGGCGTCGCATTGAGCCACGATGGTGAGTCCATATTGGTGGTGGAAACGACCAATTGCAGGGTTTTGAAGTATGGGCTCCAGAATGGGGAGATGGAAGTGTTTGCTGAATTAGATGGGTACCCAGATAACATCAAGAGAAGCCCAACAAGAGGTTATTGGGTTGGGCTCTACTCCAAGAGGACAACGTTGCTGAAATGGTTGGTCTCGAATCCATGGATTGGGAAATCCCTGGTGAAATTGGTGCCCTTGGGTGTGATCAAGAGGGTGAAGTCCATGTTCATGGGGAGTGGGAATGTTGGGTTGGGGGTGAGGTTGAGTGAGAGTGGTGAGGTTGTGGAGGTTTTCAATAAGGGTGGTGATGGTGGTGATGATTGTTCCGAAGAGTTCGGATCGATCAGCGAGATCATGGAGAGCGATGATGGCGAGTTGTGGGTTGGATCTGTCGAATCACCTTTTGCTGCCAGAGTGCATTGATTGTCACGTTTTGGTTTCGTTGTTGCTTTATACTATGTCAACGAGTGTGTATAAAGGATAAAAAAAAGAACTGTACAATTAAACTAATCTAACCCTATCAACATTCAGCTCTAACATGTCATCTTCAAAGGTCACATCTTCTTCTTCTTCTTCACTTTAGCAGGCTTCTCTTTCTTCCATATCTGACATTATGCACGATACTAAATAGATAAAGAATTATGTAAATTTAGAAAGAATATGTCTCTTATTAGTACAATTTTAATTTCTCGTAAAGTCGAGGTTAACATTATCAACAGAAGTTACTGTATAGATTATGTTCCGAATGTATAGATTGCAATCACAAAATATAGATAAATTTCAAATATGCCTAGTGTAAATTCGTTTACCATTTTCTTTTATTTGAATACAAAATGGAGATCAAGCCCAGAAAAAATCATAGGTATGAGCCTATGGAACATATCATGTTCAAGTAAAGTCATAAAAAATGATTAGATTGATTAACTAAACAACACAAGGGAAGATAAAAATGGGAAACATGAATGAGGTATGTCCGGAAAAAAAATGTCCCATCATTTGTTCATCCCAAGCTTCTCTTTAGTGGCATTTGCAGCTTCCTATGCTTTGAGAACCAGCCTGCACAACGAACAAAAACGTATAAAAAAACACTCAAATGTATTTATATGAGGAGTCTATCTTAGATGGAAGACCTGAATGCAAAAAGGAGAGCACCAAGAACCTCTCTTGTTGCCAATCCTGAAGGACGACAAACATCAAATCAATTCGTCTGTTGAGAGTTGAGAAACTGGTCATAGTGATGCAAACATGTACATCGAGTTCTCTTGCATTAGAAGGATAGGTTCTCCGAAATGTTGATGCCGAAAATTATTTGTCTTCACGATCTAGGGGGATTTTGTTTTAGTTTCCAAGAGTTTTTTGACGGGAATCACAAAGTTGGCAATTAGTATTCACTTAACCTAGATGCACAAATTCTGTTTATTGTATAAATAAATGCCAATTTTTTGTAATTAAGTTTTGAGTTCCATAACCATAAGTAAACCGTATGGTTCTACTCACTTCCAGTCCAGATCAGTGTACATTCAAGCTAATCCGAGAAGGTTAAGGAATAGGATGTTCTCGGGCCGGGGTATGTAGTGGTGTAGGATCTGGGCCCGTTACAGATTGTGGTAATAATGGACTGGGCTTTTGTTTCATTAATGTTTTGTTTGCGGAAAGGAAAAGGGCTTTATCCAAAACTTTCGGAAGCACTAGGAACTAGCCAGACCTGCGTATAAAAGGAGAAAGAAAGGCTTCACGCCGTTCAGGTCGAAACCGTCGTTTCAGAAACCCCAAAACCGAAAATGGTGAAGAAGCAAAAGATCGATGTAGAAGTTGATCCGGTGGTGGTAACTGATGATGAATCGGACTCTGATATGGATCTGGAACCACGTCCGGGTCTCAAGTGAGTATATGCGTTAATGGTGTTGGCTTCATATATACTTATATATATTCAATCCGCTCGATATATAAGAATTAGGGTTTCCATGGTTATCATACTTGTTTGTGAAATTCGAAGCTGAATCGTTAGCTGCTAGGTTAAACCACTAGTACCAATGACGACTGGTTTATTGTTAAGGACGAGATATTTTGGAATTCTGGCTCGTGTCCGGCTGGTGATGTGATTAATGTTCGTAATCTGTGATTGGTTTGATTATTACTCCGGTTATATAGGCTTCACTCAGCTAGTTAGCTTACGGTTTTGATGTTGTGTAATTTTAATTTCTTCAGCTGCTAATAAGTAGTTTGGGTGGCGGTTGTTGTGCTGATCTCTTGCTCGATTAGTTTGATCTTTAAAATTAATTTCATTCTCTCTTATGTGCGGGAACTGTATGATTGTTCGTAGGACGCCTTCTCCTGAGCAGGTGATGGATGTTGAAGTATATACTCAGCAATGGAGAGAGCAGACTGCCTGGAATGCAGAAGAAGCTCTGAAGTACTACAAGGAGACCCACCAGGTTGGTTGCTTGCTTGCTCGTAATTAATTCTCTACATTTCGCAATCATTAATGGGTTCGTTCCTTGCATTGATGCTAATGCGTAGGGTTGACTAATTTGTTTTTATTTTGGGACTGGGTGCTTGGATGATCATGGTGTCGAATATGTGCTTGTGGATCCCACCCGTAGCAATCCTGTTATAGCCCCTTGTGGAATTTTCTGTCACTCCCTGTTCACGGCTAAGAAGGTCACTTCCGCCTCTGCCTTGCCGGAGAGCAGCCCTCCCACTCCTAAGATGGTTGTTGTCAATAATGATGATGGCTCCTCCTCCTCCTCCTCTTCCTCCCCCGTGGAAAGCAGCCCTCCAACTCCTGTTGCTGAGGAGTTGTTCTTTGCCGAGACAGCCATGTACTCGGGCGATGGGTTGAAGCTCACTGTTCATTCGTGTATCATCATCGATCCTTCTGGACCTGGTAATTACTTGCCTGTTTTTGAATGAATTTCGCAGCTGATTGACTGTTAAGTCTTGTAAGAAAGGTGTTAATAACTTAATATTCATAGAGAGTAGAGTGTCTGTGCTGAATTGGTTTTGCTAGTTATATGCTGTTGGTTTAAGACGATGATTCGCTAGCTTTGCTATAGAACTCATTGATTATCTAGTTGGCATTCAGCTTAGGGTATATATTGTCTTTGCTGATTGATGGATAGGATAGATGTTTAAGGATGAGAAGGATGATGATTATGTTTGTTGCATCATGCAGTTCTTCCCAGCATAGGTTGCTTCTATTGTTCGAAGTCCCTCAAGCATCCTTTCTACCATCCTCCCGAGGAGCAGTTAGTGTTTGGTAAGCGTGATTGCGACAAAGGTATCAAATACGACGACGACTGGACTGACTCGGATGACGAACCTGCTGTACCCCGTTAGGTTCCTCGGCAGTTGAAATATTTAGATTGTTGATTATATATATTTATGTGTATCTCGTTGTTTGTGTGTGTTTATAACTTGAGCATAGTAGTAGTAGCAGTAGTAACAGTTCTAGTGACGTTTAACTAACTTGTTGATGGTGTGCAAGCTATAGCTAGCCGCAAAGCAAGCTACTCTTTTGGGACATTTTTTAATTGCAGATGCTGCGGTCTCCTATATAATATAATATAATATAATATATAATATAATATAATATAATCTAATCTAATAAGGAAGTTTTATTGGGTAGGGTAAATAATTGTAACGCATTAAGTAAGAAACTGATTTATAAAGTAAGAAACTGATTTTAATCCAAGACGTGCTTCTGTCGAAGTTAATCATACTCACTGTGAAATTGAATTTTCCGCATAAGTCTTGCAAAATATAATTAAGTTGTTCCAAATGATCCCTCAAAGGTGCACCTTCTTGCATCCTCAAGCTGAACAACCGCTGCTTGAGATGCAGCTTGTTGGTTAAAGTAAAGACTTTGTCATATACAGACTCTCCAACTTGAACCACAAGCCTGCAGCGGTGTTCTCAGTAGCGACTTCAATGATGACGTCATTAGACAACGATAGCATGATGGTCGAGTGGGCCTTCTCCTCCAAATTATTCCACTCACCATCATTGACCGCGACGCAACTTTTGAAAATCGCGGGTTTTTTGGGCCACTTCTCCCAGACTTCGGCCCATTTCTAAGCCCATATGCTAATTCATCGGAATTATTCTATTGTTTGGGTGGGCCGCCCACCAATTTCATTGTTCACTAGCCGTTAGTTTTGAATTCTTTTTTGTCGCTTTGAGTGCATCCCATTAACTTGTGATCAGCCCGCAAGTGATCCTTCACAACAGGCAAGATACTCTCCCTGCATTCTTAATCGAAGGCGTTGGTTCAGATGCTCATTAACAGACGAGTTAACCAACCTTACAAAACCATTTCAGTGCTTGAAGTAACTAGCAAATTAACACGCTGCATTGTTCAAGCTTGACCACCAGCGGAGAAAGAGAGAGAGAGATGGTGATTCCAATGCAATGTTTGAACAACATTTGCTTCTTCCCCAACAGGTTTCCCCTGCTGTTGTTGGTTTAGCCAACAATAGACGATTTCAGAGTTTAAGAACAAATCACTAAGATGAAGTTGTCAATTCCAAACTTTGTAAAAGGATACATACAGCAGATGAAGATGAAGTTGCTAATGATTGATAATCTTTCTCTTCCAATAGGTTTCGTATCTGAAGGATATCTCCCGCATGATTGCATTAATCTGCTCGTTGTTGCAACTTCTTAAACAATCAGCAAGAGCCCATTAGCATCCAGAACAGTTGCCAAATATATGACAACTGCAACATTGTCCGCTTTTACCATTTTACTTGGTTGGTAGGTCATATATTTTCAAGGTCTTGATATTGACTGCTTTTACCATTTTATTGTCTCTAACTTTTTTATTAATTATATATTTTTTTATATAATTTGCTTTTTGAGAAGTTTAAGACATACTTGTGGACCAAAATCATTTTGTTAGCTATGTCTATCATGAAAGAAATTATTATTTCACCTTTAGTATACATCTAACTGATAAATCTTTAACTATCTTCTTATTCATTTTCATGTTAATTTTTTGGTAAACGTATCTTTTCTTTCTATTGCTACTCTATTTAATTTGTTGGTGGATTGATACACAATGATATTCGTTTTGATATTGATTCAAAAAATCCAAAACTGAGACCGCGTATCTTTCTTCAAAACAATCCAGTTGCCTTCCATTCTGAGAAGCTTTTTGGCAGAAAATCTGGTGGTGAAGACATTCCCATTAGGCTCTTTGGCCTTTATCCTTACCCTTGCGTTCAGTACATGTAGAGGGATGAAATAACAGATTAAGGTATCGAAGTAGAGGTTTTCTTTATTTTGTCTATTTTTTATATTAACTAACAAACTAACTAATTTACCTTGGATTCCGTAAGTCTCTCAGATAGACACGGGAAGCTGGCGCTCTCCATTCGAGGTCCGACAGCACAGCGAAATAGGCATCGGATTTCGGATCATGAAACCTCAGTCGAGTTCCAAGAGGAACGGGGAGGATCGCGTCCGGGACAGCGCCGACCAGTGCGCCGGGGATCTCGGCGGGGTCAGCACCAACTAGTGCACAATAAATGATATTGTTGCTTAATTTAAATAGCACATACAAATTTTTTCACATATAGATATTTTTTTTAGGGAAACCAATATAATCAGTTAGTAGCATGTTACTGTATTCTTAATTCCTATAACTCTCTTTATGTCCATCCCACAAACAAAAATTTGCTAATCCGACCGCAATATGTATTGGATGATTTTTGTTAGCATATATATGATAGTGGGAACTAAGAAAACAAATTCTTAATAACATTGTTTTTACATGCCTCAAAATATTACACTAGCTAATTAGCTGCTCTCGCCAATTACTTGTTACCATATAACCCTAGATTTGTATATCATCAAGACGTAAGATTTTTTCTCTCTCGATGTATCGAGTAACCCTCCATCTTCCAAAACTTATTTGTTGAGAACGAGAATTAAACTGGATTTCAATATGGTCTCTAGCAGCAATTCCCTAAAAAGAATATAGCAATCTATGAAAAACCCTATACACCCTATTTAAATTAAGCAGCAATATTATTTATTATGCTCCAAATATAAGAGATAAATGTGGAATTTAGAAAGAAAAAAAATAGCAGAATGAAAGAAGAGTAGTGAGGAAAAATAATGAAAAATATAAGAGATAAATGTGAAATTTAGAGAAGAAAAATAATGAAAAAGAATATTTCGAGGATATCGAACTATTCATGTATCTATTTCTTTTCTTAGAAGAGTAAGAATGAAAAGAAAAAAATATACTTCATAAAAGATTAACTGTGATATAAATAACTTTATTGTCTCTAACTTTTTTATTAATTATATATTTTTTTATATAATTTGCTTTTCGAGAAGTTTAAGACATACTTGTGGACCAAAATCATTTTGTTAGCTATGTCTATCATGAAAGAAATTATTATTTCACCTTTAGTATACATCTAACTGATAAATCTTTAACTATCTTCTTATTCATTTTCATGTTAATTTTTTGGTAAACGTATCTTTTCTTTCTATTGCTACTCTATTTAATTTGTTGGTGGATTGATACACAATGATATTCGTTTTGATATTGCTTCAAAAAATCCAAAACTGAGGCCTGCGTATCTTTCTTCAAAACAATCCAGTTGCCTTCAATTCTGAGAAGCTTTTTGGCAGAAAATCTGGTGGTGAAGACATTCCCATTAGGCTCTTTGGCCTTTATCCTTAACCTTGCGTCCAGTACATGTAGAGGGATGAAATAACAGATTAGGGTATCGAAGTAGAGGTTTTTTTTATTTTGCCTATTTTTTATATTAACTAACAAACTAACTAATTTACCTTGATTCCGTAAGTCCCTCAGATAAACACGGGAAGCTGGCGCTCTCCATTCGAGGTCCGACAACACAGCGAAATAGGCAGCGGATTTCGGATCATGAAACCTCAGTCGAGATCCAAAAGGAACGGGGAGGATCGCGTCCGGGACATCGCCGACCAGTGCGCCGGGGATCTCGGCGGGGATCATGAAACCTCAGTCGAGATCCAAGAGGAACGGGGAGGATCACGTCCGGGACATCGCCGACCAGTGCGCCGGGGATCTCGGCGGGGATCATGAAACCTCAGTCGAGATCCAAGAGGAACGGGGAGGATCGCGTCCGGGACAGCGCCGACCAGTGCGCCGGGGATCTCGGCGGGGTCAGCGCCAACTAGTGCACAATAAGTGATATTGTTGCTTAATTTAAATAGTATATACAAATTTTTTCACATATAGATATTTTTTTTAGAGAAACCAATATAATCAGTTAGTAGCATGTTACTGTATTCTTAATTCCTATAACTCTCTTTATGTCCATCCCACCAACAAAAATGTGCTAATCCGACCGCAATATGTATTGGATGACTTTTGTTAGCATATATATGATAGTGGGAACTAAGAAAACAAATTCTTAATAACATTGTTTTTACATGCCTCAAAATATTACACTAGCTAATTAGCTGCTCTCGCCAATTACTTGTTACCATATAACCCTAGATTTGTATATCATCAAGACGTAAGATTTTTTCTCTCTCGATGTATCGAGTAACCCTCTATCTTCCAAAACTTATTTGTTGAGAACGAGAATTAAACTGGATTTCAATATGGTCTCTAGCAGCAATTCCCTAAAAAGAATATAGCAATCTATGAAAAACCCTATACACCCTATTTAAATTAAGCAACAATATTATTTATTATGCTCCAAATATAAGAGATAAATGTGGAATTTAGAAAGAAAAAAAATAGAAGAATGAAAGAAGAGTAGTGAGGAAAAATAACGAAAAATATAAGAGATAAATGTGAAATTTAGAGAAGAAAAATAATGAAAAAAATATTTCGAGGATATCGAACTATTCATGTATCTATTTCTTTTCTTAGAAGAGTAGGAATGAAAAGAAAAAAATATACTTGATAAAAGATTAATTGTGATATAAATAACAAGGGAATTAAATACTTCTTAATTGAATAGATGTCTAAACTATGAACAAAATGAGGCATTTTTTATAATTGGGAGAACAAATTTTGTCCACAAGTCAATTTAAACTTCTCAAAAGCAAATAAAAATAAGGTAGAGTACTAGAGAGGAACATCAAGAAAATATATACTTAATAAAAAAAATTAAACTAATATTTTAGTTTTTAAAAGTTACTATTTATATTCGTTTATCTTATACGTTATACTTTGAATTTTTGACTTAGTATGTTTCAAAAAGATTGACTCTTTGAGATGTTCTAAAACCACAATGGGACTATTCTGAGGAGACCAAAATCATTTGAGGCATAGGAGGTCCATTACACACTGAGCATTTGGTTGGCCTGAAGAAAGTTCTAGACTCTTATGAGACAATCGATGACGAGGAGCAAGCTCTAGGATAGGGGGTGGGAAAGGGGGGAGAAGAAGTACCCAAAGCCACACCATGATTGCTCCAAGGTTCCGATCACTCTCCACGTTGTTTGCCTGATGGGATACCAGAAGATAGGAGGCTCTGGAGTATTGTTATACCGTCAAACTACATTGATAATCACAAGTGACCTCTGTTTCTTTTTGCAGAGTCTGGGTTCTTAGCTGCACATGTGGTATACTAAGAGTATGTTTTTTTGACTTGTGAGGTATTGCTATAGGCACCCTTTATTTATTACAACGTGCCTAAGTTGCATGCAAACACAATGAGAATTATGGAAGATCGGAAGAATGGTCACTTTCCTAAAGTTATTGTTCTAAAGTATGCAATATGTTTGTTAATGCAATGTTTTCCTTTTAAAATGTTGCCACTTGCAACCACTATATGGGTTAGCGGTGCCTTAGTTATTGACTTATGGAGCGTCCCCCCCCCCCCCTCCTCCTTCCCCTCTTGGCATGTCACTAACAATTTTTGTTGGCATTCTCATATCATAGGGAGCAGTCAAATTTGGTCATGGATACTACTAATTCTTCAAACTCATGAGAACGCTTTGTTTTTTAATGTTTGAATTTCGGGGGATGAAGAGTTTACTTGAAGGTAAAGCTTGAACATACTACAAGGCTAGGTGGAGGAGAATATTTTGGGGAGTCCTAAGTACGAATGCATATATAGAGACTTGATTTCATCTCATTATAAAATACTATTGATTAGTTGACTAGAGTATCTCATTACGTTAATGTTTTTTGATAGCTCTACTGAACAAGAACGAGATACCAATGGTTGGTGTTTGTGACTTGTGACTTGTGAGAACTAGAAGTTTAGCATGCGGATGCTGCTCTTTTCAAGTAAGATAGTAGACACCCTTTATTTATTACGACGTGCCTAAGTTGCATGCAAGTACAATTGGAATTAAGCCGGATTGAAAGAATGGTCACTTTCCTAAAGTTATTATTCTAAAGTATTCAATCTTTTTGTTAGTGCAATGTTTTTCTTTTAAAATGTTACCACTTGCAACCACTATATGGGCTAGTGGGGCCTTAGTTATTGACTTATGGAGCCCCCCCTCTTGGCATGTCACTAACAATTTTTGTTGATATTCTCATATCATAAGGGGCAGTCAAATTTGGTCATGGATGCTACTAATCAGAACGAGTAAGTTCATCCAAATCAGATTCAATGGTTGTGATAATAAGTTCTTCCCTTCTTCAAACTCATGAGAACGTTTTGTTTTTTAATGTTTGATTTTTAGGGGATGAAGAGTTGACTTGAAGGTAAAGCTTGAACATACTACAAGCGTAAGTGGAGGAGAATATTTTGGGGAGTCCTAAGTACAAATGCATATATAGAGACTCGATTTCATCTCATTATAAAAAACTATTGATTAGTTGACTAGAGTATCTCATTACGTTAATGTTGTTTGATAGCTCTAATAAACAAGAACGAGATACCAATGGTTGGTGTTTGTTATTTGTGACTTGTGAGAACTAGAAGTTTGGCATGCAGATGCTGCTCTTTTCAAGCAAGATAGTAGACACCAATAAACAAACGCTTGCAGAGTTCACGCCAAATATGCCTCCAAAGGAGACGACCAGTAGCAGCTACTGTTGAATAACCCTTGAAAGCCATCATAACACAGCAAAGCTCAGAATACCATGAAGCTCCAGGCAGCTACTGAGTGAATCCCCCCAATGGAGACTTGAACAGATAATGAAAACCAGGGCATACAGTAGATAGATGATCCGTTGGTGCAACTCCCTAGTGGCAAAAGACCAGTAATCCCACAAGCTAGCATTCTATCCTTAATCTGAATCTTCCCCTGAACAATCAACCAGAAAATGAAGCGATTACAGTGGATAGAATGCCCCTGCCACACTAACTCAAACCAAGGGACTCTGGGCAAGCACGATAGTGTCCCAAACAACCTTAGTTGATTTCCATAGTAAGAGAATTCCAACATAAAGTATCATTGCTGAGAGAGAACATTTCTGACCATACCTCTAGCTCTAATCTTCAACAACTTCTTCCAATTCCAGGAACCTACTTTTCCATAGAAGTGCCACTAATCAGCATGCTTTAGTCGATAGGCTAGAATCTATGTTATGCTATATGCACAAAGAGCCTTTCTTTTAGTGATGACAAAAATATCCGTAACCGTGATATCCGCCCGAATCCGCCCTAATCGGGTAGGGTAAAATCCGAATCCGAAGGACTTTTAGTGGGTACGGGTAAAACCCGAACCTAAATATTGCGGGTAATGAGTAGACATTGTTTTCTCACTATCCAACCTGAACCCGCCCGATTATAACATACATATGTATTTTGTCTAGAAATAATCATTACTTTTCCCTAACATATTTTATATTTAGCATATAAATGTAATATTTTCACAAAACTGTGTTGTTTTAATTAATTTTTTTCATTTTAGTGAATTATTGTCGTACTTTTATGCTTATGTTATGTGAGAATATGTGTGAATGGTAACATATTGGTTGGAGTTATAAAGAGAAACTATTATCCATGGATAACCGTGGATACCCGAAACCTGAACGGATATGGGCATGGTTTTGATTTTCTACCCATTTCTTATGTGGGTATGGGTATGGGTAAAACCCGAACTCCTTTGGATAGGGTAACGGATAATTAGATATGCACTATCCGCCCCCAACCCGACCCATTGCCATCCCTACTTTCTTTAGCAGAATAGACCAAATTTGTAGGATAAAAGGGGTGTAAGTTTGACCCTAGAAACTCACTGGCCCGTCCTGTCCATGAGGGTCGGGACGAGTCAACTTTTGACCCTAATAAGTGTCGAGACGGGTCACTTTTTGACCCTGTGAGGCTGTGACCCTTAGCAACAACAAATATCTCATACCACATTGGACCTCTTTGTAGAAGTTTTAAAAGTTTAGATACTAAATTGTAAAAATAAAAATATTTGGGTACGAAAATGTAATTTTACTATCAAAATTTAAGGACTTATTTGTAAAAAAATAATTTTTAGGTACTAAATTGTAAGAAAAAATAATTTTGGGTACCAAAACGCAATATGTAAAAAAGTATTGGTTAGATTAGGGTCGACCCGCTGACCCGACCCGTCCCATCCGTTGAGGGTCAAACAGGGTCAAGGTCGAGAAGGAGACATGTCAGTTATACATCTTGACCCTTCAGGGACAGGTTAGACTAGACAGGGTTAGAGACTAGTCAGAGCAATTTTCAGCCAAATAAACGCAGGTCGCAGGTAGTGGGCTAAATCATGGGCTGGTCAATGGGATGACAACAGATATGGGTCGTGGGCTGGTCTGAATCGACCCAATGCCATGTTTGTTTGCTCCATATCTTTGATCTAGAAAGCTCTAGATCGATCGTGGTAGTGTAGTACTGGTAGTAGTAGCAGTAGCAGTTACCATTCCGTTGTGTGGTGTGTATGACTTAATTTTTCCAAAAACTAATGTAGAGTACTCGATCGATGTTGTTGTGAATGATAGATTCAAACTTTTGTAATTGGTTGCCACGTTGTGACGTGAAACTTTTAATTGAAAAACGTTTTTCATATGAGAATTCCAAAATGATATGGTAATATTTCATATATCATGAAAATGAATCGTTCCATACTTAGGAAGTAGAAGACGAGAGTTTTCATTGATAGCTAACTCGAACTGCATAGAAAAAACTCTTCATATCGATCGAGTAAATACGATTAATGTTACATTTTATGTCTTTTGGCTATGGGCTATCAATTATATTGCAATAATTGCTGCTATCAATTTTATTTATTTTTATGTCTTGTACGTCTTTCATCATTTGTTCATTCCAAGGGCATCCTTGGCAGCCTCAGCTGCTCCTTGTGCTTTTGCCTGCATTTGACCACCAGTCTGCAAACACATACATATAGCAAAGAATTACATGAGTTGCTTGACGCCGATTGATTCGTAGTCTGAATAGTAAAATTCATTGGACGTACGGTAAGATTAGTGTGCGCTAGCGTTTGTCATACATACCTCTTGGATGGACTCTTTAGCAGACTGAGCAGCATTGCTGGCTTTCTCCATCATCCCGCTCGCTTTCTCCTATACAACGAAACAACAAGAAAGAGAAGAAGTATCCAATATAAGGCGCTAATTATGTATTAGTAACTTTTCGATCGATAATTATGTATTAGTAACCTTTCGATCGAGAAATATCATATACATAATTGTTGGATAATTCATCACCTGAGCTTGGCCCTTAGCCTGGCCGGCTTGGTAACTGGCGTTCTGGGAGTTGTTCATATTGGAAAAACGAGACTTTTTTTCTTCGATACTAAAAATCAAACAATATGCTGCAGATCGAAGTTAATTTTTTCTCTCCTTGTCATGGAAGAGATTAGGATATCAAGAGAGATTTATAAGGGTTGGTGTTTCATCGAATGTTTGACACGTATCAGATTAGTGAGCGATTAGTAAGCTAATCATATGGGTGTCAATGTTTTGGGGGCATGAGATTAGGGCTTGACTTGAGAAACAAATAGTCATGTTTGAATGGGTATTTTTTCAGTTCCCATAGTGCTGAAAATTGGGTTAATTGCATGGTTGGTCACTGAGATTACAAAAAACGTTCATGTTTGGTCACTGAAAATATTTAAATCCAATCTGGGTCACTCAAATTAGTTAAATGGTTCAAAATTGGTCACTCTCCGTCCAAGTCTGTTAAGTTTTGCTTATGTGGCAGTCAACTTTTATAGTTGACTGTTAAATGTGTGACATGTCAATTAAAAAAAAATAAAATAAATTTAATTTAATTTTTGTATTTTCCACCTCTCCTAACCGAAACAGGGGTGGCAATGCTCGTCGGATTCGTCTTATCACCTCCTCGCGAGCACGGCCGAGGTTTCTCTCATCGAAGAACTCGCGAGAGACCGTCAAGGTTTCGCTCAGCGCTGCCGCGGGGATGCCGTCGTTGACAATTAGAAAGATGCCCAAGCCGGAGCATGCTCGTCAGATTCGCCTTATCACCTCCTCCTTCTTTGCATCGTCGGCGTCGGTAGTAGTAGTGAAGAAGGAGCCACAAAAGCGCCATCGAAATTATTCTAATCAATCCTTGTCGCTGAGGTTGAATTTGCTCTGCGGGAAAGGCATGGCTGCTCTCAATTCCTGGTCCGATTTCGAAATGCATTTTTGATTCAGTTTAATTTTTTTTTGTTTGGTTTATTAATACCAGGCACCAAGAGCTACAAAAGCGGCTTTGTCTGGCACGATTAGGCAGAGAGCGATTTCAACTACCCGGCCCACGACAGCGAGTACGTCATCAAAGGCTCGGAGCTTCTCGAACCGGTGTCGGCGCCGTTGGTCGAGTCCACACCTTCCTTCAGATCCGTAAAAGTACCAGCCGAGATTCAGAGTCACAGTCGTCCTCGTCCTCGTCTCCGTCGTCGAATGATGACTTGGATCCTCGCCCGACGATTGCGCGGCGGAGGAACTGTACATTTCCAACAGGAACTAGTCCTGGAGCTCCATCGATCTCAGGGAGTACAAGGTCTACAGAGCAGAATCGTTCTCTCAGTCGAGCCGGAGGCTGGCGGCGGACGCGGAGACTCAGACCGACGACAAGAGGCGGCGGAGGAGGCCGGTGAAGCTAGCCGAGGAGCCATTGGATTCTAGCCCAGAGACGCTAGAGACGCTGATGAAAGCGGACAGGCGGCTGATACTACTGGGTGTTTGTGCAGGGGCAACGTCGAAATCGGTGCTGGAGCTGATGAACGGGAACGGTGGCGAAATAAGGTTGGCGGAGGATGTTTGTCGGAGGGGATAACATCGCCGGAATCAGGGGTTTTAATGGGCAGGATTATGATTCCTGTTCCATATGCAAACTCAGCCAATGGAACACAGTCAGGTTTGCAGCTTTCGTGGCGGTGTGGAGAAAAGATACACATCATGAAGCAAAGGAAAGCAGGCGTGGTATGGGAAAGATGGCCGGCATCTCACACCAGTGTGTTGAATGTGGTGAGCTAGAAGAAACCATAATGAATTAGGTTTTTTTTTTTAATAGTTGTAAAAGTGAGGTGGAAATTAGAAAATTTTTAATTTTTAATTTTTTAAAATTTAATAATTGCCATGTCACACATTTAACGGTCAACTATAAAAGTTGACTGCCACATAAGCAAAACTTAACGGACTTGGACGGAGAGTGACCATACTTGAACCATTTAACTAATTTAAGTGACCAAAATTGGATTTAAATATTTCCAGTGACCAAACATGAACGTTTTTTGTAATCTCAGTGACCAACCATGCAATTAACCCGCTGAAAATTAGTAAATTTTATTGAGTGAACCAAATGTGTCATAAAGCTTGAGGTACCGTACGATATCAAATTTTTAGTTTTATTTCTCAAGTACTTTTTTTTTTTAAATTGTCAATGTTAGAGACAAAATAGGTGAAACACCATAGAAAAAAAACCTGTGAATGTACCGTAACTAAACAAGTGGCGACAACAATAATGACTCGAAATCTAATGATAAACAATGATGAAATTATATATATTGACTACATTATTTATACATTCAACCCTTGAGCTGTTTTTTCATTACTACTATTGCTCGATTTTGCGAATATTATCCTTAAATGCCATTAGGTTAATATACCGTGACTGCCATCGTACTCGGAGTAAATCTACAATACTGTATAGTTTTAGTAAGAAAATGCTATTTAGATCTTGAGTTAACCTAAATTTGGAACATGATATATATTAATTAACATCTAGCCTTTAATGAGTGAACCATAGGTCCTAATTATCTAGATCACAACCCTAAGATGGTTCATGTAGTTTGTTACATCACATGTATTTCGATGAATCATAACCGTCGATTATTGTTTTCAATTAAGTTAATCTTAGTGTACAATATTTAGAGAATTAAGACATATATGATAATTTTTAAGGATTATGATATAGTATCATGTCTCAAAGTACGGTCAATACAAAATCTAGATAGTGTTTTCTTACTCAAACTTATATTGTACATTTGAACTCCACGTTTATGCTATCCGAATAAATTATACCAGTTGACTAGACAGACATAAGTGGATTAAATATAATAATTAAGGGGAGAAGCAGGGTGAACTTCAGATGTTCAGTTACAGTAAGACTAGTCGTAGTAATCTTATTAATTATTGGCAAGTAACTTTGTTCGATATACGTGAGAACGATATGAATGTTATGATAAGAGTGAAATAAGATGCGGTGACATCAATGTAGATACTTTGATAACACGATTAAACTTGGTGATAAATAAACTAATATGGATTATATTTTATGATATCAAAGACAAGTACAGTACTCTTGATCATGATCAAAGCTTATTAATTTGTGAGCATTTGATGGTTACTCTTCTTAGAAGGTAATAACCCAACATTTCAATACTATTTTCATTACATTGTGGACTACTATTTAATTAGTTATAGGGTAACTTTTGAAATCTCTTCATCCTTCATTTCTTCATTCCAAGGGCATCCTTGGTAGCCTCAGCTGCTCCTTGTGCTTTTGCCTGCATTTGACCACCAGTCTGCAGTAAACATAAAAAGAAAAAAAACATTAAATAATCTCCATTTCCTGTTTTTTATTTAATTTGTTGGATCCTCTTCCTAACAATTCGAGCTCTTTGATGAATTGATCTCGTCTCTCACGTTACTACGATATAATTAAATTCACGTAAATGGAGGGTAATGAAAAATTTAGTAGTTATTTTTGGCATTGTGAAAAATAAACCTCTTGTAAAGATTCCTTGGTGGATTGAGCAACATTGCTGGCTTTCTCCATCATCCCACTGGCTTTCTCCTGATAAAAATAACAAGAAAAGAGAAAGTGATGTGTAATTAGCTAAAAATAAACAAATGTAGTTCCTTGATAAACATGTGACCTTGTTGGATAATTCCTCACCTGAACCTGGCCCTTAGCCTGGCCAGCTTGGTAACTGGCGTTCTGGGAATTGTTCATGTTGAAGGATAGGATGTTTTTTTTTTTGAAGCTCAAGAAATAGTACACAAAGATTATTGTTTGTTTGTGTTATTGTTGTTGTTATGGTAAAAACCATCATATCAATAGGAATTTATAGGTATTGGCATTCCATCCAAAGTTGGACATGTGGTAGATCAACTAATGATTAGGAAGTTATTTTTAATGTTTTCACGCTTGAAATCAGGATTTTCATTGACAAAAAATAGCAATGGTTGAATCGGTAATCAATATGTATGATATATAGTCGAATAGCACTATTTTCTATATAAAAAAAAACCAGTCACTTGTGTAATATAAACAACTAACGGAACGATCACACTATTCTGTCCCCGTTAGCTTCTTCCCCATGTTGTCTGAATAAAGATCTCAAATCACATTTCTTGACGATGAAAAAGGGCACAAAGTCGCTAATTACCTTACCTGATAACACGTTTCAAATCGGTCCAAATTAAATAAAAACCCAGTACCTAAACAAAATCTCAACTTAATAACCCGAAAGCTTAAACCAAATCTCGCTCCTATTATGTTTTCCGATTTGAATGAAAGAACGTAACCTATAACTAATCAATTTTTATGTCTAGCCGCTAAAGCCAAGCAGGGTCCCACGAAGTCACTGCGACGATAACGTCCATGCAAATCCGGCGGGAAACGGTGACGTGGTTCTAACGAACCCGCCATTGAACGCCACGTCAAAGTTCCAATTTAATTGCCCGCCTTCTGTTCGCTCATATGGGACATGTGGACGTAATTTCCCATCTTACCCCTCCAAATTTTTTTTGAAACTTTTACCCCTCCAAATTCACATATATTATTAAAGATTACAATTTAAGGTTGAATTGGTCTAAGCAATTAATTAACTATTTTAACTCATAATAAATAATTAAGCGTAGTTTTTTATGTGGTCTAAACAGAGGCGGCAGAGAGGTATATATTACGAGCGCTGAAATTAAACTAAACTCTTTTGAATTCAAAGTCGGACGGTATAAATTATATCATCAAATGTATATTAGCAATTTAGCATCAAACATCACTAAGTTGCAGCCAAACAGAGTGTCTTTGGAAATGTAAACATCATAAATTTGAACTCCAACCGTGATTGTGATCTCTTAATGTAATATGTAATTGTAATGTGGTGACATTATTAAGGGAAAAATATCTTATTATATGTAAGTTTATAAAATACTTGTAGCGAGAATCATAGAGATATATTTTTTTTGGTTGGAAGATACTATTTAATTTAATTTACTTGGGAGTCCAATTTCTTCACAATCCACATGTGCTAACCCCCAAATCGTTTTTGAACTTATTGGTCAAATTGTGAAATCATGACAGAATGGTTAAGTGTACAAATTGGTCACCCTTCCCACAATATGAGTTCATTCTCAAAATAATAATATGAAAAACTTTTGTAGAGATGTGAGTACTTAATTTGCAGACTCGTTATTATGAAATGAATGAATTGTTAATATAGCGACATTGTTGTTTATCTATGGAGTTTTGACATGTGTATTATAATTTTGAAGTATTTAGTTTAACTTATGATCGACCTTGCATGAAAACTCACTCGGATTGGAGGCATCAAAACCCGCATTCATGCCGCAAAGGGTCCTATCGGGTTCATGAGCACCATGAATGAGATGCTAAGAGAGTACTTGTGGTTATAATTAAATTCGCTTCTAATGCGATTGTGACATTGAATTGAATAGTCATTAGTCGTTTTGGTGTACAAACTACAAAGTAATTCAAAGTTCAGTAGAACAATTTTTTTTTTAAATTTCAAAAGTTCAGTGATGATTTATTAGTGACCACAAAGATTGAGTGCTCCTAAATAAATTTCAACTAATAAAATAAAACAAAAAATCCCCAAAAGAAATAAAATAAGACTTCTCGTCTATTTATTATTTTCAGCCATTTCCGCCACTCCAGTCTCCGCGAGCACCAAGAAAACAAAGGGCTGACTGTTAGAGAGAGAGAGAGCTCCGAGCCCATTGGTATGCAGCAAAAACAATGGCGGTAATAAGGACGAATTTGACGAAGAACCTTTTCTCAGCTCTCGGCGGCAGGATCCTCAATCCCCTGAGATCCGGACACGGCGGCTACTCTAATCCGTTTCCAGCTGCGGCGGCCTATTCCTCCTCCGCCGCCGCCGCTCTGGAAACTGCGGTGCCGGAGCCATTCGACCTGTTGGGAGTGAAGGATTACGAGGATTACAGGAGGTCTCTGTACGGCGACGTCACTCACAAGGCTCTCCTCGTCGACGCCGTCGGCACTCTCGTTGTTCCCTCTCAGCCAATGGCTCAGGTGAGAAAAAATTGGGACTCCCTGACTTCCCCGGCTTCAATTTCCGCACTCTTGACGTTTTCAATTGTTCGAGCTTTGTAGTGATCAAATTGTTTATTGGTTCCATAGATATACAAACAAATTGGGGAGAAATATGGAGTGGATTGCTCTGAGGATGAGATACTGAATCGATACAGAAGGGCTTATGAACAGCCATGGGGCAGATCTCGTCTCAGGTCTGTGTGTGTGTGTTGAACTTCAGATATGTCCTCTATTAGGTTTTCTTTGTTGTTTCCCCTGTTCGTTTCAGTATTTGGAGCTATCTGCTGCTGATAGTACTTGGGATCCAATGGCGTATACGCTTCATTTGTTTGCATATCCATTCATGGAACTTTAAAACTTTTGTCCTTTACCCCCTTTTTGAGCTTTTGCCTCAGCATCAGGTTCCTTGCATGCTTTGTTATTCTGGTGCTTTCTTAGAATGGTTTGAGAAAGAAACTGAAGTTGGGGAGAATTAGGCAAGCAGATGGCCAGTTGGGTAGTACTAGGCAAACTTTATTCCCATCTTATTTCAATTGGAAGTCCTCCTTTTGAGGGAGAAAATGTGGCCTTCGATTTATTGGAAGAATCCATGGTTGTTACTCCTTTGTAACTGTTTAACACCTTTGGCTTGCCCATTTTACCTGTTAATGGTGTTTAGCTGGTTCCAGATATGTTCAAACCTTCCTTTTTGGTTGCTTCTGCTATGAAATATGCACCTTCTGTGGATTCATTTGCTTGTTGATCAATATAACATGAAAGGTTTTTCATTATGAAATGCAGATATGTTAATGATGGCAGACCATTCTGGCAACATATAGTCACTTCTTCAACAGGCTGCTCGGATCTCCAGTACTTTGAGGAACTTTATAACTACTACACAACTGATAAGGTTTAGCTCGTCCATGACCACAAGCTTTAACATTTTATGTAAATTGTACGTTGCCAAGGTGTTTTAACGTTAAATTCTCTTTTTGGGTTTAGGCTTGGCACCTCAATGACCCTGAAGCTGGGAAAATATTTGATGCCATTAGGAAAGCTGGTGTTAAGGTGGCTATTGTGTCCAATTTCGACACTCGGCTGAGACCTGTCCTGCGCGCCTTAAACTGTGATCATTGGTTCGACGCTGTAGCAGTTTCAGCTGAAGTAAGGAAATCCCGCGCTCCTAATACCAAATACTAAGATGTAATAGAAGTCGGACCGGAATGGAGTCTTCAGTTTGTTAACAAAAGCATTCTCGGCTGTATATCCCTATGAACAGGTGGCTGCAGAGAAGCCTAATCCGACGATATTTCTAAAAGCGTGTGAGCTCTTGGGAGTTGAACCTGAGGATGCTGTTCATGTGGGGGATGACCGTAGGAACGATGTATGGGGAGCAAGGGATGCTGGCTGTGATGCATGGCTTTGGGGGAGCGATGTACGGTCCTTCAAGGAGGTGAGAGTCTTCAATATCAAATTTTCTGCTTAGTAAAAATTGGATGGATCACTTGGCTAAACATCATTCGTCATCATGATATAATTTCATATATCTGCACTTGCACCTACAAACTAATTGATACAGACTGTAACTGTAGTATGTTCTAGTTACCCTGAACATAGAAAAGATGGCCTAACTACACCTCTGGGCTCTGCCTGCCACCATTGTTACTACATTTGTCATAACAATAAAAGAACTTCATTGCTTGGTTGATAATAAACTTGTGCGTTGTGCATGACTCTATTCTCTTCTGTGCCGTAGCATCATCCTTGGTTTGAGTTTGTCTATCTTGTCTTGTGTTTGCAGGTTGCACGAAGGATAGGGGTGCGAGTCTAAAAAAGTAATCCGCGTGACACGAGGAGGTCACAAATGTACAGGAGGGTTTGCCTTTAGCTACTACCTCTTAGCCCATCTTTTTCTGTTCATAGGAAGAAGCTTTGTTTGTTGTACAGCGACCGTGTATTGTCCTCTGTTCTGTAGTTGTAGTATGTAGATATTTCAAGGCAAGCAGAAGCTGGAAAGAGGCTTGTTATTATAGGCATGAAGGCAGAGACTGCTTACAACCTTTGAATAAGATAGGCATTAAGCATTATGTATAGTGTTAAGCTGAAAACTGGTCATTTCTCTGGTTGACTAGTGGTTTAATGTTACGTTTTCTGTTTCCGTAAATGCTCAGCTCATTTTGACTATTCTAAAAATATTTCTACATGATGGGCCTTGTTAATCTGACTCTGGGCCTCTGTTGAAGCCCAATCTCCTCTTCGTTCCAGCGGAGGGATCACCGGGGGCGCTCCAGCCCATTTTTTAAGCCTGTAAAGTTGGATTTGAGCCTTTTTCTGGGGTAGTGTGAACAGAAGGAAGATACCTACTCGACGGAGGCAAATTGCAATGATCATTCACAAAACAATTTTTATGAAAGTGAATATTCCTTTTAACAACACTAGTGGAAGGCATACTCCACGCCACCAAAATCCTAACGGTATGTTGTCTGGTTTTCCAACAAGGGGAATGTTTGCATTAGTTAATTGCAACAACATGAATCCAACCCCATAATCATTGAAGACCAACTAATGGATTAACTTGAAGCTTATCTCACTTGAGCTATGGGGGAGAAGTGGAATTGATATTATATAAATTTTTTAAAAAAATGACGATATCATTGAAAAACTAAATTGTTCAGTTTTCATGGGGAAAAGCAAAGTGTTAAAACCGTGATGTGAGTTGTTTGATCAACCTCTAGTTCGATATATTGTAAATGTAGTTGACGATAATAAGATGATGACTTTGTTTGGTGATGAACGACGAGCTGGGTAGGATTCAGTTAATGTCTATCAACTTGGGAAGCTGTACGTACACATAAACAATTAAACGTGACACGACTGACCCATTAAGAATGAGATAGATTATCATGATGTTACTTAATTGTCACTTAACAGCCAAGCGTGAAATCAATGGACATCTAATTGCAGTTACCTCCGACTCGTAATATAATCCGCCATGATTAATACGCTACCTTGCTTAACCACGATCAAAATACTAAACCTTTTGTTGAATAAATACTATCATAAAAACCCAACCCATTGCAAAATCCACAACCGGATAACCAACAATTGGGATCATACGTAATGCTCTTGTCATCATGTTCCCTGCAGAATTAGACCGTAGCCACTAACCAGTAGCTGCTTAGTTAATTAAAAAAAAAGGAGAGTAAATAATTAGGTTATGATGTCAAGCAGAAGAAAATTAGGCTTAATTAATTGGTTAGCTTAAGGCGTGTGTTCTTTCTCACATTTTCGCAAGATTTGGTCGAGATTTGGGCCTCTGGATCGAAAATCCACGTGACTGGGCAGCTTGGGCCCGTGCCCATAGAAGCAGTATTGCGGGCCGTGCGCGTGTCACGAACTGCATTTGGCGCTACTTCTCGTGCATGCCATGCGCTTTGCACGAGCCTTTAAACAATTGAACTAATTGGTGTGAATCAATTAATAAATAAACCCTAATCTTGATCATATTGTAATGGCTGTTTAATGAGAATAAGACCGAGAGTGATCAATAATGGAAAGGAAACAACAAATAGTGGTAAATAAGTTAACTACTCTATTGTGTTTAATTGGATCCCAATAGATTTCGTTATAAAAATATGAAAACAATGAATTTTGGATTAGATTTGTTTGGCATGTTAAACTTCAACGATAAAAACATGAGACTGTACATTTTAGTGTCGTGCGTGATATTTCAAAAAAGATATGATCGTGTCGATGAATATCTTCAATCATGTAGTTGTAGAGTTTGGTAGGCATGTTATATGACAACTTAGTTGTCATTGATAATATTTGTAATTTTATATATATAATAATTCGTCATCAAAATGCTTAAGTATAGGGTATATATGGATTAGCGTATAGGTCATTGTGGCCCAAGAAAAAAAATATAGAAATAAAAATGCATTATGATTTATATATAGGGCTTCTTAATGATGATGTTAGGCTTATGGATCCGCTAGATCAGCATATGATCTCTTTGAAATGTTAGGAATTGGGGCATATATATACAAATTACATTTATTATTCGTCAAAATATTTATGTATTATTGTTGAGTGTACGTTTTTATCTACATTGGAGAAGCATCAGAATCTTTCGTCAAATTTATCCTAAAATTATATGTGCGGTGGGTATATAATATATATCAGGAGTTAACGTTATTAAATATCAATTTTTTTTTTCAAAAGATGCATCAATTATTAAGAACTATTTCCTTTTTTTAGAAAAAAGCAGATAATTTAATTCAATAATTACCGTTAATTCAGATAACTAAATGGAACCATGGGAGGGTCATGAAGAGGTCAACTACGGGAGTATAACAGAACTCCTGATTGAATAAAGCATTTCAATCACAGATAATTAATCGTCTATAAAACTTCTCAAATCTCAAGCATCCCCCAAACCCATAATTAACAAATAAATTTAATCAATTAATAGCCAAATAACTACAATAAATATACACACACTAGCTCAAATCACAATCAATGCTTCCATCATATAAAAAAAAGCCAGGGAACACAAAATCTTAAACAATAATAAAACCATGCATCCTCTATATATACTAGCTCAGCAATTAACTAAAGCAATTAGCAAACACAATCAAGCTCTAGATCATCATCATAAACCAAGAAAAAGATGTTGGCAATGTCATCAACCTCATCCTCCTCTCATCATCAACCCACTAATCCATTCTTAGCCACTAATTTGGGAGGAGGATCTTCTTCATCACCATGGCCATTACAGCTGTTAGAAGATCCTTTCCTAATAACCACTAATTACCATCACCAACATAGCCTTCTAGACACCCATTTCATTAATTCTCCTCCTCCTCCTCTTCCCTTCATCGATCTTCCGCCGGAATCTTTCGCCGGAGAAGAGGAACAACAAGTGACGAAGAAGGACAGCAGCAGCAGTGGCGGCGGCACGGTGATCACCACCATCAAGAAGCTGAATCACAACGCGAGCGAGCGTCACCGGAGGAAGAAGATCAACACCCTCTATTCCTCCCTTCGTTCCATGCTTCCTCCCACCGATCATCATCCCACCGTAAGTTGATCCTAACTTGCAAAATTCATCGATTCGTTGTATACGTATTGTTATAAACGCGTTGTTACGGATCGGGAAATCGCCTGAATGGATAAAGCAAGAATACGAAAGCGAGAATCAAAAACACGACACACGATTTACGTGGTTCACTAACACGATGTGTGTGTTAGCTACGTCCACGGGGCGAGAGAGAGAGAGCCAGTTTCACTATATCGAGGAGATTACATATTACAGAGGACTGTATGAGAAGTATTTATAGTACTTCTCCATGTGGGTCTAAACCTAATCCAATCTGACAAAGAAAACGGTTACAGACCAGCCCCCAGAACTCGAACCCAAATAACATTGAGCCCAAGAAAGTTTCGTCGGAAAGTCACGGGATCTCGCTAACTGGTTTAGTGAGTCCATAGATGTATGAACACTTATACGCATTCTTTACTTTTTTTTTATTGTCGATTTTTCCAACCTGTTACGTACTAACATTTTCTTTCTCGTTTGTCTCGCAATTCGATTTCTGTGCAGAAGAAGTTGAGCATACCGAACACGGTGTCTCGAGTCCTCAAGTACATACCAGAGCTACAGCAGCAAGTGGAAGCATTGGAACGCAAGAAGAAGGAGTTGCTGTCGGCCGTATCTAACGACAAGCAACTCGACAACAATAAGCAAGACGGCCATGTCGATCAAAGCCCTAATAATGTTCTTGATGATCATCATCATCGCACGAACCTCGATACAACTAAGAAGAGCTTCGCTTCTTCATCATCTTCATCATCGTTAGTGTCATCTTCATCATCCACAGTGTCCACGAGCTGGCTGGGTGAACAGGAAGTCATGGTACAGATTTCCATTGCCCAAAACGACAACAATAGTAACGTCGTACCAAACAGGACGTTTCCTGTTTCAGAAGTGTTGTTGCATCTCGAGGAAACCGGCCTTGTTCTAGTGAACTCTTCTTCCTTCGAGTCTTGTCGAGGGAGGATCTTCTACAATCTCCATCTTCAGGTAATATAGCCTAAATTGTTCGAGTATATATACACTATAAAATTGGTCCATATATGATTTTATTAGGAGATCTGAACTTATTTTTATCATGGTTTTGATCATTTGCAAACAAAATTTGGAAATTCGCAGGTGGAAGGAACTCGAGGAGTAATAGTAGGACTGGACAGTGAAGCTCTGAGCGAGAAGTTGTTGAACTTATACGAACAAGCTATGGCTCGTTCCTCCTAATGATCAAGAGATGATATGATATGTATGTGTTGCTTATAATTACACACAACACAATCACACATCAACTACGGAGTTAGTTACATAACTTAGTGAGGCCGACTTTTTTTCTTCCCCTCCGTTTTTCGTTGTATGAGTGATCCCTTTTTATAGCTCAAAACAGAAGCAGGAACACGAGCGAGACTAATTTTCACAAGTAGTGATTGTGAGAAATTGTCCAACGTGGATCCATACAGATGCATGATGTCACACTCTAATTTCGAGCTAAAGGCGGTACGTACTTTGTTACGTACGTAGATGTGTAGATGGATCATGCTTAATTAGATTGGGTGAATCGTTGTGCTTTGAGCGTGATTGTAACCCATGATATAATATCAAAAGTGCGAAACGATGGTCAGTGTTTTATGTGGCACATCTTTTGTTTCGACGTGGTCTTATCATGTAACTCATGTGTCAAGAACAAAAAAAAACACCATTATGCAATGTTTAGCCCATACATACAAATTGTACAATCCAACAAAATTCATTACCAAATTGGACAACCAAACATGAAATTCATCACGAATTCTTCATTTCCCAAATCGATTAGGCCAAAATCCTATTTTTTTCAAATTCAACAAGCCAAACAACCCTTCATATAAATTTATGCGAGTTCTAACATAATATCTATGCAAGGTGAATGATATATTTTAGTATCGTGTTAATTCTCAAGGTCCAATCTAATAGATACACATAAATTCTGTATTGTGTGATTACCAAACCGACACTTAACAAATATACGATTTTGGTGACGACGGATAGTTTCAGTCGAGGCACTCTAGAATTCGTTTTTGGGCTTTAAGGTAAGGTGCAGTACTCTATCTTCACAATGTGAACACGAGGAAGATACTTGAATTTGACGTACGTGTGTGGTCCTTCACAAAACATTTTGTTCAACCGAATCCTTAAGCATAACACTTAACTAATTAACAAGGCATGATCCACGCAACCTCAGAATCCTTTGCTCTTGTCGTCCACAAATTTTCCGACAATTAGGAATGTTTGCATTAGTTCCTTTCAACAACCTCCACTATTCCAACCCCCATAAGGATTAATTAACATAAGTTTTTCTTTCTTCTTCTTCTTCTTCTTCCCTCTCACACACTTTACCTAAAGTTGCTTTACTAACATCTACTTTAACCAACTCGCGTGATTAAGTTTACATATACTTATCATATTATAGATTTTGTTGGGGGTGTTGCTAAGATACTCCCCGCAGAGACTAAGTAATACCGCGTCCAATCGACAACGTATGACGCTCTAAACCCGCTACGAGTATATAAATATATGAAACCCACCAAGGAAGGGGACTTCCTCTCTCTCTCTTCACTTTCCACTTTCTACTATCTCTCTACACTTTATCTCTCTATCTATTCTCTCAACTCTCTCCACAAACATACACTGACCTGATCGTCGGAGCTTAATCCGGGGGGGCAACCCCGACTCTTTCACAGGTTTCTTCCCTCCTGACGAGATCAGACGAACGGATGACGAGTCGACCCACACAACAAATATCATTGTTCGTGTCCCGAGCTAGATGGCACAAACAGATTTAAATTCTTTTAACAAGACAATTGAAGTTCGAACTTACGTATGACTTTCTTGATCATTTAAAGATCGATAAATTACCAAACACACATAATACAACTAGTTCGTTCCGATTCGATGACGCTAAATAATTAATCAATCATTGCACTGTTTCTTATTTACGAGTCGGGTCATGCTCGCCTAATTAGCATAAGTCACTTTTTTTTTGGGCCAGCGCAATTATTTCATGACGTAATGGAGAGATAATTAGGTATTTAGGGAGAATAAATTAAGTAGTTACTTAACTATAATGGTTTGTGTTTCTATTTTTTTTTCAATTTCGAAGATTTGTTGTAGATTTGGGACGATGGAAGCAAAAGTCCACGTGTCACGGCAGCCCGGCACGTGCTCATACCATCAGTAATTCGGCCACGCACGTGCCCCGCCATGCACTTGGCGAAGAACCTCGTGCATGCCATGCGCTATGCACAAGCCCATTAAACAATTGAACAAGCTCTCTTTACATTTTGGGGGCTAAAATGGCATAATTTAAAACCCTAATTCTACCTTAGTTTAATTGTAATTCTAACATATTTAAACCATCCTTGTCGATTATATTGCTTAAAATCATACACTAACTATTACATTTATGTTCTCTTTATAAACAATCAAATACATTTAGTGGTTGCAAAAAAATAAAATAAACCAGTATGGAAGTGTGAACAATCAATTGAAAATGAGAACCATTACATATACATAACCTTATCTGAAAATATTCCTTCACCAATCTTAGTAGGTGTTAGGTTTTAAGGTGCAGGAGGTTAATTAATAATCATTCAGTTATATGAGCGCAATACATAAAATATTATCGACAAGTATACAGAGATAAGCTATGCGTACTAAATTCACAGAAAATCGACTAAGTTAGAATATGATAAATTTTATTATCTCACATTTACGTACGTACCAGTAGGTTAGATTTTTTTTTTCTTTCATTTCGACTGTACAACTGTTTATAATGTTATTATCATATTTTTAATTTAACGTGGAAATTCTCTAGGAGAAAGATCGCCTAAACGTCACCGTTAGGTCACTAATTATGTTTTCATTATAATTTCAAATATGGAGTAGGTTATTAGCCTATCTTATAAGTCATATATGGTCCTATAAAATACATTTAAGATCAAGAGGAATAATAGAGGCTTGTTTTAATTATGTTGTCGGGTCTAGGAGATCAGCATATAATCTGTTGGCGGCTATTTTAGGAATCGGAAATTATACATATATATTCCACCAAAAAGAAATTGTGTATTATTGTGTTTGTATGCTATCGATCGATGGAATCAGAATCATTCATCAACTAGAAACAATAATATGGCACTGAACATTTCGGTGCACCAAATATAGTTATCCACAAGCATAAACGTATATTCTTTTCAAGATTCAAATTATATATTAAAAAAACGAGTATTTGCTACATATACAACATAGTAGCTTTTATGTAAAAATTCAATCGACAAGTTAATTTATACGTATTTATAGTACGCCGTATTTTGTACTATGATCATACTGGACTCTTAATAAGTTAAATATGGTCGAAGATTACCACATTTACAAAGTCGTCAATTCAATGTCATGATATTCTGATTTATTCTCATACAACGATTCATGGTATATTGTATTCCTTTCTCGTCTAGACTGTGTCAGTTCGTGTCGGACGTCCGACTATGGCGAAACAAGTAGACATTAGACGATACAGATTAATTAACCCGTTTCGTGAACTCGTATAATGCAACTAATTTTACCATACGATGATCTCCATCATTGTGAAGATGGATAATCGGAGAAGAAAGGGTCAAGAGGTCAACTATGAGACTATAACAGAACCTCATTGATAAGTAACGTGCAAAGGATAAACCATCATCACTGATCATAATCAAATCCTAATTTGAAAGGTCCATGTCATGATCCAACCCATTATTGATTAAACCAATTAGATTAACGAACCAACTTATAATATAATCACCACTAGCTCAAAATCACAATCAATGCTTCAATAGCCTGGGGAACACAGAAGACTAAACAATTAGAAACCCATCTGAGCTCTATATATATATACTAGCAAACCAAAGCAATTAATTAGCAAACTAAACACAATTAACCTCTCTAGATCATCATCATCATCACCATCATCATATACCAAGAAAGATGTTGGCAATGTCCTCAACCTCATCCTCCTCTCATCATCAACCCACCAACCCATTCCTAGCCACAAACTTGGGAGGAGGTTTATCTTCATCATCACCATCTCCATGGCCATTGTTGTTAGAAGATCCATTAGCAACATTGCTACCTAATTACCACAACCACCACAACCTTCTATCCACCCATTTCCTCCCTCCTCAAGCTTCTGCTGCTAATTACTCTTCTAATCACCATGATGGCAATCATCAATCTTCAACATCTCCTCCTCCTCCTCCCTTCCTCGATCTTCCACCGGGATCTTTCGCCGGAGAAGAGGAACAAGTGATCAAGAAGGACAGCAGCAGCAGTGGCGGCGGCGGCACGGTGGTCACCACCATGAAGAAGCTGAATCACAACGCGAGCGAGCGACACCGGAGGAAGAAGATCAACACCCTCTACTCCTCCCTCCGCTCCATGCTTCCTCCATCCGATTACCATGCCACGGTGAGTTTGATCTAAAGCTTACAAATTTCAATTTATACGTATTATAAACCAGTTGGTCTCAATGTGACCAAAACCAGTTCTGAGGCCATATCATAAACCAGTCAGTTGGCGTGTTAATAATAATCCGCGCACGAATGTCAACCCTCTCGATTTAATTTATGCAGAAGAAGTTGAGCATACCGAACACGGTGTCTCGAGTACTGAAGTACATACCGGAGCTACAACAGCAAGTGGAGGCGTTGGCTCGCAAGAAGGAGGATTTGTTGTCGGCCATATCCAACAATACTACTACAACTAGCCAAGTCGACAACAAGCATGACTGTGTTGATCTCGACAAGACTAATAAGAAGAAGAACGACAAGATGTTCAGTTCCTCGTCTTCATCATTAGCATCGTCGTCTTCATCCACGGTGTCCACGAGTTGGCTGAGTGAAGAGGAAGTCATGGTCCAGATCTCAATCGCCGCCAAAAGTAGTAATGACAGTGGTAGTAATTACACATTCGATCACATCTCGGGGATCTTGTTGCATCTCCAAGAAGAGACTGGGCTCGTTCTAGTGAATTCTTCTTCGTTCAAGTCTTTCCAAGAGAGGGTCTTCTACAATCTCCATCTTAAGGTAAACTTTGAGCTTCAAAGCCTTCTCTTGTTTCTTCCTGTTCGATCTCGATCCATCGTTCTTTTTCAGTTGTCTTTTTTGGTGAATGAGGGTAGATGGAAAAAGTTCATGATGGACCCTAGCTACATGTGTCAAGTTGCATTGTTTGAGTGCATCAAAGCATTGTGTATATTATTCTAACATAGTTTTGCTAGCATCTTACTTCCTTTCCATGAGTTCACACACAAAAAAATATTAATGAAGGGTGACCAAATTTGTCACTATCTAGCTAGGTAGCTAGCTACAAGGAAAACACTCTAGAATTGTTTTAAGTATTAATACTATAACAATGATCCATTTAACTTTGGGTTACTTTGTCCACACACACATATTAACATTTATTGCACACTCCAAATGATGTTGATTTGGGGGGCTCATAAGTAATTGTTTCTTATTTCAAAAAATTTCAGGCGGAAGGAACTCACGGAGCAGCAGAACTCGACGGTAAAGCTCTAAGCGAGAAATTGTTGAACCTGTACGAGCAAGATTTGAGTCGGTGCTCGTCCTGATCAAGGATGAATTTCGGATTACTATATGATCAGACTTGTGTTGCTATAATTACATACAACACATTTCTAAACACTAGATGCACAGCTTATCATTAAGTGTGACTTAATTTCACAAGTAGTGTTTGTGATGTTACAATCCTTCGAATGATATCTTCATTTAGACCTTGTTATGTCCGAGAAACCCAATGACATATACAACATCAAGAGTGGCAAATTCATGGTGGTGGTGGTGTATTTTCAGTTTCAGTAGAGTACTAGAGTTCGATTCCATTGCTTCGGATAGGAAAACACGATTAGTAAGCAATTGCAAGGAGGAAGCCCATCGCATCCGAACCCAGCACATCAGGCCCAGAGCCTCAAGGCCCATCCCTGCAGGAGATAGGCACGAGCCCAAGCCCTGATCTTTGGACCTGCAATGAGATATGGCACGAACTTCCTCTGATTTTGCCAAATCTAGCCTTGTTAGATAATCAAATCAAGAACATGCAACCCAGAATCGCAACAAATTCCGAATTTATATCATTGCATCCGAATCCCTGAGAATATACCAAGAACAGAGCTGAACAAAATATCTAAAAACAGGCGGAGACACAAAGATCTCAGCCAGTACCACCAAATAGAAATCAGAAAAGACTAAAACTAGAACCGGCAAAAAAAGATAGCGAAGAACCAACAACTACTAAAATCGTTCATCATCCCTCTCCATCAAACAAAAGCCTTAGTCGACCTCTTCCATCTTGCTCTCCTCGTTGGCATCGTCCTCCAGCGGCGGCATCTCGGCATCATCAGCACCGGCGGCATCGTCCTCGTCGATGCTCAGACCCAGCTTCAGCATCCTGTGGATCCTGCTGGCGAAGGTGTTGGGGTCCTCGAGGCTGAAGCCGGAGTTGAGCAGGGCGGTGTCGAACAGGAGCAGGACAAGATCCTTGACAGACTTGTCGTTCTTGTCGGTTTCGGCCCTCTTCCTCAGCTCCTCCATGATGCCGTTATCTGGGTTGATCTCCATGGTCTTCTTGCTCGACATGTAGGAACCCATGCTGCTGTCCCTCAAAGCCTGCGCCTTCATGATCCTCTCCATGTTGGCGGACCACCCGTATTCTCCAGTGACGAGGCAGCAGGGGGAGTCGACGATGCGGTCGGAGACGATCACCTTCTCGACCTTGTCGCCGAGGATGTCCATGATGGTCTTGCAGAGCTCCTGGAACGATTGCTTCTTCTCTTCCTTCTTCTTCTTCTCTTCCTCGGTCTCGTCGTCGAGGTTCAGCCCTTCCTTGGTGGCGGAGACCAGCTTCTTCCCGTCGTACTCCTTGAGCTGACCTACGGCATACTCGTCGATTGCGTCCACCATGAAGAGGACTTCATACCCTCTCTTCTTGAGGCGCTCGAGGAAGGGAGAGTTCTCGACAGCCTTCTTGCTCTCTCCAGTGATGTAGAAGATATCCTTCTGGCCATCCTTCATGCGGGTCACATAGTCCTTCAAGCTGGTAAGCTCTTCGCCGCTCTTGGTGGAATGGTACCTCAGCAAGTCGGCCAACTTGGCTCTGTTCTGGGTGTCCTCGTGGATGCCAAGCTTCAAGTTCTTGGAGAAGGCCTCGTAGAACTTGTTGTAGTCCTCCTTGTTCTCAGCGATCTCATTGAACATCTCAATGCACTTCTTGACCAGATTCTTCCTGATAACCTTCAGGATCTTGTTCTGCTGGAGCATTTCACGGGAGATGTTGAGAGGGAGATCGTCGGAATCAACCACACCCTTGACAAAGCCGAGGAACTCGGGGATGAGCTCCTCGCAGTTGTCCATGATGAAGACACGCCTGACATAGAGCTTGATGTTGTTGGCCTTCTTGCGGGTGTCAAAGAGGTCGAACGGGGCACGCTTGGGGACAAAGAGGATGGCCTTGAACTCGAGCTGGCCCTCAACAGAGAAGTGCTTCACGGCAAGATGGTCCTCCCAGTCGTTGGTGATGCTCTTGTAGAACGAGGCATACTCTTCCTTGGTGATCTCCTCAGGCTTCCTCAGCCAGATGGGTTTCTGCTTGTTGATCAGTTCCCACTCGTGAGAGACTTCCTTGATCTTCTTCTTCTTCTTGGACTCGGTCTCTTTCTCTTCATCAACTTCCTCAACCTCGCCTTCCTTTTTGGGCTCCTCCTCATCTTCGTCATCACTGATTTCCTTCTCGGTAGTCTTCTCGGTCCAGAGGTAGATCGGGTAGCTGATGAACTCGGAGTGCTTCTTCACAAGGTCCTTGATCCTCCTCTCCTCGAGATATTCCAGCTGTTGAAAGGGAGACATTAGCATGTGTCAACCATTATACCAAACATCTGCTAAAGAAACATATACTAATTCCATCTATTCTGTACAAAGAATACACATCCATTCAGATTCAAGATAAAAACATGCCGTCATCTACTCAAGAATTCAAATCACCGAATGTATAGAAGTAGCCATTAGGATATGCTAAATGAGCAAGCAAAGGGCCACAGGTTCGATATATTCACTAGGCTAACAGCAATTGGACTTAATCTTTCATAATCGCAGGGCAAAATTTACCTGGTCTTCCTTGAGGTGGAGGACCATCTTGGTGCCTCTGCCAAGTTGCTCGCCAGAGGTGTCCCTTGTAACGGTGAAGGAACCACCAGCCTGTGACTCCCAGACATACTGCTCGTCATCGTTGTGCTTCGTGGTCACAATGACCTTCTCAGAGACAAGGTAAGCAGAGTAGAACCCAACACCGAATTGGCCAATCATGCTCACATCTGCACCAGCCTGCAACGCTTCCATGAACTCCTTGGTTCCAGACCTCGCAATTGTACCCAAATTGTTCACCAAATCTAAAACCAACCAAACAACGGCAGGCACATTCTCAATCAAACGCCCAAACCGCATTAATATATAAGCAAAAACGAAAGCAATTGAAATCTATTCTCACCAGCCTTAGTCATGCCGACGCCACTGTCGACGATGGTCAGGGTATTGCTGGCCTTGTCCGGGATAAGGCGGATGAAGAACTCCGGCTGTCCATCGAGCTTGGACTTGTCCGTCAAGCTCTCGAACCTAATCTTATCCAGAGCCTAATATGAATACAAAACAAACAATTCCGCGGATTCATTACCCTAATCAGCCATGGAACTAATCGATAGCTACAACATTAGCGAGAATACGGAGAGAGATTAGGCCTTACGTCGGAGGAATTGCTGATAAGCTCCCGGAGGAAGATCTCCTTGTTGCTGTAGAAGGTATTGATGATCAAACTAAGCAGCTGGTTGATTTCCGCCTGGAAGGCGAACGTCTCAGCCTCGGCCGCCATTGTTGTCGCGAAGGAATCGCAAGAATCGCCGGAAAATTTTTCAAAGATCGTGAACCGAAATTTGGAGAGCCGGAGATACGAGAACGATGAGCGTAGTACTGAAACGGAGAATGAATGTCGCTGCAGCAGTACAGTTCTATATATAGGCGTTCTAATTCTAGATTCTTCTACTACCTTCTCCGCAATCCTCTTATCAAAAAGGAAAACAAAGTATCCCGTTGGTACCCGTACTTATGAAGTCGTTCTGTTTTTTTCCTATAGATTTTCAAGTATTTCAATTTTCGAATTCGTGGGCTTATTGTGTTGAAGGCTTGAAGCCCACGGTCTTCTATTGAGAATGTTCTTCCTGGTGGGCCAGGCCGGTTGGCCCAATGGGACATGATCAAAGAATTTAAAAAATAAAGAAAGAAAGAATGATTGCTGTCTTTTTCTTTTCAAAAAGCGCGCTGACAAATAAGTACCTCGGCGCCCAGCAAATGACGAATCTTTCCCCGACAAACGCGGCCTTAAAAAAGAGCGCTAAACTCCATTAACGACAGTGAAAAGACCTTCACTTCCTTTCACACTTTCCTCTTCCAGAAATGCTCTAATTCGAGATCCCTTCTTGCTCCGTTCACCAAATCTCCATTTCCGCCGAAGAAATGTCGCTCTCATTTCTGCTCCTCCCGCTCCTCCTCTTCTCGCTGCTACTCGGCGGCGTCGCCTCCCACGGCGCCGCCTCCGGCTCCTTCACCACCGGCACCACGCTGTCCGACTGGAGCGCCGCTCGGGCGACGTACTACGCCGCATCCGACCCGCGGGACACCGTCGGCGGGGCCTGCGGCTACGGCGACCTGGTCCGGGCAGGGTACGGGATGGCGACGGTCGGGCTCAGCGAGTCGCTGTTCGAGCGCGGCCAGATCTGCGGCGCGTGCTTCGAGCTCCGATGCGTCGACGACCTCCGCTGGTGCATACCTGGGACTTCGATTATCGTCGCGGTGACGAACTTCTGCCCTCCTAATTACGGGTTCCCTTCCGACGGCGGGGGGCACTGTAACCCTCCCAACAAGCACTTCGTTCTCCCCATTGAAGCTTTCGAGAAGATTGCAATCTGGAAGGCCGGCAACATGCCTGTTCAGTACCGGAGGTAAACCCCTTGTTGTTTTGATAAAATTGGGTAGTTCTCTTAGAAATTGGCACGAAGAAATCGAATGCTTGAATGACAGAATCGCTTTTTGGGTAATTAAGTACTTCAAAGAGTAGCTAGAGTAGGCACATTCTGGATCTGGTGCTTAATTGTGTCATCTTGAAGGTAGGGTTAGCCATGGTGTGGAATTGGTTTTGGCCTGTTGTAGTTGCCAAGAGAAGGAAATGGAATGTTGAATGTTGCTGTACTGCTATTCTGGCCAAATGGTGGGCATTGTCATCTATTGTAGTTAACTAGCTCCAGTTTGAAGGGAAAAGATCAGGTTAGTGCAATCCTAGATGGGTAGGAGTTAAGCTGGAGATCGAAAAGCCAAACACTTTAGAAGAAGGCACTTGTGCCAGAGGCAGAATGCATTGCTGTAGACTCTAATCTGTCTGTTTCGTCGGTAGGTCTTAGGTCGAGTTACCGGTTTGTAGCTAGATTAGCGGAGTTAAGGTCTTCTGGATTGTATTGGAGTCTGGTTCTATGCGTATGGTTTGTCTATGTAAGACATATAGGAATCTTCGTTCTGGTTGTTCGAGGCATTATTCAGGAGTTGATTGTTGCTGAAAATGTGTACACTCTTGCAATATGGCTGAAAGCCTGAAACAATGGTTGTTTTTCTTGTCCCTGGTATGGTTTTTGATCAGAATCAAATGCCGGAAAGAAGGTGGGATAAGATTCCAGGTCTCGGGATCGAGCATCTTCATCTCGGTGCTGATCACCAATGTGGCTGGAGCTGGGGACGTCACTGCGGTGAAGATAAAGGGTTCGAGGACCGGGTGGCTTCCGATGGGCAGGAATTGGGGACAGAATTGGCATGTGAATGCTGACTTGAGAAACCAGCCATTGTCGTTTGAGGTCACTAGTAGTGATGGCCAGACGATTGCCTCCTACTATGTTGCCCCTAAAGACTGGAACTTTGGGCAGACTTTTGAAGGTAGTAAGCAATTTGGGACTTAAAAAGGTTGGAACTTGTACACGGCCAAACGCCGCAAGTCCTCCATTTTGTTGCCCCACTTCTTTGTGTACTGTTTTTGAGATGGAGGATGTATGGAACTTAGAAAAAGATGTATAGATTGGTAACACTGAACTTATTCGTTGAGGGAATACCTTGGAGCCGCAAAAAGAAAGGGGAAAATAGGAAAATGAATGAAGGGGCTACATGTAGAGGTAGTAGTGATGTAGGGGGTCGGTTCGGAATTAGTTCGAGCAATATAAGATTAGATTAGACGTGAAACGAGAATGAGAATTCAAGCGTATTCGATTTGGTTTTATACAATTTGGATTATTTTTTTGTTTCCTCAAAGAATATCGGATCATAAATCAAAGTCTAAAGTATGAGAATCAAAATTGAAATAAATTGTCTGTTAATTTGGTTTTTGTTGGGGGTGAATTTGAATATCAAATTAGAATTCAATATCGTATAGATTGAAAATGGGCATCTGATCTAAGTCATAGCATTAATATGGTAGTACGAAAATTACTATGGAGTATCGACATTTCTATTCTTTTCACAAATGAAAAGAACTCATTCATCTTTCCCTACCGTTAATTCTTTTCCACTTTCCATTCACCATGAAACATTCAAGTCAAATGATCCAAACCCTAATCTTGTTTTACACTATTTTAAGGTGTTTCTTAAAATAAACATCATCTCCTCATCCATTCCAAATTTAGATTAAACGCCAAATTAAACCTTATTCAGGAGGCATTATAAAAGAAGGAAAGATATCAAAGCAAATCAAGGCATAGGAAAATAAGAAACAAAGAGTAAGAGAGAGGGAGCCCCCGAGACACACAAAAGAGAAAGGAACAAGAACGAGCAAGTTCTTGCCTTCCGTTCCTTTCTCTTTCATTTTGTTCTTCTTTTCCTCAGGGGCTACTCTCTCTCTCTATTCACAGTCTATTGCAATGGCCTCGACTGCTTTCGTCGGAACCCAACAAAAATGCAAGGCTTGCGACAAGACGGTGTACCTCGTCGACAAATTGGTTGCCGATACTCGCGTCTACCACAAGTCTTGCTTCCGTTGCCACCATTGCAACAACACCCTGAAGGTTCATCATATCGTTTCGAATTTCGAATTTAATTTGTAATGTCATGGATGAAACCTACACCAAAACCATACTCTAATACCATTTTTTTTCAAAAACTTTTGCAGCTGAGCAACTTCTGTTCATTCGAGGGAGTCCTCTACTGCAGGCCTCACTTTGACCAGCTCTTCAAGAGAACTGGCAGCCTCGACAAGAGCTTTGAAGGTTCCTTAAACATACATTACCATCTTCTCTTCATTTGAATAACATTTACACCAACTAATTAATTTCCTTTCCTCCAAACACTTCCCCAGGAACTCCTAAAGTCACCAAGCCTGAAAAAACCATTGACAGTGAGGTAAAAAGATACAATTTATATTCTCTTCTTCTTCTTCTTCTTCTTCTTCTTCTTCTTCAATTATGATGGTTAACTTACTGACGATTCGACATGTACAGAGCGCGAGCAAGATGTCAAACATGTTCGCAGGAACAAAAGAGAAGTGCAAGCAGTGCGCGAAAACCGTGTACCCAATTGAGAGGGTGACAGTGAATGGAACATGGTACCATAAGAAGTGCTTCAGGTGCTCACATGGAGGCTGCACAATCAGCCCATCAAACTACATTGCACATGAAGGGGTGTTGTACTGCAAGCACCACCATATCCAACTCTTCAAGGAGAAGGGCAACTACAGCCAGCTCGAGAGCGATAACGACGAGGATCAACTCCCGGTTGGCCCGAAAACACTGGCTCCAGAGATTGCTGCTGCTTGATTTGATTTGATTTGATTGATTGGTTTGGATGGGTTGATGTTGTTGTGATGGGTTTTGGGTTGGCCATTGCTAATTCCTATTGCTAGTAGGTGGAGACTTTTGTGTTTTGTTATTGGAAACACTTTGGAGATGGTTGTAATGTGTAGGCAAGTTAATTGGCCACATAGTGCCTATGTTTTTCAACCTTTGAAGAAATATAACAAAAAAAAAATTCCATTCTTTGGTCTCTCATAGTGTTCCCTTGCTTTAGTTTGCTATATGTCGACTAATTGTTCTGAGTTGGATAACATAATGGTTTGCGCTTATGCTATGCGTCAGCTTTTGGGCGTATAAATTATATTCTGATATAAAATTAAATTCTAATTGTTAGTTTTTATATTTTAAACACTGATATTTCAGCCCAACATAAGTTGTCCACAAAAAATGGGAAGTTCCCGTGATTTAAGGTTTCTGGATATCCTATCCTAATACGAGAGGATTGGGTGATACAACATAACAAATACTTCACTTATTGGTGATCATTAGATGAAATTATAAAGTTTAATCAAACAAGTTTCAAAAATACTTACAATACAACAAAATCACAAATTATTCATATAGGTTCATGAATTATTTTTTATCATTATTTTATATTTGTTACACAATAGTAAATTGAGAAGATTTTGATCAAGACAGAAATATAAAAAATGATTACTATTTTGGTATACGTAGAAGCATATCGATAAAGAGATAAATTTGAATATTTGATTCTCCGTGTTAATGTATTTTGAGGGCATAGCATGGAGGCATGTCAATAAGCTTACCAATATATTTTATAAGAATGTGAAGATTTGTGAAGAGGTTAGATGATTGTTTATATTCAATAAATTAAATTGATTTTTTAAAGGTAAGTTCTTTATGAATGCAACAATATTAACACAAACCATATTCACAGAACAACTAGTTGCAATTGCCCCTCATCTCCTTCGCCAGTTTATACAGTACTGGCACAATACTACTACTCAAGACTCCATCTTTGCATCTCAAACCCTGTTTTCACCCCCTTTCCCTGTAACAATTTACAGGATAAGTCACTTGAAGAACTCCTTTGCAAGTTGTACTATATATAGACGAGGCCTAGGAAGAACTTGGGCAGTAATCTTCTCAGTTCTCAGGAACATTTGCTGCTAGTCTCTTTCAAAGCCTGAGCAGCAAGTATCAGAAGCTCCACCATCTCAAACCCGGCTGCAGAGACAAAATCCATCTTCTCATCGGTGGTACCACCCGAATTACTTGATGGCTCGTTGGAGAACCTTGGACTGCTTGACGCATCGTCCACCTCTGCTGACCAACTGATGGGCAGTGAGCTGCCTAGTGCGGTCTTCACCAGTTTAGCTTCGGAAAGTATTCCATCCAGAGCTCCAGACGAGCAGGGCTCTGTGCTTTCCTCGGCCATTGACTCTCTAATCTGCAATGTCATGTTAAAGAATAAACAGAAAACTTCAAAGCTCCTTCCACCATCTCAAAACTACCAGTTCAGAAGTTCTGACGTTGATGAATGTTACCCTGGTGAGTGCAAGGCGGAGTCTATGAGTTGAGGAAACCAAATGCTCCATACTTTCCAAGCTTTCCTTGAGAGTAGCATTTTCGATCTTCATTCTGTACAGCAACCAGAGAGAGTTAGTTATAGAAGGGCAAGCTTAAGTAGTTCCAATAAGCACACAACAATAAAAATTACGGACCTTGCAACATCCATTGAGTTCGACTTTCTCCCTGATAAGTCTCCGTGACTATTTGAGTGTGTGTCAACTTCACTTCTACCAGTAGAATCCAACGTGCCAAGCCACCGTCTCAGATAAGTTTTCTTCAGCACACTTTTTATCCCTGCATCTCTTTCCTGATTTGTGTGCTTTTTCTCTGCTAAAGAATTTCCTTGCCTCGCCTCATCAGCAAGCTTCCTGCAAAATAGCAATAGTATCCTCATGAGCTAAAATGAAAGGAAGAACAATCTACTATAAAAATGGCAGTTGGGTTTTAATGAGACGCGGGAATCATACTCTTTCAGCTGTTGATGCTCCTGTTTTAGCTGTGCCAACTCCATAAGAGCTTTAACCTTCTCATGAGCAACCTGAATGTTCAAAAACATCGTACCAGCCCATCAACATCCATTTGAAGGAATACTTAAGTTTTCAAAATTACAGCCAATATGTTGCAAATGACTTCCAGAGAACTTTACTTGCAGTAAGTTTCTTTGTAGCTCCTCTATCTTTTTCTGCAGAGCTCCATTCACATTTCTTTCCAGCAATTGTCTTTCGTCCTGCTGAGACAACAGCAATAGTGTCTGAACCTGAGAGATGGAGGACAGGTGGAAGATTAAGAAATAATGACTCCCAAATATTTTTAGGATAAATGATAGCTATGATGCTGAAACTCAGAAAAACTGGAGACTGACTGAAGGAAACAAGAAAAAATAATATCAGAGGCATGGACCTTTTCTTGCAATGCTTGCTTCAGGACTTCAGAGGCTTCATTGTCTTGATTAGGAGCAACAACAACTTTTGAGGTACTGTCGTTTCTCTGCAGTATATAAGCCAAGAATAAGTAAGCAAGCTAAATCAGTAAAGATGTTTCTGACAGAGTAGCTTCTGTTTTAACCACGAGTTTCCACCAAATACCGACTATCTGCATTTAAGAACTAAGTCACACAAGAGGCGCCATCAAATCACAATCAAGGAAGTGTGCACAAACCGTGGATGCTGAGGATGTGTCAGTGACTGTGCTGACGTGCACATCTCGACATTCAGTTTGATCTGAGCTTGTGAGTACCCCAGAAACCATAACATTTTGTTTTGTCAGCTCAGACCCTTTGATATGCTCTTCAATCATATCAACCATCAACTTGAGTTTAGATTTTTCGTCGGCGAGTAAATCTAGAATCTCGAGTCTATGCTGAGAATGAAATTTGTGTAACTCCAATATTCCACTCATGACCACTTGGTTAAAACGAATCTGTGAATAAATCGACGATCAGTAAAAGGAATCAAGGATCACTTCCGTATCTCAAACATAATAACACCCACTAGGTTCTTTTCAACATCATGAACTTTCTTTCTCAAGTGTTTTTCAATGTCCAGGCCCTGCAAGCAAAAGTAAGAAGAAACACTTCATCAACGCCCGAACTAGAGAAAAAGACCCCCCAGCCAGATGGTGTATACATACCATTTGCATCTTACTCCTAAGATCGCCAACAGATTTTCTCACAGTCTCCAGCTCTTCTTCCAAGGCACTCTGTCTGATGATAAGTTAATCACATTGCAAGAGGAAAAGTAAAGAATCTACAGATAATGCTTGAGTATGGAAGCAAAGTTTGGGACACCGATGCACACACCATCAAATTCACTTCAAACTAATAGAATATGCAACACTTTATTAGTCACCAAGATGAACAGAGAGCGATAAAAGTTCAACATGCAATCCATGGCTTATCATGCAATGTCAATGGTGGTAAGTTGTCAAAATGACAAACTGGATCTCTGCAAGCACTATAATAGCACTCAAACAAAAAAAAAATATCAATAAGTTATGAACTTTGTTTATAGAGTAATGTCTGAGATCCTTACAATATAGTCAGAGGTTGATGGATCATTATAATTCCAAACTTCAAGCGGGTCATGTAATAGACATTCACACTTCTCATCCCAAGTTGTTTCAAGAGATCCCTCAGATGATTGCTGCCTAATCTCGAAGAACTTGTTGACAACCTGCCATTTTCCAGGTGAAGAAGTGAAATTAGTACCAATTACAAAAGCAGCAGCCAGCATGCATTTCCTTAAAAGATACAGACTGCTAAACAAGTCCCAGAAAAGGGAAGTTGAATTGGGAAAGGCAATACCTTCTTCAAGTTTTCGCTCTGCTGTTCCCATTTTGCTAGATCAAGCAGTAGTTCATCATTCCTTCTCCTCTGCTGCAGTAGATCTGAAGTCAGCTCTTCCAATCTGCATACCGTAGGTTCATTCATTAGAATTTTTCCACTAAATCACTATTTTACCGAACTGTCAAATGCCATATAATGACTGATGAGCATTGAAAATGTTGAGGAATAGAACAGAGGAATAACCATCTATAACAAGACATCAGAGGCACAAAGAGGCGATAACTTCCAACAATCTAAACCCTCCAATCAAGCACAGACCAACATTTCAACTTCCGGCATTCCTCCAAGAGACCCAAAAAGAAAAGAAGATAAGACTCATGACCATGCATATTTCATGTTACCACAGGATGGACTATACGGTAAAAGTTTTGAGCTTAATTATGCAATGGGGAGAACTTCAGTTTAAACACATGAAACAAATATACGACCTGCTTCAGCATTCTTTCTAATATTTACAGGTACTGTGTCACAGGTCAGAGTACCGAAACGAGAACTCCAAACAATGGTCATCTTTCCGGTTCCCAGTTAACAATGGGCATAAACAAGGAAAACTACCTAGTCTGCATCGGGATAAATTTCTGTGACATGAGCTCCTCTTTCTCCTTCGCTTTCTCAGCCTGTCACCAGAAATTAGGCACCATATGAAAATTTTGCTACACAACAGACCTTGTAATGAACCATAACCAAACTCAGGTGCCCAGATGGATTCTTTCTTAATGAGTGAACTCCCAATCATCTGTGAATTACCTCCAAGAGGGACTGATCACGTTCAGCAAAAGCAGCAGCTACACTTCCTTGGAAAAATTTGACTTGTTTTTCTGCTTCGATATTCTAAGAAAGAAGTTGAAACAAGGTCAGAATAGGGAAACACTGAGCACGAGATCTTTACAAATTATAACAAATTCCTTAGCTAAAGTTATATGGATTCCTTTAAGATAATAAATATCAGAGCGTGAAAGCCTGTGCCCCAGTGCCACACTTTCACGGGCACTCAAAACAGAAGCATGTACATAGTGAAAGTGAGAGGATTGCCACGTACATACAATTAAACACCCACGCATAAACCCAGGAACAACAGAGAGAAAGATGGAACAAGAGGGATACCTTTGCCACTTCAGCTTGGTGTAGCTCTGCCAACTGAGCCTGGAAACATAAGTCATTAAGACTTTGTGCAAGGATGGAAAAACAGGAAAGAATAAGAAGATATGGTACAAGGAGTCCAAATATCTCACTTTAATTCGAAATGCTTCTGAAAGCTCGTCTTGAAGATTTCGACTCTCTCTAGTACTGGCAGCTAACTTCATCTTCAAATTCTCTATTTCCTGCTCCAAGCTAGCTGTCCTAATAGGGCATTAACAATCCTTATGCTTTCTTAACTCGTAGCAACCTACACATAAAAGGGACCCCCAACGTCTCCCACCAAAGACCTAGCCCATAATCCCAGGACCAAAAAATAGTGAAAACAGAATATGGGGGAGAAAGTTTGCCCATCTACTGAAGAATGAGAAGAATCAAAAAATACAAATGATACCTCTGGAAATGCAACCGAGTTGCGACTGCCAGGTAGCCAGGTCCAGCTTGCTGTATGCATAGTTGTTCTATATCTTTACGTAACTCATCACGCTCTCTATGCAATTCATCACGCTCTAGGAAACAAAAGGATTCGAATACAGTGTTACGATTTCACTAACTAGTAAATTATCAAGCAACCTACAGCATCAAGAAATGAGAACCAACACGTAATACGAAGGCATTACTAAAGAAATTCATCGAGCAATAACAAATAACCCTTCACACACTAGCATTATTGTTTGCAAACAAACTTCACAAAAGAATACGTAGTACAGGTTAGCTCAAAGAGGCCAAAAGCCACCAATTACCAACTCCAACTACTAAGTCAATCCCCATATAAGGAAAATGGATACAATTTTCAGATTGCCCTAGTATGCATAGGACTATTCCAATTCCAAATGATTGCCCTAGTCATTGCAGGACATGGCAGTAGAAAGCTTGCAATCCAAGTAAGAACAATTACCATACTCCAATTGCTGGATGCGAGCCATTGATGGTTCATCATTACCATAATTCCTCTCCATATCTGAAAATTAGAGAGCACATAAACCGTCAGCTACTTCGCAAAAATTATCTTCAGAGGAAGATGTCAAAGCAACCAAACGCAGCACCAATGCCCAAAACCCAATTCCATATCGCCAGAAAAACTTGAGCAACCTTAATTCAACTTAGAAAAAGGAACAGACTTTGGCTTAAACTAGAAGCAACTAATGACTTGATTTTCCCGCGAATTTCCAATAACAAGCGGCAAAGCCCAGAAACCAAAAGGAGAAACAGAACCAAACCCACCAATCGAAAAATCAAGAGAGAAAAAAGCAGCAAAAAACCCCTCTCAAAGATGAACATGAATCAGAAGAACCCCCCACAAAACAGAATATAGTTTATCTATCTACATGGCAGACGAGCAGCAAAAAAGGAAATGGAAGATACTGCCGCGCGAACCGGATGGATATTGGAAGACAAACCCAGAATCCGAGAAGGAACAATTGAGATTCTTCTGGCAGAACCGTTTGGAGAAGGACGAACCGGGAAAGAAAGGAGAGCCGTTGTGACGTCCTCCTCCCTCTCCCTGCGCAGGCAAGATTCCTCTGTTCTCGTTACGAGCTGGCAAAATTATTTTATTAGTTGTTCTTTATTTCTTTTCCGTTTTATCAATTAATACCCGATTTTCTCTTCCTTCAATTATTCAGTAATTAACTAATTATATAGCAGGCCTGGGCCTTGTCCATTCATGGGCCATCTCATATTGAGCCCGCCACTCTCTATATCCCAGTCTGGGCTTTCTTCCTCGTGTTACCTTTTCTCCTTGTCTCAAAGACTCAAACATTCTTCCGGACTTCCTTGCAATTAATTTTTTTTAATCGGATAAAGATTTGAATGTCGAAACGGTTCTTTTCGTGATTATATTCGACTCTCTGAATATATTAATTTTTTTTTATATTGCAAGTGAGCAAATGAAAGTATATTGAACATATTATAATAATAAAACGTATATTGAAAATTAATAACAGATTCATTTCCATGATGTTATTATGAAATGCCGAATTTCGATTTTCGTGTACTAAACAAGTTTGTTTACACAAATATCGGCATGCTTCATGGCAAGAGTATATAACTAGGAGTTTTAATCCATGAAAAGTGATTACTTGGCAAAAGATATGTTGGGTGAGAGGTTAATATTCTTCCACTAACTAGTGATCAAAAGTCATTACAAATATAGATAGGACATGGTGCTTGGTCAAGTGAATCGAGACACAAAAACATAAATCCCTATTCCCACCCCCACGAATTAAAAATACCATTGATCAAACATCTAATTGTATAAAATTTTTGAAAAGGTGTGGGATTATTATAAGAGGACACCACCACCATTCTTCAATTTTTTTTTAGTGGCAAAAGTAGTTCAATCTACAAATTAAATTGATACCCTATTTTTCTTTTGTAATGGATTGGAGTATATTTTGTCAAGAACCAGTTGATCCAAATAACTCGAGTTGTTGGGAGAGGTTCAATCGTGGATCATATACCACAACACTAACACGCTCCCTCAAACGAAAGCCACTCACAAGGGCTTGAAGTTTGCACAGGTCTGAAGACAAGAATACCATGTGCTTAACAAATGGGGGTCACCGGGAATCGAACACAAGACCTCTCGGTCACAGAAGGCTCTGATACCATGTCAAGAACCAGTTGATCCCAATAACTCGAGTTGTTGGGAGAGGTTCAATCGTGGATCATATACCACTACACTAACACATTTATCATATAAATGAGAGCCCTTATGCAATTGATTGAAACTGAATAAAAGTAAAGTCAAAAGAAGAAAGAATTTTGTTTGTTCAAACAGAAAGAATTTAGTTTGCTCTAATTTCTATATCACAAGACAAAGACTATTCATAAGTTTTTTTTTTTCCAATGGAGCACAAGATCTCAATTCTCATACATCATTTAGCAACTCCATTGCCAAGGCAAAGACGTCCTCGTAAAGGCACAAAGAAAGATTCTTGTAATTGCTTCCAAACGTGATTCAGCTTAGAATATTTTTAACCTCTCGGGAATGATTTTAATTTTCACCATACAACTAATCATTCGAAACAATTAAACTTCTAGTCGATGAACTTCAAAAAAATTGGATTTTGCTTCAACCGGTTTGAACTAGTGAAAGGCATTATCGAGCTTCTCTAAAAGGGTATAGCTGGACCAAACATGTAAAGTTTCATAGTCATATCCCATGTATGGATTACCAAAAAAAAAAAAAAAAACCCAGAAGTGTAGGAAAAATATGAAAAAGGTAGCTTTGTTGTCGTTTTCAATTACTAAGTTCATGAATCTAGACACACTACATAAATAGTAAATTAACCTATTATATATAATAAGACCAGGGCCTTGCCAAATTGATCATTTTCAATTGACCAATATAAAATAAAACTTAGAGTAAGTGGGGGATATAATATATGCCACCACAAAGGAGACTCCTTTCTCATCTCATAATTTCATCAACTATATGATGATAATGGCGCTCATGCACAACTCCATGTAATTATTCTCTTCTTCCTTTCAAAGGTTAATCTATACCCTGAAACCCTAGCTTGTGGCTCATTTTTTTAAATTTGTTCGATCCTCATATATTGTCTTTAATCATATTCGATCGAAATTAATTATTCTAAACGTTTAGCTTCAAATACGATAGAAGTAAATTCGTTTTACCAATAAGGTTATTATTAAGAGAGTTATCATGCCAAGTTCACTCATATATAAAAGTTTCATTTTGATATTTTTAATTTTTCATGTTAAATAATTGGGAGTATATTCTAGCCTATGTTTTCTCGAGCCAACCATAAAACTAACCTATTCCTCCTCGCTTCTCTCTCTCTCGATCAACTCCTTTTCTCCAACGTTATTTATAAGAAACAGTAATAATATTATGTCCCATTTCTTCACACAAAGAGATCAATAAACATAGTACAGTTGGTTAGTTTCTTCCTTTAGAAATGGCGGCGGCGATCTTCTCCTCCTCCTCCTTCTTCCATATTCTTCTTCTCCACCACCGTGCCACGTAAGCAGCGACCTGGGTGCGTACGACGCCGTTGCAGCCGGCACTTGACATATAGCTAGCAATATATATATATATGTTGTCGCGGTTGAGATGGATGGGGATGATGGCAGCTTTGACGGCGTCAATACTGCTGCTGCCTCTGGTGCTGCCGCCGTTACCTCCGCCGCCGTTTCTCTTCCTCCTCGTTCCCGTCGTCATCATGTTGCTCCTGGTCTTCCTGGCCTTCTCTCCCACGGGACGACGGCGGCCTGCCTTGCCTCCGCCGCCGCGCAATAATAATGGCTCCGGCGTCTGAAAAATCTGTTGACTTGGTATAACGTGGCCCGCCGGCCGGGCTTCAAATCGAATATCGTGGTTATAATAATAATTATTATTATGATTATTATTATATCATTATCATTATTATAAATATGGGAGCTGCTTGAGTTTGTTTTCTTTCGATGTTTATTTTTGGGTAGCTTAGTTAATATTTTGTGTTTATATAACTATAGTGTATAATGTCTAATATATAAAAACACACACATAAGTGTGTATTTCTTTTTTACGTGTGAATATTATTATGATATGTTGTAATTATTGATCGCATTATCGTTTGGATACATGATTATTCCTTGTTTTGTTTGTAATATATGCACGCACGTAGATTTCTTTTTTTATAAATAGAACACTTGGTTCATAGTGAAAAGAAGAACGAGAATCTAAGGAAGTGGATCATAAATTGTGATATATTCTAAAAATGATACAAGTATAGGAGTCATACAAGAGATTTACATTCATCTAACCTGAATCTTTTTGCCCAACGTGATTAATTAGCTAGTCCGTGTATCGAAGCACGATTCGAGGCAACAGTTAATTTTAATATTAATACGATGAGTATTTAACAACTAGCTAGCATTGTCTCTCGATCGAGTATGTCACGTACATATGCATTTGTGGTAATTGATATATAAGTGTGTATGTTGTTTATAATATGTACATAATTATATACACTCGTATTTGGGAGTACTCAATTGGCCGCGAATACTACATCTAACCCATCAAGACTTTTCGTTTTACAGCGTATATATGATACAAAGATGATAGAACATTCGAATATCTCCAAAGGGACAATATAATATTATGGAAGTATGAGTTTTAGATTTAAAAGATGATTATGTGGACTAGTTGCTGGCTTGCTGCTTTCTTAGACGTCGATGTTGGCTGGGACTATTGGTTGATGACGTACGCACGTATGATACCAATCCTACGATCTGTATACATACGTTCAGATTCAGAGCATGTATTTAATGTACGTATTTCTTAAGTCTCCCGATACTGATAAAACGATAACCTGAAGAAAGGAACTTTGAAGTAACAGAAGAAAAAAACATATATATATTCATCGGGTAAATGACACATTTGGTCACTGAGATTATTAAATTGTGTCATGTTTAGTCACTAGAAAAAATTAATATCAATTTTGGTCACTCGAATTACCGAAACTGGTCAAATTTAGTCACTCTCCCGTCAGTTTCCGTCCAACTCCATTAATGTAGTTGGACGGAAACTTTTGGGAGAGTGACTAAATGTGACATGTTTCAGTAATCCGAGTGACTAAATGTGACATTTTTCAATAATTCGAGTGACAGGAGTTGGACAGAGGCTACAGAAGAGTGACCAAATGTGACCTGTTTCAGTAATTCGAGTGACCAAAATTGATATTAAATTTTTCTAGTGACTAAATATGACACGATTTAGTAATCTCAGTGACCAAATGTGTCATTTACCCTATATTCATCATTAACTGAAAGAGACAGATTATTATACACTAAGAACAGAGAGGGAGGATTGATGGGTCACCGGAAACAACAAATAATAAACAAAACCCAACTGGTGCTTATTATAAAATTGCGCCGATGCAGATGCAGTGCATTTGGGAGAAGAAACCATGCACACAAAAAGTTTGGGAATTAATATAAACATATGTTGGCATATATATATATATCTCCAAACATCATGGCTACCCAAAAAACCTTCATTCAGGTTCAAAGTAACAAGGTAAAAAGGGTCTCTCCTAGGTTTCCACGTGGACCATTATAACATATAATGTGTTTTTGGCTTTTGCCAAACAATCATGAATATCAGAAGGTGTGGAAGAGCCACTATACCTTCATAAATTTCAATATCGCCGGGCAAATATTAGGGGAAACTAACAAAAAAAAATTCACATGAAATATGTCATCATGGAGTTAGACGGAAATTAACGGGAAAGTAACTAATATGACATATTTCAGCAATTCGAGTGATATTCATAAAAAAAAAAAAAAGTAATTCGAACGATCGGTGTTGGACGGAGGCTAACGAAAGAGTGACTAAATGTGACATGTTTCAGTAATTCGAGTAACCAAAATTGATATTAATTTTTTCTACTAACTAAACCTAACACGATTTACTAACTAAACCTAACACGATTTAGTAATCCCAGTAATCAAATGTGACATTTACCCTGGCCACATAACTCTATAACTCTTTTGTATCTTTGCTTTAATACGAGTGATCTTGGCTAGCAGGAG